TGGTCATGGACTATGGAGACTGTTCTTACAGGAAAACGGCGGCCTGTGGCCGTCTGTCCAAGGTTCTGTCTCTTTTCTCGCCTTTGAGTTTCTCTCAGCCCTCCCTGGTCAGGGCAAACCGAGCCGGCAGAGTCGACCGAGCCGACATGACCTGGTGTCGCATTGCCTGAGCTCAGACTGTTCTCGTGGGCCGCAGCATTACTGCAACCCGCCATGCACTCCCCACGATGACCTTGCCCTCGCGGCCTCGCCTATCAACCGGGCTTCTAGCGGTTGACGGTAGCATCAAAGAACAGAAGAAGCACCAGATCGCCGCCACGCCGTGAGGAGCTACGCCGAGTCGAGCAGGTAGCATGCCCATGATGACACCCCAAGCCGCTGCAAGAAAAATTGCCGAGATCGCTCAGGTGTGCCAGCCCGGTTGTGCGATCTCTCCCGCCCGTCCCCCGTCTCCACGACTCTTGTCCCCCTGCTCCTCCTGCTCCCACACTGCCTGTCCATCTGCAACGGCTCCTATTATGCCTATATCACGTTATCGCGGCTTGTCCATGCTAAGTTGCCCCTCTTAGACGCCCAGTTCGGCAGCTCTACGTCCTCAAGCTGTCTTCGCAGCTCCCGGTATTCGGTCTTATTTCCAGCTATTAAGTTCTGTGACGCCTACCTGCCGCCCTGGGAATCAGCAAGCCAGACGGCCGGCACTCTGGCACCTTCGCAAGCAAGATGTTATAACCATTCTTTAACCCTCTTTCATTGTGTTTTCTCTGTTCTTGCTAAGGCCAGGCTGAACACGATCCGTTCAAGTAATTCTTTGGCAATCTTGGTGACTTGTCGATTCACATCTATCCCCTCCTTGTCTCTGCGCGGCAAACCCCAACGCCTACATAGCTGGCCTGGCTGTTCGCTGTCTGTCTTCGACAATCTCCATCCTCAGACTCTATTGTCTCAACTTTCCCCGATTTCTTCTAGTAGTCGCTAGTCAGCTACGGCGGGTGCAACATATAAACGTCGCTCCTCTCGTCTGTGTTGCACACCTACAATACGTCTGGGGACAAGCGGGGGAGCCATAGGAAATCGTGGGGTAACAGAGAAGCAAGCGAGCCATTCCCTGCCCCTCATCAGCTGAGTTTACCAAGGTTGTTGTTACTCTAAGGGCTCCTGTACGCCGTGAAACTCCAGTTCATCACCCATGGACCGTCGTTTTTCTCAAATAACCAAAAGACCCGAGACATTTTTTCACATCCTGTCAAGTTGTGTCTCACACTGAGAAGCTCCCCTCCACCGCATCTCCTTATCTGGTTTGGTTCCACGATGCTGTGGAAGCACTCCGCGAGCCAGCCTGATACATTGCGCTTGTCTCTATGTCCAGTCTGCTGCAGCAACATCGAGCAATGCATCACCATGATGAACCCTCTACCGCAAGGACACCCAACGAAAACAATCATGAATATCCCTCTCGCTCACATCACTCACACCTCAGCTATGTCCAGACCACCATGACGGCAAATAACCCCCTGGCGTCATGCCCGTGAGTCCCGCCTTGACCATTCCAGCCTTTTTCTGTCCCGATCAATATCACAGTCAACCCGATATAGTGTTGTGGCTGACCTGAATTTGTCAGGTACGAACATAAGCTTATCACTAATGGGACAACGGCACGAATCGTGCTGATGTTTGTCCGCGAGCTTCTCGAACGGTTGATCCTGAATTCCCAGGACTCACAGAGCTACAGCTGCCCCATGACTAAGTGCCACAAGACTTTTGCTGCCCCGCTCCAGCTGATCCAACACCTTTTTTCTTGTCAGGAGATCTCGAATGGCAGCTTCGATTGCGACCAGTGTAATCATTGCCATACCTTCCCCACCAACGAGAAAGACTGGGCCGAATGGACTAGTTGGACATCTATTCCTAGTGCAAATATCCATCGAAGGCGCAGCTTTGGTTCGAGGGTGAAAGAGTTCGCTCTGAGAAAGAAAGAATTCCGCAAACAAAACACACACGCCGAGTCGTTCTACCGCGAGAACTGTGCCATGGCAGATTCAAGACCAAGCACTACTGTTTCTCAGTCTTCTGGCACAAGCTTCACTGATGAAGAGCTTCACCAATCTGGCTCAGCCTTGCCTGCACATCTCGATCAGCAACATGGACACAGCTACACAGCCGCACAGACGCCAGTATTACCGACCACGTTTGTTCAGCTTGATGGAAGGATGCTCTGGACAGGGCTCAATGGTATTGTATCCGACTTGTCGTCGACTGTATCATCAACAACTCCATCATCGATCGCGACGGAACTTCCCTCGGGTCAACGGTCGCAAAACTCGTCGCACACTGCCCTTTTCGACGCAGCCTGCTCCCAGAATCATTCTTCAGCCATACCGACGTCTGAGCAAGAAGCCAGAACTATGTTATCAGCAGCCTCTTATGCGTTTTCTACGCAAACCAACTCATTCAGCTCCTCCTTGTTGTCATTTCAACAACATATCCACCCATCTTCTGTATCTGTCATGGCAGTGGATGAGCCGCTAGCTCAGCAGAGACTCCCGGTGTCTCATCAATCTATGCATTCTGCATCTGGGTTAAGCGTTGATCATCAGTGGTGGGCTTCTAAGGGGAGGATGGAAGCCCCTCAGCTCACACCAGTGTCATCTGAGATGAATGAAAACTTGTCATTGCATCAAAGCATGCCCGGTGCCGTCGTGAACAGCACACCGAGTGGGGCTGACCACTGTTTGTCAGGTCCTAGATCTCCTTGCCCTGAAGGGTCTACAATTTTTTCGGCTCATCAGACCGACACAGCAGTTCAATCAATGGCTCACGCGCTCAGTAATGCCACCATGAATACAACAAGTATGACTCCGACAATATACGAGACACTTGGATACATGGACGGTCAGCTACAACACTGTGTCAACAGCCTATCTCCGCAAGACCAGAAGGTCCAGCTACCCGAAATCGATCCTCCCTCACTGCAGCCACAGTCTGATCCCCTCGGAGCATCCACTTCCACTGTATCTTCTCCTACATCGATGCAACGGAATCTAGCAGTTGCGGAAACTTCTCGACCCACACCGGCAATTTCACAGCCACAATCTCCGGAGGATGAGCTTGTCTGTGATGAGTGTCAATGGAAGCCGCGTGGTGTGCGAGAGAACCTTAAGGGATATCTGCGGAAGCATAAGAACACACACAAGGGCTTGCGCCTGGCCTGTGATGTAACCGGTTGTACTAAAACATTTACACGTCTAGACAACCTTAAAAAGCACAAAAAGGAGAAGCATGGAATTGACGAAAGTGGCCACTCTGCACAGAAGAGGGCAGCCGGTGGTGGAAAGGGGTCCGCGACGACGATGGGGACTGAGACGGGAGCCGCTGTGAACAGTGCACAAGCCTCTGGTCAAACTAACCAATGCCACAGCCAGGGTGAATCTGATATTCAGCAACAACAGGAACAAGAGAAGTCATCGTCTCCGTCTGCACCGAGCATAGGTCTGGCTGACTTCCGGAGAATGACTGCAGTGGCTGCAGCGGCCGATGACTACCCGATGCTCTGGCCAGCATTGCACTTTTGAGCAGGCTCACCTGCAACACTTTTTGTTCCACAACACAAGTCCTTTGGGGATCCTTTTCTGATCCCCGTTTTTAACGACCCTGGTCTTCATGTTTTAGGGTATCATTCTTAAAAAATAAAAAAAAAGGATCAGAGGGGTTCAGGTTCCAAGGGATGAAGGGGCAGATGTGGCATCATTTGTAACAAAAACGTTGAGCCGGTTTGTACGGTTTATACGGGCTTATTTTCTCGTGTTCCTGTTATCTTTTACCGTTTATAGCCACCTTCCAGAGTTCCAAGATACCCAAAGTTAGGGTTTATGCTCTCTTCTTTTCATACCTCTGCAATCATACCAATCAATATGATTTTCCCATCACCAAGATCCTTCATAATAAGTCCACCGTGGATGCCCAACGATTCCTGATCTCTTGTAACAGCCGCTAAGCAGAAAAGCTGGACATCGACCAAGGCGACAAGTCAACAATTCAACCATGCTTCAGCCATGGAACTCTTTCAAGGGAAACTCAATTTGCCTTAACTGAGACAGGAATGTGCGGCCTGATCCGCAAGTAGTAAAAGCGTCTTGCAGTTATGCGATAAGGCCCAAGTACTTCTATAGACAGCTACCTGATAGGCAGTGAGAACTCTAATTATGGGCTATGTTATCATGAAGAACTGAACGGAAAGTTGAAGAAGCTACATTTCTTCTCATCAGAACTCTTCCTACACCCTACCATCGACAACCACACAGTTCACTCGGCCATGCGCTTCGTATACTAAACACCAAACACAGAGTCTGGAACCTTTTGCTTCATAGTCGAATTGGGCCTCGCTTTTGCTTGGCCCTGGGACTGTTAGTGGAATGAGGTCATGGAGATCAGAGGAGACAAGTTTAAGTGGACCGGATCAGTAGGTGGATGAACTCTTGAGTCAAGGAATACGGACTGCCGATGTGGAGGGCGACCGTTACTGCCTTTGAAATCAAGCAGGATAAGGCATCGACCCCACTTCGAAACAAAATATATGCTTTCCACCCGTGTACAATGTTTCGGCCTTTCTATCACTGTCTCGATTGAGCATCAAGACCATTTTGTAAAGAAAGCATCTGGACGACATCACACTCTTTGCGACAAAGGGTGACAATGATGAGCTGAAACCCTGTTACAGCTTTGCTGTTTGTTGTTGCACTCTCGAGTCTCGAGTTTGAAATGCGGGGCATGAGTTGTCGTAGTACCAGTGACGTGACCGATGTCCCCAGCAGAAGCGCGCTTCTCCAACGGAGCAATCAGCATGACGACACTGACATTGACTCCTGGCCAAACCGTCGCCACCGCTATTTAGGTCCGGCCAAGGACGGTTATCTGGAGGCTTGACGTGCTTCCCATGCCAGAAGTTTTGGAGGAAACACTGATACAATCCATCTCAAAGCATATCGGGCATCGAAAGATTAGCTATGGAGTCACAGCCACACCAACAGAAGCAGAAGAAGCCCCATCACCCACACCATGTGCTTCCTAAGCACGAGACGGGTTATACTGATGAGGCTGCCGAAGAATGTCACGACCTGATTGACCGGGCCGAGGAGGAAGCACATGTGAGCAGACCATTGCAGAACTCTTTGCTTTGTACTTGCCCAAGGCAATTGCGATCATGAAACAGAAGATGCTAATAGCACACCTACCCTTTGTTGTGGTTCAGCTCCACGAGCCTGGCTCGATGTACTCGACAGGGGCCATGTATGCAAATGAGAGCATTCCGCATGTGGCCACTAGTTCCAAGAGCACTGGCATGCAAAGCACAGCAAGAGAGGCAGCCGCAAAAATGGAGAAAAAGGGACAACAGCTCAAAGAAACAGTTGCTGAGAAGATGGGACAGATGAAAGAGACGATGAATATCAAGAAGTAAAGGGTGACGGGGGATGTTTGAGGTTCGCATGCTCGAGATTGGAGACATGTAATTAACTGTTGGCCAGAATGCCGGTGACTGAAAATCAACAAAATTCTCACGAGTATGACAAACAGAATTTGGACGTGATCTCACAAGGAAATGTGGCTGGGGCCGATCCGGCCAAAGAGAGCTGTGAGCTTTCATGTACATAGTTGACAGAGTGAGGAGGTCAGGATGTTGCTCTTCACCGCAGTTCAGTCTGCATCGGCATCAGCATGGCGTGTGGCTGTAAAGTAGCTCGGATATAGCATAAAAGCTAGACCAGACCACCAACATGAGCATACGCAGAAACAAGCCCTAGGCCCTCGCCCTTCACTGCCGTTACAGTTTGGAGGGCTTTTTCTGCTGTTTCCGGTCTCGCCACGATAGCTAACTGGTGGGCACAGTAGAGGAAGTTTCATCCAGTTGTTGAAGTCTTTGTCTGGGAGCAAGGCGAGCACAGCGGAAAGGCTGTGTCCGAATTAACTGGTTGGTTGGCGACCATAACAATTCAAAGAAAAACACCTAACATTGGTGGAGACTAGGCAAACCGCACGGCTTTCTTGGTACTGACGCGCCGAGGTAGGTAGGTAGGTAGGTAGGTAGGTAGGTAGGTGTGCCAGGAGATAGATGTTCTGGCTTGAGATCTCCGAGGAGAAAGCCAGAAAAGCCATGCAGCATGTCAATGTATAGATACATGGAGGAACGCCCAGTATTCATGTAAAAAAGTAGGGGTAGGCACAAGATGATAAGAAAAGGCGCCAAGGCTAGTTATCCTTTGTGTCAAAAACACTCTTTTAGCGCGGGGCTGAGCCAACTCGCCAAGCAAGCCGCTGACTGTGTGTGGGCCATGAAACCAATGTGAGCAGCTACAGATCTGGCACGCCACGCTGCGGCTGAATGGCTAATAACCTGGAACAAGGCTTTTTTTTCCCCCTCTGTTCTTTTCGTGCGGGCAGTGCCCCTGCCAAGAGCTGTTGCTCAAACGAGTGTGACTGTTCCACCCAGTTGGGAATGGAAGATGCAAGCGCCATATCTATGGAGTACCTACCTAGGTACCTTACTTATACGCACGCTGTGTAAGTTACAATAGTAATACCTGTCTGCGCGAGGCTTGAGGTCATGGGGCTCATTAGCTTCTTCAACTCGCAACTCAATAAAACGACGACCTACAGCCCAACAGAGAGCTGCCGTCAAAGCATACACTCGGAGATTCTCCACGTCATCCGGATTTCCTTCTGTTGCATTCGATTCTGCCAATCAACCGTGTTTGTTAGTCTTGAGAACAAGGACAAGAACCCTAAGTATATGGGGTGATCACTCACTAGCACATTCACCGTAGCATTTGAACACGCCTTGACATCGCACAGATTACATATATAATTTCTTCCGGATCGTTGAGGAAACGAGCAAGAAAACTTAAGCCCATCATGTCTGGACACCCCTCCGTCGCAGGGTCTGACACGGAGTCAACAAGAGCAGGACTGGACTCGAGCACCGCCGCTGTTCACAACGATGACATGCTCCCGCCACCATATCCCAGTGACCCCTTTGGCCTGGATGTTGACTTGCCCGATCTTAGCAGCCCTGACGCTGTCCCTACTTACACTCCAATTGACACTACTTCACTCCTTGCTCGCCTCAACCGGAATCCCGAGCTCAAGTCTAAGCTTGGTCTGCCGCTGAACAGCTACCCGCGGCCTCCATGGAATTTGGACGATGACGGCCCTCACACCCTTGACAGGAGTCTCAGCGAGGAGGAAAAACGCAAGGTCTATACCATACAGTGCGAAATCATTGCCTCCTTATTCGAAAACATCGCCAAGAAAAGTGTTGACGGAGTAAGGCTCATGATCACGGAGGGGCTGGTCTCACCGGATGTGCAGAACGCAGAGCAGGGCAGGACACCGCTCATCGCTGCCGTCGAGACGGGCAGCACAGAGATGGTGCAGATGCTGCTCGACCAGGGTGCACAGGTGAACGCATTCGGCTGCGTGGACAGGCAGCAAAAGACAGGCAGACCGGTGATGAGGACGGCGTTGATGGTTGCCGCGGCGCGGGGGAGCCTGACGCTGGTCAAGCTGCTTATGGACAAGTACAAGGCAGACGACAGCATCATAGCCCCAGACGGACAGCTGGCGCTGCGGCTGGCGGCAGAGGGCAAGCACCGAGACGTGGTTAAGTTTCTGCCAACACGACGCGGCGGCGAGTGGCTGCGATGGAAGTCGCACCACGAGGTGGCACTGCGCCGGATCAAGCGAGCAGCGGACAGGCTGGTTCGCGTGGTAATGTTCTTTGTCTACGAAGTGCCTGTGTTCTTTCTGTGGGAGCTGCCCAAGGCCTGCCTGCTCAGGCCATTCGCGCGGATGGGCCACAAGTTGTGGACCAGGCGCCGCGACGTGGTCCGCTGGTGCAAACTGCAGGTCGTTCTCTTCCCACAGAGGGTTGCGCGTGCCGGGAAGGCCATCTGGCGCGCTGCCAGAAAGGCGCCGGGTGCGGTGTGGCGCGTGGTGAAAGAGTTGCCAGGTGTGGTCAAGAGTCTTGTTAAGTGGCTGTGGCGCTTTGTGTGCCGTATCCCTCGGATCATGAAGATGGCGGCTCTCTGGATCTGGATGATCCTTGCCAGCATCGGCCATGCCGTCGCCCACATCTTCCAGCACATCATCGCCGCCCTCCACACCATAGTTGCTGCCGTGCTCGACTTCTTCCGGAATATCACGCTCAGGAACGTGTGGGCGGGCGTCTGTGACGTCTTCGACGCCATCTTCCGCCGCCTGCCCCGTGCCGTGTGGTACGGCATCAAGTCGGCCGGCGAATGCGCCAGTTGGGTCATCGTCTCGCTATTCGGATGCTTCGGCAAGGCCATCCTCCTCATCATCGGTGCTCTGTGGTACTGCGCCAAGTATGTGCCTCACCAGCTGTGGGAGATCATCCAAGGCTTCTGGTCGTCGCTAGCCAAAGGCTACCACGAGCTCATGACCTGGTTCAATCCCAAGTATAGTCCCTAACAGCTCCATCGCACAGCTTATTTTTTTTCCCGCATTTTTTTTATCGTTCCATTTCGTTTTTTTTTCTTTTTGGTTTCAGGTCCTGAGTGCTGGGTTTTGTTAGCACTAGCGAGAGTGTCAGATATTATGTACTCTATGTAGACTGTCTTATTGTTGCAACAAACGTCATGAATGATAATGAATGATACCCCAAACCTGCGACGCACAGATATTTGATGCAAGGTACGGACAGGGTAGGTAAGCCGGATCATGAAAATACTGGTCGCCCAGCTACACCGGGGATCTAAGGTAGCACTCGGTTCCTGCATCCTGAGAAATTGCGAATCACCGCCGTAGCAATTTTGACTCTTTTTGGAAGCATAGCAGGCGCAAAGACGGCCCGGGTACTCGCAACCAGGAACAGGCAATCCCAGCAGATCCCGCCTTGCTGTTTCTTAGCATAGTTTTGTTGCGTGATGTGGAATGCAGAAATAGAACGAAAACTAGCTGAACCATGGATACGAAACACACCGGCGAAGTCGAGATCGAGTTTACTGTGTACTGCCTAGGCATGGGGCAGATACCTAGCCCCAGTTTTGGGCTCTACCTTGTTAGTTTCTGTCTGATTATAAGGATCTAAGCATCTCACCCATGTACCTAACTCATCGCGATGCCACATTCTCTTGAAAGTACAGTCGGTTGATATTTAGCCGGCGAACTGGTGATGAATGGGCTCTGGGCTCCTGACTGTCAAGTCCTGAGTCGTTCGTTCGTTTTAGAAGTCAGCATCCACTGGAGCTTGCGTTTCACCTCCTCCATACACTGGTTTCATTCGTTCATTCTGCTCCTGCTACAGAACTTGAGTCCTTCAAAGCCGCGCCACTCCTTGGGACCCAGAGCCATTGGCACATCGTCGTGGTCTTCGTCACTATTCATGATGTCGTCCGTCCTCTCACCGCCCGGCCTTCGTGCCGCCACGTCATTCCTTTGTCTGGCCATGGCCGTCCAGGCACTGCCCAGGGGCCTTTGGAGAAGCGAAGACTCCTTCACGCGGCAGGCCTGCTTCGTCTCGGCACATGATGAACAGAGGCTGCTTACAGAGAACGCTTCATCCTCCGAGTCCATGACGGTCGAGGCATGTGCGGCATCTTGCTCCTCGTACCAATATTTCGGTCTTGAGTACGGTCGGGAGTGCTACTGCGGCAACTCGTACCCAGAAGCAGCCGTCTCCGTCGCCGACAGCGAATGCTCCTTCAGCTGCTCTGGAGACAGTACACAAACCTGTGGCGCTGGTAATCGCATCGAGATCTACCGCAACAACAACTGGACGCCACGCACTCCAGCCGCCCTCGAAGTGCCTTACCTCGGCTGCTTTAAGGACGAGGGTTCTCGCGTGCTGCCCAATAACCTCCTAGCCGCCGACGATATGACGGCCGAGAAATGTGCCCAGCATTGCAGCAGCTACGCTTTCTTTGGTGTCGAGTACGGCCGGGAATGCTGGTGCAGTAACAATGCTCCCGAGCCGTCTCTTGCTGCCCCTGAAGCCGACTGCTCTTTTCCCTGTGCCGGCAACGACACCCAGATCTGTGGCGCCAGCGGTCGTATTAACGTATGGGGTGCTCTCGTGGCTCCTGTCGAGTCACCTGATGAAGTTGACAACTTCAATTGGCTGGGGTGCTTCACTGATAATGTCGGTTCTCGCTCTCTGCTCGGCCCGGTCTTCCACGCTGAGGATATGACGCTCGAAAAGTGCGCCGCCAACTGTGCAGACTACGGCTACTTCGGCGTCGAGTACGGCACGCAGTGCTTCTGCGGAAATAGGCTCCGCGAGACCGCCGAAGAGGTGGATCAGGCTGAGTGTGCCATGCCCTGCGGTGGTGACAATGCCAATGTGTGTGGCGACGCCAACCGCTTGACTGTCTATGTCAGCAAGGACTGCCGCGTAGACCCCGATCGCCCCACCAGCGTGGGCAGCTTCCAATATCAGTCATGCCGGACCGATAGTGTCTCCTCCCGGGCTCTTCTTGTCTCGAATGAAGAGCGCGTCCTTCGCGCTGATGACATGACTGTCGAAAAGTGTGCCGAATTTTGTGACGGGTACCCCTATTTTGGTGTTGAGTACGGCAGTCAATGCTTCTGCGGCGATCAGCTTTCAAACACCAGTCAAGAGGCCCCAGAGGAGGAATGCGCTTACCTCTGTAAGGGAAACCCTCTTCAATTGTGTGGTGCAGCGGACAGATTGAATGTGTATGCTGTCGCGACAGCCCCAGATTCCTAAGTTCGGGAGAAGTTCTGGGTCATGCTGAGCGAAGGAATTAAAACCAGGTGTTGGAGCTCTTCGGTTAAGTAGCGCTTGTAATGTGCGCTCGCTGTTCTCTTAGAATCGGCCTCTTTTTTTTCTTTTTTTTTGGCTTTTATCGGTCTCTTGTTTTGCTAGAGTCGATCTGTGTGCCATAGAAGAGATAAAGCACTAGACCTGTAATAGGCAGGGAATGTGTAATAACTCGTCACCCACATGTCAGAGAGATGGACTGAAAAATGAACCTTTGTTTTTTTACAAGCAGGCAATTGGAATCCGAAGTTTTTTCGTGTTACCCAAGATTGATTGGCCGGCTGCCTGGTCGACTAACAACCTGTCTAGGACCGCAAAAGAAAGATGAAGAGGGGATAGAAGCCGGGGATACTGAAGGCATAAGAAATGAGCTGTCCTACTCCTCCCGGTAGGTACAAGAAACTGCTAGAGAGACACCACATTAATATGTACACCTCCTGGAATAAAAAGTCCCTTAGCTTGAGAAGCCATTATATGTGAGTGTTCTCTGATTAACAAGTCGCTCTCAGGAAACCGCAACCTAGCCTAGCAGTATGATAGAACTTGCATTGGTACTGGAAAATATGACACAACATAACAGTTCCAATACATTAGAAACCATGCGTTGCCATGCCCATACACGGGCGGGTGACCAAGAGTGACCAAGAGAGATTGCTCTGTAACAGCCGGTTTGTTCCAACTTCAAACATCCCTGGCTTCTTCGAAATCTAGGATAGAGATCTGAGGCCCACGAAAAAAAAAAAAAAAGCTAACCTTCGACCAAAGAATGCTCGACTTTGGAAATACACCAAAGAGGCAATGGCAATCTCCAATCCACACAAAACAGAGCGAGGTAAAGAATAGGAGAAGCCTAACATTCCATGTTTATTATATATATATATGTGTGTGTGTGTGTGTGTGTGTGTGTGTGTGTGTGGAGGGGAACAAAACACCAAACAAAGAGGAAGTGATATATAGCTACTTGGCAGATAATAATCCCTTTGCCCTATCCTCGTCCAAAGCCGACATTGCTCTGTTGCGTCTCTTGAAAAGGATAGTGACCAACAGATAAGCAGGTGGCCGACGCTCGCCAAAATCCAGAATACCGCCCAACCAAATACACCCGACCATCCATCCGCCTTGCCCATCAGCCCTCCCAACTCAACAAGACTTTTGGGGGAAGACGCCCCGACCAACTAGGCAAGAAAATAACAAAAGAAGTACAATCCGCATTCTGCAAAAAGGCTGCTTTTTGAGATCGCTGGTATAGGCGCATTGATACACACTCAACAACTCCACGAAAGGAAATTGTCCGAGGAAGGCTAGAAGCTCTAAAAATAAACTGGTAGGCAAAAGTATGTTGTTGTGTGAAATAAAAGATGTTTGAACAGGGAGCTGTCCACAACTTGTTTTTGGAGAGCCATGATGTGGTGACGGATGGATCATCATGGACGGCCTCCCCTTGCGGTCAGCTCTGCAGCCTCAAGAAGTGATAAACTGCCTATAAGCGAATTTTAAATCGAGTGTATGATAGAACAGAACGCCGAAAACCGCGTCTGCGGGCGGTAAAGACTCTGAAGTCATCCCCGTTGGTCCTCGTTCCTTTGGTGAGGGCTGAGAGCAGATGGGGATATTGCTCCGTATGTCCAATTCGAAGAACTTCCAGCCAGAACCTGCCCGGCCCATGCTTGATAGCTAAGACGCGGATCGGCCATTTTAAGCCACACGGGCAGAATTCTGGTATGACGGCACCCAGCCAACGCCGTGTCTCATTCAGAATCGCGTTGGTTCAGGAGGGCGATATCCATTGACCCTTGGTGGCTCATACTGAACCCCAGTCATTGAGTCCGGCCCACCAACTGGCGGAGCCGAGGCGCCCTGAAGAGCAGAACGCAGTGGTGGCAATTCCGGTTGCCTTGGCCGGCCATACTGATCGGTACCGTATGGATGATGGTGATCCGGGGCCGGTTGGTGAGGCTGGGGTGGCCTGCTGTTCATCCTGCACTCGTGGAGCTCACGCTTGAGCATCTCGATTTCGGCCTGTTGTGTAGCGGCGTGAGCTTGGAGCTGCCGGATGAGCTCGTTCTGTCGGTGGTGCTCTTGGATAGCTGAAACGACGAGTCAGTAAGATGACACAGCAGCAGAGCAACCGTTCACAGAATGTTATTACCTTTGGTAAGGATCTCCCATTTCGAGGCTTTAGAGCCTCGCTCTTGGGGCATTAGATCCCGAAGTTGCTCGAACAATTCTTTCATCTCAGTGCGCCGCTTCCGTTCGGCAAGCTTGTGGCTGATGCGGAGTTCTGGAGTGCGACTATATGGTTGCGAGCTCGTTTGAGAGCTTGATTCTCCGTTCCGCAAATCGCCTACTTGCTTGTGCTGCAAAGAATGGTGGTGCACATTCGAGAATCCGCTTCCACTTTCCTCTAGCCGGCGTTGACCTGGAGGAAGCCGAGACTCGGTCGTGAACTGGCTACTAGCTAGTGACTCAGCAATGCTGCTTCGTCTCGAATCGATCAGCGACTGGCTGGCGGTAGAGGGCAATCTATGAATCTCTTCTTCCGGGAAGGCCCATGCTTGGCCCTTGGTCGGCTCGGCCGCGCGCGCAATCGTGCTGGTGGCTGGCCCGGTGATGGCAGGGGCAATCCTCATCGTCTTGGGATGATGGCCTTCGGGGTTTCGCTCGGCGCTTGGCTGGTAGCCGTTGGAGATGCGATGGATGGAAAGGCTGTCAAGCCCCGAGCGTGGGTTCCTCTGTTGCTGCAAGGTAGTGTGAATCGAGGTCGTGGATTGGTTGTGGCTCGCATAGGGCGAATTGCCCAGCCTCATATCGTTGAATCCTTGGTTGATTCGACTGTCGACGCTCTCACGTCGTGACAGCGACTCGGCGGGATCGCCATTTAGAAAGGTCGCACTGTTCGGGCCCGAGTCGAGAGACTGCGGACGATCGAAGCGGCCCATGTTGCCGGTGTTGGTGGGCGAAACGATGGACGCGACACTCATGCTGCCATTGCTGTGGGTTGGCGACACAAGGGGCTGGGGCAGGAGGTTAGATTGGGACGTTGGCGACGGGGTTTTGTCGGCGGGAGAGGCCTGAAAACCGGAGGTTGGAGGGCTCAGGACGCCCATTCCCGACGCAGCAGAGGTGTCTGTGCCATTTGAGTAAGCCAATTGCTGCTAAAGACACGGGATAGGGGCACCGGGTAACCAAACGTTTGCTGGATGCGTCGGTGCTAGAATAATAGGCCGAGTCCCTGTGGTCGTCTGGCGCGTTCAGCACTCCCGCCAGCCCAGCTGGGAACTTCTGCGATGCTGGCCTAGACTGATCCATTGTCGGGCATGGAAAGCAGCCTTGGAATCCCTCTCACGAACGTTTGAAGATGGGCCTCAGGCCACGCTTCGACGAGAAACGAGAACGCAGGTGCGGCAACTACAGCGAGATTCGTTTCGAACAGTACAGCGTCGAATGTAGGATGGGGCACAAAACCGGTTGGGGACGTTGACGGCAATCTCAAGATCTCAGGCTGCGAAGTACGGATTATTCGCAAGGGCGCCGGCGGGCGAGATTGGATCCGATCGCTGATTGAATGCCGTCACAAAGCACCTGCAGTGTCGCCGTTGAGTCGAGCACGAAGAGAATAAAAAAAGAGGTTGCCCAAAAGAACACAGGACGCAAAAAAAAACCAGTCAGCAGTCGACGGACTGCTCGGAGCTATGGAATCTGGGCGTGCAGTGGGCGTCGACAGGCGTGGTGCGTGGTTGTGGGCAGATGCAATATCGACGGCGTGTTAGGGACTGGGGGCGCAGGCAAACTAGCAGCAGACCATGGAACTGTCAGGCCGGGCCTAGCACGTTTTTCAAAGGAGCCCCGGGCACCAGTGTCTGGGCTCCCTGGAGCGTGCGAGCGCGCAGCGGGGCGCGAGGGGTCCAATGATCGCCTGGGATTGGTCAGATGGGAGACATGCTGCATCCACACCTATGCACATTCAGGGGTCCCAGTTCGCGCTGGGTCCTTGGACAGCCCACAACAAAGCCGCCCATGGTTAACCTTAAGCACAGTACGGAAACATTACGGTATACAAGTTTCAGCAGATCTTCACTAACGAATTTACCCAGTTTAGATGCCAGGCTGATGGTTGTTTGGTGCGATTTTTCTCTTTCAACATCTATTATCTTGACTTTTTTTTTAAAGATATCGTTGCAAAATTTCCAAAAAAAATAAGAAAATACAGATCGAGACGCGAACAAAAGAGAGAAAGATAAACATTTATTGTACCGCACAAAGGAATGCTTGAGAGATCACGGTGCGCTGCAGGGATAAGTATGTACTATTCCTTTCGCCTGAAGCTATCCTAGGACTCCTGGTCAACAAAAGCAAATTCGGTCGAAGCTGTTAAGTGCGTCACTTACTCGAATTACATACATGTTATGTTACTTTGAGAAGGGATCGCAATTGCCCAGAACGCATTCATCACCAAAGTCACGTAAAGCTGATTTTTATGCTGCTCTCTACTTATCAATGTCAACGCATCATGCTAGTGGCAAGTACACGGACACGATCACCTACATATCCTCGAGGCTAAGACACGTGGTGCTAGGTTACCGATAAATGCGGTCCTGTCACCTGCCTAGCGCACATTGGGCACGGCTAACAGCCTGTCGCCTTGGGTGGTGGGGGTTTTGTGGAGAAAAATATCGTGCAGTGCGTGGATCGTAGTGGATCACGGCGGTCCGGCCAAGGGCAAGTCTAAGCTCCAGCCGAGTAAGCCAACAAGAAATCCTTATGGATGGTACATCCAATAGCTCAAGAGACCACTGGAAGACACTTATGGTGCTGTAAGTGCTTCGCAGAAGACGTTGGAAGATCGGCACCGAAATTTTCAAAGATCTACCCAGTTCCGTGTATGACAGCGGAACCCAGTTTTTTGGCGTGTCGGCTATGTTGTTCCCTGCTTTGGAGACAACCGAAAGCCCGAGATACAATGCCTTTCAAGCATCAGATATTGCAATCGCTCCCGATCCTCAGGTAGCACCACGCTGGCTATCCGACCGCGTCATTTCCATTGGAGCTTGGAGTGCAACTGTGCTCGGTAACGAGATAAAAGTTCAATCCCGAATGAGTGTCAGATAGGCAAAACCCCAGCCAGTCTCATTTCGTTCTCCATAGGTAGGCTGAAATATACGGATGACACTACAGGTTAAAACGCTTCTCACCATCTCAGCTTGTTTACAGTGGATCTGGAAGCTACGTAATTTACTCTAGCTTTATGATGCTGGTTTTGTTGAAAGAGGAACTCAGAAATGCTGAGACCTCCCACGGACATTGAGGCTTACATTTGTCACTGTCATGCAGTAATTACCCTCCTGCCACATGACACCTGAGCCTAATTGGGTAGCACTTCGGTGCCTACCTATGTGCGCATGCAATGCAATAGGGCGAAGCACACTAGGTCTTTGCTTTATGCTCAGATGTCAAAGATCACTGTTGCAGAATCAGTTGTCAAACACTTTTTCCTGACCCGCATCTCACATTTCGATTGCATTTGCGCTCTGAAGCATGCCTTGTTATTTTACAGGGTACGTATAGGCTTTTGATGTATCGTTGTTCTGCCTTTGGGCTCTGATCTGGGGTTTGTTCCCGAATCGTCCCTCTCTATTTATCTGCCACATTGTGTCTTGCGTAGGATGTAGGTATTGGGGTTGCATCTCATTCGCGAACACATGAAGAGTCCAAACACATCCACTTACCATAAGTTACTTGTCTCGACCAATCCGCCTATCGTCAACCGTTATATAACTTGACGGCCAGTCGCTGTAAGCAATACGCAAATGACTCCTTGGTAGTCTGCTTGTCTATAAGTGTTAAATCCCACATCTCCACTTACTGCGGCTCTAAATGGTTATGCAGCACAGCCCTTAACATGCAGTGCTTTGTTGTGTCCTGTTGTCGAATTTGATCTCCATACTTGGGCCAAGCTTAGGGAACCAATCCCCGAGAAATCATTGCAGACTGAGCTCAGAGCGTTTAAACTGATTCAAAGGGTTGCGACATAATTATCGCCGGGGCTAGATAGTTATTTAAATAGACAAGCAGCTCATCAAGGAGCGAAAAGTTCAGCGCATACGATGCGGTGACTCTTTCCATTTACCTATGCATCGGGCTTTTTACTTACCTCTGGGCTACAGATTTACCTATATGATCTCGTTATTTGTTACTTGGTGGTAATTTCGTCCTGCCGCCCTTGACCGTTCGCAAGCAAACAGTGTTTTGGGTCCTGGGCACATTGCTATAACCGTTGCTGGCTATTACAAGAGGTACTTTTGTTGCACCCTCCGTTTAAAACGATGCACCTTCTGGAGTGGAACTCTGTTGAAGTGTCGCTCAATCAATCTTTATTTTGGTTTTCCCCGAAAAATGACACAAGAAAGAGCAACCTCGAGCCTTGTGTCCGGGTCCAGGCTTTGAAATTGAAAAACAAGACCTGGGAACCATGCCATCTAGAATCTCCCTCGTCTGATGATCCAGGTGGCTCAGGAACGAAGCCTGTAATTCCCGCATGTTTACTAGTGCATTACGCGCGATACAGCACATTTAGATCATTGCCACGTGTCAGTGGAAAATCTGGGAGCTGCAGCATTCCAAACGCTAGAAATGCTTGCTACCGTTGCATGTGCAAACCTGCGTTAGCACTCATGCCACTTGCCAGACAGCCGACTACAACCACGCAGCCCGAACAGAACGTACCAACTGAGGGAGCATTTCAGTAGAGTTGGCTAAGGTGAAAGGTACTTTCAAACTGGTAGACAACCGTAAGTACCGCCTCGTTCGCTGGACTCGCCAAGAAAAGATGTTGTAAAGCATGCATTATGGTCCCATATTACGGTCATCAAATCTCCAGGAACTTTTTGGCGGGGTATCGGGCGTGTAGGTATGTACTGTGGTAATGTAGTAATGCATTTTTGCACAGTGAACTGTGAAGCACGTGTCAGGAGGCGGAACCGCTCCTCAGCCGGCTGACAGCCAAGCTACGGCTTTTTGACCCAGGAGCCATCGGATCGCCCCACAATGAGAGATCGCCGAGCCCACGCATTGCAACGAGCTGAGAATGCTAATGGCAAGAGTTTTAGCGTTCCCGTCCGGCTGTGTACAGGACGGCCCGACATTGTCCACTTGATCTCGGGATTTGACAAGATTGGTCATACCTCCGCTTTGCTTACCTTCAATCACAACTAGCGATGGTTCGATCAAACTGGCTCTGCTGCTTCTCTCTAAAGCTATGTGGTCCTTGTGAATGAGACAAAGCCTAGGCTTGGATAGGAAGGACTCGTGGTGTTTGAGACCAACCGACGGTTTATTATATAGGCAAGTGGCTGTGCTCGAAACTCAGGTTCCCGGGAATACTTGTCGCCGTTTCCTCCCTAAGCGAATTCGAACCCCCTCATCCAGATACTTCATCCACCGAGGAACCTCATAATTCGTACGGGAGAAACTCCCTACCCAGCAGCATTATGAAGATTTAGTGAATTCCTTATAGCAATCAGTCCTCCTTATAAAAGAAGGTGAAATATCGGTAAACTAGAATCAAACAGTATCGTCGTATCGCAGCCGCAAGCTCTCTATACCATAGGTGTTGTGCCATAACTCCACGATTCTCCCTCATATAGCTCCTGCAGAGAATTTGGGCTAGCTTGTAGTAACATCGCGCAAGCCTTTACTTGGAGAGTTGGTTGACCTCGGTATCTCATGGTGTTTAAAAACTGGGATTTGCAAAACGAAGTGACTCTATTGAAATATAGCATTTGCTATAGATCAAAACGCTGCAGCATCATGATTCTGGAACTCTGCCGGTTCATGATTCTCACTGCGTTCCAGTAATCTGCTTCTTTAGTGTACTCATCTTATCGGCCTTCCTTCTTAAACATGTAGTGATTTTCTCTAGTTTTACTCGGAGAAATGGAAGTCCCAGCTAGTCGATCAGCCAGCAATTTGCTTCCCTACGAATAAAAACATAGCCAGTGGAAAGAGGTTGCTACCTACGACCTAAGTTGTACATTGCTGCGCAGCAATGGGGCAAGCAGAGGAAATGGAATCAAATGATTAAAATGATTTTAGAAAAAAGAAATCCCAGAAGCAATGCAAAAATCTAATAACCAGACGAACATAGGGTGAAGTGGACGAGCTGGGAATCGAACCCAGTACCTCTCGCAGAGCCTTGAAAGCTAAGAACCCGTAGCAATGCTAAGCGAGCGCTCTACCAAATGAGCTACACGCCCTTCTCTGCGAGTGTCAACAGACTCGCGGCATCTGAGTCGGCAGGCAGCAAAGGTGGCTGCGTTGAGGGAGATGGTATGAGTTTGGTCAGTTCACCGAGCCAAACCCAAGGGAAGCTTGAACGTGAGGATAGTTTAGACAAGCCAGTGAAGTTGACTGTAACCATCAGTTAGTAAGTATACTTCTCTATAGTCACTTTTCCAGGACTCAAAAGCCTGTATCATTCGACTGAACTGGAATCCGTTTGGGGCAAGACCCAACCAACAGACCTGAAAGCTTGACTTTGTTTTGCTCAGAATACTGCTATCATTCAGTTACTACCACCGTATAAGACCTTAAGATCTCGTAAAACAACTAAGTAATTATGGGTCTCTGAACACCCCGTAAAGGAAACTAGAGAGACGAGGTATCTACATACATACCTAGGTAGAACATAAAGCTATCCTATGTCCGTGAAGGCACAGCCCCAGTTTACACACAGAAAGCTTACATAATCACATATAAGGGTGGGTCTATCTCCCAGAGGCAAGGCGTTGGTACCTTGCGTAGACTGCTCCTGTGTGCAAGCATCACGTGCTAACAAGATTAAGTTAGACCAGTCGAACCCTGTAAAGAAATGCCAAGACGTAAACGGCCCCTCGTGCAATCGCGATAAGCATGAAATTTCTCGCGGCAGCACGGAGTTAAGAGAGCGACGCACCTCCGATATCACATCCTGCTGTTTGCATCCCACTCCAAGTGGTGTTAGTAAGAATGTGAGTAATCTCCTAAGCAGTGTCGTGCCATTTCAATGCTGACTAGAACTGGGAGCCAGGCATCTGCTCCGCCGCGCTGTCCTGAGGTCTGCTCTTTCTGCTCCCAAAACAGCAGCCCAGTGCTCGCTGCGCATTGCCCCTCGCAATACGTGGGCTACTTCGAATCTTAATGGTGCTGCGGTAAGCTCGCCTATGGCGGCTCGCTTTATTTCCAACACCACAGGTCGATCATTGAAGGACGACAAGGAGCTGGAAAGCAAGCAGCGCACAGCGGAGGAAAACCTGGACAGGCAAATTACTGAAGACGCCCGTGAGGATGTGGAGGTATGCTGCTTGATGCAAATATGTCGAGACTTGTTGAAAGACCGAGCTGAAGTGCTAATGCAATGAAGGAGCAAATTGCGCAAAGCAACGCCGACATTCAGGAGGCAGTACAGGAGGTGATGCGGTTTGCAGATGAGGAAGCTCGAGATGGGACTCAGACAAATCAAAAGAGCAGTTTTGAGGAACAAGTTGCCAGAAGTGAAGCGCAACTATCAAACTATGAGAAGCCTGCTTCATGTGAGCCAATATATGTGCCCGTTATGACTGCTAGTTCAAGGTTTTCTAACTTCCTCAGACACCGCGGGCGCCGCATCAACCTTGCAGCCAGCAAAGAGCGTTTTTGTGCGCAATCTTGTGTTTGAGATTACCGAGGAGCATCTTGAGAAGGCATTTTCGAAATACGGCAATGTCACGCATACCTTTATTGCGCGCGACCCTCGTGGGTTGAGCAAAGGGTGAGCCTGAACGGAAGTGTGGAAGTGCACGCAGGAGACGTGTTGGCTAACACACCTCGCAACACGCTAGATACGGATTTGTCACATTCGACTCTCCAGAGGCAGTACAGGCGGCGTGCCTCAATGTCAACGGATCTTTTTGGCATGGGCGGCGCATTACTTGCATACCAAGGCGCAATGAGGAGAAGGAGCCGCAGCGAAACAATAAAGGGCCGGGCTACCCGACACAACAACTATTCATTGGCAACATCCCATACGAGACGACAGACGCCGAGCTTAATAGGATTTTCCGAGGCTTGAAAGGCTTGGACGATGTGCGGGTAGCGGTAGACCGTAACACCGGGTGGCCGCGCGGCTTTGCACACGCAGACTTCTTGACAGTTGAGGATGCGATCGAAGCGAAGAAAAAGCTGGAGACCGTCATGCTTTCCAACCGGAAGTTGAGGGTTGACTATGCGCATGGGTTTCCGAGGAGGATGCGTCGGTCATCGGTAAGCCAGTCCACATGATCGGACGCAGCCAACGCAGCCAGCAGATGATAGGGAAGCATGCGCAGATACACTAGACGCAGGCGAGTTGCGAGATAAGCGCTTGGGACATCTGAGGTCGGTGCAGAAGTTGTTAGCCGGGAGCAGGCATTGTGCATGTATGGGCGCGCGCGGCGATCTCCGGGAGGGTTCGGGATGGGAATCTGAAAGTCACGATTGCACGTTGTATACTATGTACTTCTCAGGGACCGGACATATAGGTAGGGGAGGGTTCTCTCCGCAGCATCGCTGTAGTGTAACATAAGACTTTGGGCCATGGCCAACATTGGTTGACGAACCGGGCCTCTTCCCGATGAATCTACCTCCGGACCTGTATGTAGCGTCTAGGGTATCTCATCTACCGGAGAGCAGTTGATGTTTCGTGATCAGGACTGAATCCGGGGCCGAAAAATGCTAACGGGTACCCGGCAGTCCAGACGGGAACAGACAGCACTATGCGCCGTGTCCGTGTCCCTTTGGCCTTGCTCAGACACAGGCAGTTCGTATGACCCGTGCTGCCTTAGGTGTTGCTTACGCCTGGAATATGGGACCTGAAAGGAACTCACCTAACATGTTCGATGTTCAATGTCCATAGTTTCAGCACTGGATCCTGGCCGATAACCGATTTGAAATCACGTCGGATCAAGTGGCAATACAAGTAGTGCGGATGTCCCGCGGCTTCCCAAGCGCCGTGAGGTGGGGGCGCCAATCCGGGCGGGCAGCGCGGTTATGCAACCACCGATCATCGATCTCGCGTGCCAGCAGCCATTGCGTTGGTCGGTGCTTTGTGAACAGCCACAGATACAGCCACAGAAATGTGTGGCTAGTGGGGGAACTGCCTCGGCCTCTGCTTACCTAAGATGCCAAAACGGAGGTGCTGAGGGCGAGAGACCGCATTGGCCATCACCATACTGGGGGTTGCGCGATTCCCGATGTCTTGGTCACCTCGGCCGGCAAGGGGATGGATAGACAAGATACGCTACCTGCCTACGCAGGCGCTTCATCTGGCTTGCAGGTGGGCATCCAGCCCTTGAGATAATCCGTACACGCGACGTCCTCCTCATCAGGGGTAATACTAGTGCCTGTAACCCATGATCCGTACATTCCATGCTTTGTACGGACAAACAAATCCGTCTGAACGGCCGAATGGATGCTAAGTACCTAGGCACGTAAGTAAATCGTAGTGTACACAGCAGGTCGGCTGCGCCGGCTGGGCGTGTCGCCTTGGAGGTTGGGCTGCCTCGGTACATGTGTACAAATAAGCCGGACTGGAGCGCCGGTGGGGCCGCACCCACTGTGCAGAATGGATGGGAACCAGTCCAGGTGCCCAGTGCCCAGGTGGCCAGGGAGTCTCTGTGCTAAGTGGGCGCTAGGGAGGCTCTTGTTGTGCGCTGTGTTTGGCTGCAGCGCACAACCATTGGAGCCATTGGGGCCGTTTCCTGGAGGAGAGTGGCGGGTAACCCTCCGGTGCTGGTGCTCAGGGCTGGCGGCCCAAGCCCGAGATCATAAGTCACAGGCTCACGGCGGCCCGACGAGCGACAGTTCCCGGGTTTTGGGTTCAAGCTATCCCGTCGCCAAGTGCCAACCTCGTCCCATATCCCATCCCAACTCCTGCTCCAACTCCTGCCTCCCAGCACGGGTCCGTACTTGCTCCCACACTCCGTGGCATCTGCAGGCCCATTGCTACCAATCCCTAGGAATCTAGGAATCCCGTCAACAAGGAGTCTCGGAGCCCAGGAGCCAAGGAGCTGCATAACAAGTTGCCGCTGGCTGCGAGGTCGTACAGCACCGTCATCTCACCATCTTCGCCTGTCTAATTCTGTCACCATCGCCATCGTCATCCAAGCAGTATAATTTGTGCCCCTGGGCTTGCAGCGTGTTTTTTGTTGAATCATACCTCCATCTAAGGTTGCCTCTGCGTCTTCTCATCTTCTTGTCCCCCTGATTCCTCTACTAGAGGTACCAGAGACGCAACGCTAGCCCCGCACTCGCCTCGCTCTCCTCCCCTTCCTCCTTTCTCTTCATCCCGCCGCTCGCAGCTCTTAATTCCCAGCCCTCCGACTTCAGACTTCACGGATCAGACCGTCTTCGTCGATTGCTTGTCCCCATAGGAACGGAACGCAGTATCCAGCATCCAGACGCCCAGCATGTCGTTCCTTGGCGGCGCAGAGTGCTCGACTGCGGGGAACCCGCTCAGCCAGTTCTCCAAGCATGTCCAGGATGACCGGACGCTTCAGCACGACCGCCTAGTTGGCCGAGGCCCTGGTGCCTCGATGGGTGGTTTCCGGAGCACTCCCGCCAGTGCGCCGCAAGACGAGGTAGGTCGACGAACGCGCGGTGCACGCGCTGCCGCCCCGCGAACGCGAAATCGAGGGCGGCGGCAGCGTGGTAGGGGCAGGAACAGGAGCAACAAGAACGGCTGCTGACTGTTTTCTCCCCGCGCAGATGGTGAACGGCTTCCTTCACCAGAACCCCAATTTGCCTGAGATTCCCCTCGAACAGCAAGCCCCTCTGCCGCACGTCCACATCGACCCGAATCATGCCGTCCACCTTCATCCCCAAGCCGCGACGCCCATGTCGCCCCAGGCCTCCATGGAGGCTGCTTTCAACGTTCCCCCGGGCACCCAGTTCAGCCCTGAAGAATTCGCCAAGTTCCAGCAGATGAATGCGACATCGACGGTCGCTCCGAGCCCTGCTGCCTCCGTTACCACTCAGCCCCAGGCCGCGATGCCCATGACCATGCAGCCTCTTGCCGCCCCCATGTACCGCCCCATGATGTCGCATCCCATGTACCAGCCTATGTATGGCCCTCAAATGATGCACATGCCCCAGCAACCGCAACAAGAGGTCCAGGGCAAGGGCAAGGAGCGACTGGTAGAGCTGGACGACAGCAAGTGGGAGGAGCAGTTCAAGCAGATGGAGCTGCACGACCGCCAGCTGCGCGAGGAGGAGGCTGCCAAGACGGAGGAGAAAGACGAGGCTAAGGCCATGGAGCCCGAGCTGAACAAGATGGACGAGCAGCTGCACTCCGAGACAGGCTATGGCGACCTTGAGTCGATATGGGCCGGCATCCAAAAGGAGCAGGAGGCCCTCCGCGACTTGGACGACGAGGAAAACTATGTTCGCTTCGACAACGGTAGCTTCGACAACACCAGCTGGGGTATCAACAGCGGCTTTGGCACTGGCCCCATCGTGGAGCCTTACATGTTCGAGCAGGAAAACATCTTCCAGAACGAGCAGAACCCCTTCGAGGAAGGCTTGCGCATCATGCGCGAAGGCGGTAACCTTTCTCTGGCCGCCCTGGCGTTCGAGGCTGCCGTGCAGAAGAACCCGGACCATGTTGAGGCTTGGGTCCATCTCGGCAGTGCGCAGGCCCAGAACGAGAAGGAGGAGGCTGCCATCCGCGCGCTGGAGCATGCGCTCAAGATCGATCCCAACAATCTGGATGCCCTGATGGGCCTTGCCGTGTCTTACACAAACGAGGGCTATGATAGCGTTGCCTACCGCACCCTTGAGCGCTGGCTATCCGTCAAGTACCCACAGATCATCGCTCCGGCCGATGTCTCTGCTCCGGCCGAGATGGGCTTCACCGACCGCGCAAAGCTCCACGAGCGTGTGACTAATCTCTTCCTCGAGGCTGCGCGTCTGGCTCCGGATGGTGATCACATGGACCCAGACGTTCAGGTTGGCCTGGGCGTTCTCTTCTACGGCGCCGAGGAGTATGACAAGGCCGTGGATTGCTTCCAGGCCGCCCTCCACTCGTCCATCCAGGGCAGCAGCAACCAGCGCGAGCAGGTTCACCTGTTGTGGAATCGCTTGGGTGCGACGCTGGCCAATTCGGGTCGCTCCGAAGAGGCCATCGCAGCCTACGAGAAGGCGCTCGCCATCCATCCCAACTTCGTGCGCGCCCGCTATAACCTGGGCGTTTCCTGCATCAACATCGGCTGCCATGCAGAGGCGGCTGGCCACCTGCTCGCCGCTCTCGATATGCACAAGTCGGTTGAGAAAAGCTTCCGCGATAGGGCGCGCGAGCTACTCGGCGTCAACAAGGACGACCCGTCAGCCGATGCGCGCATCGAGGCCATGACTACCCAGAATCGGAGCACGACTCTCTACGACACGCTCCGTCGTGTCTTCACCCAGATGGGCCGGCCCGACCTGGCTGAGAAAGTCGTGGTCGGCGTTGATCCCGATATCTTCAGGGGTGAATTTGACTTTTGACGGGGTCGGTGACGGTTGTTTTCTTGGTCCACGAGAGCAAATGTGGCAGGAGCAGCAACCGCAGCGACAGTCGGATGAGACTTGGTGGTGCTCGCGCCGGCAGAGATGGTATTTGGGCGCCGATCGGGAGAAAAACGGAGTGGTGTTGTGGGAGAAGCAGGTGGTTTATTGATGCAGAAAAGCCCCCCCTCTCTCCATGCACCCTTTCCTTTCTGCTTGTTGGCCTAGATGGGATAGGAGTCCAGCGAGTAAGTGATACCGGAAACAGCGACGGCAATTGTGATGATGGATTGGGAGCTAGAAGGTGAATGTACAGGTTAGTTGTTGATACCGACCAGTAAATTCGAACGGTTGCCCCAGACCAAACCCCCCTTTCAAAAGGGCTATGCCGCTGAGTGATATGTTGAAGAATTGCAAACGAGAGTGCGCAGACAAAAATCGCATATAGAAGTACCATGGATTTCATTGATGATAGCCTTCGTGGAATGACGGAAGCACAAAAAAAAGTTTGATGCTCTTGACCTGCGAGTACAGAGCCCCCTCCCACCCAAGTTAATGTTAGCTCCGACTCTGACCGATATTACTGTCCAAAAAGTAGTCATCAAATCTCCTGGCAGGCGTGAAATTGGGTATTTGTCCGAAAGTTGCTCGGGCCATTTTGGGATCACAATTCATGTCGAGCAAAAATCAAAACCATGTAACAAATGATCAAAGACATATATTTTATTTGGGTATCAGATCAGGTCTTTACTCGTCCTTTAACCTTGACCCGAGCTACCAATGCAAGACTCCTCTAAAACAAAGTCAACCCCTCAACCAATGTAGTCCTTCCCAATAACTCTAATCAGACAAATTTCCGTATGCTTGTTGAGATGGCTGTACTGAGAGGATTAAGAGTAAATGCACGAGCAAGAAGAAACAGCTCGTTTTTTGACAGGCTGTGAACACCTCAACCTCCAGTCTATCGCAACTCAAGCCACGCAAGAACGACTATCAACATCTGTGGTTGATCCTCACTTATTTCACGCCGATAAAACCAATCCCACAGCGGGCCGCCTTCACTGCCCTTCTCAACGCTTGGTCTTCCCTGTCCGTCCACTGCACGCTCAGCTGATCCCATTTGCTCCCGGGCGTGTTATATTCCCGACGGAACTGGGCCTGAAGCGCCTGTAAACGGCTCATCTCTCGCGGATCACCGCTGCCGCTGAAGACAATGAAGGCTGTACACGGAGGGAGTGCGTCGTGGATCCTCTTGAGACGCTGGGAAAGAGTCGTCAGGCAAGCCTCGAGGGCGCTGATACCAGGCTTGGCATTGCCGTTACCGTCGGCGTGGGCCGCCGTCGCCTGGTCTGCCGGAGTAGGCGGAGGGCCGCCTGCTGCGTCGGGGGACAGCTTGTTACGATTCCACCAACCCTGAAGGGCTTCTAGCTCGCGCATCCGCGCCCAGACAAAGTCTACGCCGCCACCGGGCACAACGAGACCGTCGGGGTCCCCCTTGACAGCGCGGATAACACCAGCCTCGACCTCGGCATCCGAGTTGCATGGAATGACCACGGTTGCAGCATTGCAGGCACTGCGCGTGGGATCACCCCAGTCAACAGCAGCGCTGGTCTTGCCGACAGGAATTCCTCCAGTTGCTTCAGGCCCGCCAGTTGCGCGATAAGCGACCCCGGCACGGGCAAGGCGCCGAAAGAGGTTTTCGCCTTGCACATCATTAGCGGCCCAAGCCCTGCCCTTCTCGCATTTCTTCTTGATCAAGTCGAGACATGTCTTAGCGTCCTCGATGCTGTCGTGTCCAGCAACCCCTCCTTTTTGGATCTCACGCCCGAGATACTTCTGGGCAAGATACTTGAGGGATGACTTCAGAGGAGGGCCTCGAGGATGCGGGAAAAGGATTGAAGTATCAACGACGAAAGGATGGGCGATCTTGAGTGCCTTCAAGTCGGAATCGAGGGAATGACCAACAAGGATAGTGCGAGGAGTCAGGAGGTCGAGAAGGCGTTTTTGAATGTCGCTCAGCGTTGTCGTGACAGGATCAAGCATCTCCTTTGTGATACCTGAGAAGCGGGTAACGTAATCAATTATCGGCTTGTCTGGCTTGACCAGTTCGTCCAGAACCACTTCACCGTCCCAAGCCACCATGCTGATCCGGGTAAGCGAATACTCGGCCTCTCCGGTCATACACATCTCACAGTCCAGAGCGTAAACTTGACGGCCTGCCGTGATGCTTCCTTGCTCGATCTCTGACTCAGGAACATTGTTATCCTCCAGCCTGTCAACCTTGGTGTGAACCCAGCCGTCGGGGTCCTTAAAATTCTCCCGCTCTCCTTCAGGAAGCATTGCTGGGTGTAGCGGAAAGCCATTTTCCAGCATTTCGTCCGTGGTAGCAAGAAACTCGGTGATTCTTGTCCTCTCATCTTTCCAACCATGAGGGTCTGTCACGGGCTTAACACCACCACCGCTGGTTTTCTTGTCCTTGTTGAGCGGAGCGGTAAGCATGGTTTGCAAGGGCGAGTGCAATCTTGCATACTTGTCGTCCCCTGGAGCACGAACAGGCCATAGAAGGGGAAACATATCCGCGAAAGGCTGCAATGCTTCGGGTAGGGCCTCCTTCACCAGCGGACGGGGATAATAATCGTCAGGAGAAGTACAGGCGCGCTCGATAGCCTCATCGGGAGTAACGTTGTTATACTTGGAAAAATCAACATTCGCCTTGAACATGGCCTCCTCGAGACCCGGGACCATAATGGTGACAATCTTTCGAAATTCTGGGCGGTGCTTCACCGACACCCACTGGGGGGCCGGTCCGTCGGCAAAGATGTAGAGGATCAAGTCGCGCAGTGAGGACACATTAATTTTGGCGTTCAGCCTTGCCTGATTCGAAAAGTGAATCCCTGGATACCTATTCGAATCGGGATTCGGCACCTTTTTGAGCTTCTTTTTCGGCCGACCACGCTCGATCGTCTGCCAACCACCATTGTCATCGTCACCGTCAGCGTCGGCATCGTGGGTGCTCGAGCGCTTGAGACTGCTTGATGTTTCAACCGAAGTATGAGTCTGGGGAGAGCCGGTCGAATCAGGAGCACCTCCAACTGTGTCGGTAGCGTTGGCGACCACAGAATCCTCGTTACTGGTTGTCGTGGCGGCGATCGCCGTTGCCGGCCCATCTTCGGCGGTTGGCATCGTTGCAAGCGCGGAAGCTATGCCGCGTAGTCCTCCCTTTTTCTTTTTGCCTTTCCCCATGGCAGGGAGACGAGGATATTGGATCTATGCAAAGAAATGGAAAGAAGGATGCCGGATATTGTGGGAAGCGAACATTCGACCACGACAGTAAGTAAGCCTTCAGAAGCAATGCAGGCCGCGCTTGGGCAACACTCAGATTGACACTCTGCTTTGCTTCAACGTCGTGGTCTGGGCGCGGTTTGGAGGTTTTCAGTTTCGAGCCGCAGAGAGTTTTGCCAAGAAGTCCCACTAGTTACCATGTACGGCAACTTGTGGAGATAGCGGAGCATGTCAGACTCGCTTTGTCAGGGCACCTTGATGGACAAGAGTGAATCTCGGTCGTAGTGTTTTTGTGATCGTGACAGTGCGATTTTGAAGTCGGGACTTTGGGCCCATGATTCCTCTGCCTACACTACGATTGTACAAGAGGCACCATACAAAAATCATATGCCTCAGACAGTGGCATACAGACACCCTCCTTAGATAAGGGATATACTTACCTTGGTGTGTCTGTATAGCATCGAAAAATAATACATACTTACCCAGCTCAGCCAATCAATCATTAAACTCGCGCTCTTGATATCTTCGGATTCTGCGACAACGCCGATCCTATTCCCTCCCTGTTTCAATGTCCACGCACACGCTGGATAGATGGATTACGGCACTGAAATGCGAAATAACAATAGAAAGAGCTACAAGAGGAATGTTTGACAAGGATGACCACCACAAATGTCCGTCTGTTTCATACCATCTGAGCAACACGAGGTCTGGGAACGCGAGCGGCTCCGAGCCATGCCATCAGTCTGTTCCCATATCGGACACAGCAGAGAGTTCCAATTCTGTTGTGCAAGCTCGTCATGAAGATTGCTTTGCTCCCGTTCCAGCAGCGTTTGAAGCGAGTACTTTTTGCCGAAGGACTGTAGAAACATGTCGTCAGCGTCTTGAAGCTTTTTTTGCTTTAAACATGAGTGACCCCCAATTTACCTTCTTCCACAACACGGAGATTCACTGTTTTTGCCTGCACAATGCCCTCCAGTCCCTGGATGTTGGTCGCTAGCTCCTTGATCTTGCCTTCGTAAAACTCAGCTGCGCTGGTCGTGTCCTTTTCCACGTAGAAGCCCGTTCCGACATCGACGAGCACATGTTCCGGGTCAGACAGCTTTCCCTTGACGTAGAGGGAGTTGGTAAGGGGAACGAGAACGGATTTATCCTCTTATTATGTGAATCAGCATCCGTCTGGTGTGGCTGTCGGTGGGTGGTGTGTGCCAATGGAATCATTGTACACAACCTCCAGACCTCCAAGGGCTTAAGGCGTGGGGCAAGATCAAGATCATCCGCTACTTACTCTCAAACGTTGAAGCTCTGTCCTTGACAATGCGCAGACATTCTTTAAACTTCCCCTGAGCGGCCACCAACTGCGCGTACGATGTTGATAGGTGCTCGACTTCTCCGTCAAGCTGCTTCTTCACCGCACTAAGTTGTTGTACGCTAAGGGATGCAAGATCGACTGCTCAGCTCACGTATTGTCAGCAACGCCTAGCTCATTGGAGACCTGTTTGTTTTCGGAGCCTGGCCTGCCAGGACAGTGACTGTGACCTCCCCTCTCAAAGCTTGGTATGCTCATGAGACAGGAGGCGGCCTAGTGTGGAGTTGACACATCATGGGGAGTTCCCCGAGCTGCTATGGTTGAGTTCTCTCATGCAAGGGAGTTGCAAATGCGGACTGACCTGCCTCTCCTTGTCCTTTATCTTGGCCGCTGCGGCTGGCCATTTTCTCAGATTCTTGGTTGAGTTCCTTATTGAGAAATGTCTGTTTATTACTGAAGGTAGTCGCAGTGTGAATTGACTACAGCTCAGCTAACAAGAAACCTCCAAGCCAAACCTTCTTCCATCTCATGTGAGATGAACCCTTAGTTGGGTCGTTCTGCAAGGTGGGGGTGGGGCTGCTGGTGGCAACGTTTTGTGTGATGTGGGGCAGCCGATAGGTTACATACCAGCAAAAATGCGTACTGCCCCCCCCCCCCCCCGAAACAATATGCGGATATATTATATATGACACCAGTATTGATGAATAAGGAGAAATTTGCAGATAGTAATCCGCTCAATTATGCAATAATAGAAGAAGATGCGGCGAATATCACTGTAAAGGCACCTTAGTGTCTTGAAACGTAACAAGGAAACACATTGGTCGACTTCGTGATGTCAGGAAGAAACTTCGATGAATGCTTGATGGTAAGAGTGTAAATTGTCTGGTGAAATCACGCTGCAGTCTAGCCCAGTGGACAGGAGTCAAGACTTTTCCTTGACTTCCCACACGACAAGTGACAGCCTCAATCATCTGGGTTGCTACAATTCAACCCCAAGTTCTATCCTTTTATGCGGGTTTACTGTTCTCTATATCCTTCCTCCTGATTCTCTCACTCCTCAGGGAACGGGATTGCATTCCATAAGAGTGACCCAACCTCTGTGTGTCCAAGTAACTCAGTTTCATAAATCGGTGTTCTCTGAGCTTACAGACAGAACAACGACAGACAGAGCGAAGACATATCACCCCCACTGCCACATCGTACCAAGATATTACTCTCTGGCAGCTCTTTGGCTCACTTATTCCACCCATCTCTGATCTCTGCCCTCCATTTGCCCTCTTTTTTTTCTTTTTTCCCTTTTTTTTTTTTGCTCACATTTACTTAATCTTCATTTCAGTCTGGTGTCTGACCTCGATCAAAACGCAATGGCGCCCCAGCTTCCCCCCGGGCTCAAGATCCACTACAGTGATCCTCTGAGCCACTCTCGGGGCCGCTCCTTAGTTGCTACCACCTCTTTTCCCGCAGGGAGCGTTATCACAACCTTCAAAAACCCTCTCTTAGCCCTGCCCGATGGCCCGTCTATGCGAAAGACATGCAACTATTGCCTGCGCGTTGAATCGGGCAGAGTCGAAAGTGATACTCGTTGGTTCACTGACACCAACGGACCAAAAGAGGAAACAAACAAACCAAAGAGCGAGGATACCGTCAAACTCAGAGCATGTACAGGGTGCAGGGCAGCTGTATATTGCAATGCCGATTGCCAGCGTGCGCACTGGAAAGAGGTGCATGGAGGCAAGGGAGGAGAGTGCAAAATGTTTGGACGTGTACAGCAGCGTGCGGGCAAAGATTGGCTGCCCACGCCGGTTCGAGCTCTTGCCCAAGTGCTGATCCGGCTCAAGGCTGGAGATCAGGCTGTGGCAGAGACATTTGGGTCTCTAGCATGGGCCAAGGGTGCAAGTGACGGTGAAAGGGGGATATTGGATGGCAATGTGGAAGGATTCAAGAAACATGACCAGGTTTGGAAGGACTTCGAGATTCAGGCTACAGGGGCAGTTGTATATGCCGGGCTGGAAAACGATTTCAGCATACCTAGGGCGAGGGAAATCTTGTGCAAGGTAGGATCATGTGTGGAAGGCATGAGCAGTGGCAGAGTTATACATCTGCTGACAGAAGGGCATCGGGCTAGATCCAAACCAATGCATTCAATCGGCTGGATCCAGACGCCGGGATGACAGGTATCTATCTCGATCCTGTCCTCGCCATGGCCAATCACTCTTGCATGCCAAGTGCTTTCGTCAGTTTCGATCAGCGCAATGCCGTGTTGCGAGCTTGGCGTGATATCAAAGAAGGCGACGAGATCACTATCTGCTATGTTGGTATGTGTTCTTCGGAATGGCAGCCAATCAAGTGAGCCGAGTACTGACCTCCTGAATAGACGTTACCTTACCCAACAAAGCTGCCCGTCAGGAAGCGCTCAAGTTGTATCACTTCGAATGTCGATGCCCTCGCTGCAAAGATGATCTTGACGTTTACCAAGCTTGCCAGATTGATCCTGCCCTGCCGCTCAATTCGCTTAGTATCCAGCCTGATCTTGAGAAGCTCCGCAACCCTCCCATCGATAGGTCGAAGGTTTCTAAGGAGCAGCTGGATGCAATCTACGAGGCCTGGAAGACACTACCGACAACCGAAGGGAGAAGTGAAGCCGAGCACATGAAGATAGCTCGTAAGCGTTGGGAGATTTGCAAACCTTTGGTTGAGGCTAGAATGTGGGCTATTGAGCCGCTGACAACAACCATCATGCAACTGGCCGTCTGTTGGCAGCTTAGTTTCAAGATGGTTGTCTACGCACTGCCACTCCTTTGCTTCGTCAGCACGGAGTGCGACCCGTTCAAGGTTGTGACGCCGTTCCTACCATGGAGGATCAAAGGCATCGTGACCATTGTTCAGATGCTGGCTCTCACTGCCGAACTGACGGCAAGTGGTGCCTTAGCCAGACGCTGCGATCATGAAGGCCTTGTGGGAACACTAGCGACGGCAGACCAAGTAACCATGTGCGAGGGGCTTTTGCGCTTGGTGATGAAGCAAGGGGGCGATAGCAATACAGGTGGTTGGCATGTCCTAAAACAGGCAAAGGCGATGCTGGAGGACATCGAGAAGTTGCCTGGGAGGGAGACCGAAACAGCAATGCTAAGAGTATGGGAAAAGGACCCGGAGGACCCTGAAGCCAGCGCCTTCTTCCACGATCAAGTAATCAAACCCATCACAACGCTCGCATCGTTGGCTCCAGAGATCTTGGAGGACAAGCTCGGCAGCAAGAAGTGAGCAATTATAGGCCCTATAGACTTCGATGTCAACATCAGCCAATCGAGGTCTAGTTGCAGAGGTAGCTTGAATCGCTTTCCGCCGCATGAAAGGAGCTGGACAATTTTGAGATAGGCAGGGAGTATGGGGGTCTTCGAACAGGTCTCATGGGGGTCAATATCGAACAAGCGTTGAGACAAGGAAGCATGTAAGCAGGCTCCGCTTGTTGTAGGTCATGCGAATCTGGGTTGCTACCTAAATATATAAAACAACATGTACATCTATTGCTGCGCTGTGACCATTGAGTTCCTGCTTGTAAGGCACAATGGAAGCGGTAAGTCACCTATCACAACCATAATCTGCGTTTTGTAGCTCTTCCAAACCGGCTGGTAACACTAACACATGGGTACAACTGTTGTGTTGACATCCTCGAGGGACAGCGACTACTCTTCTGCTTTATCAAGGATGCGTTGGATCCAGCGGATCCAGGCCAGCAACTTAGACACACCATCAGTGCCCGTTGCCTCAGGCGCGTCCTCGTAGTCATCCAAGAATTCTTCAGCAAAGCTCCCCTTCCAGGCTCGCGGGACCTGCGAGGTCTCGGCCATGGAGCGGTCCCACTCGACATTGTCGCTCAAGATAACCTCGCCACCAGTCACGATCGGAACCATAGAGTTGGCGGGTCCTTGCTCTCGCACATGGGTCAAGCTGACCTCTAAGCAGTATCTCATGCTCAGCTGGAACTGCCGGGTCACCTTGCCATAGACTTTCTGGACGTCGTGTTTCTTCATGAAATCCCTGGACATGGACAAGTTGGGAAAATCGAAGTCGTTCGTCTTTGGTTTAAAGTTCAGGCTCTTCTGAAGTTCCGCCATGGTAAACGGGCAAGAGACATACTTGGCGGGCGGCAATTTGCGAACTTCTAGTCGCCAGTCATAGGCGCTATGTCATTGTCAGTGATCACACATCGGCATGAAGAGACGAGGACAAGCAGGCGTACTTTTCTGGACATAAGGTAATCACCTCAGCTGCCTGAGGTTGTTTAGCATGCTCTTGACAACTCAATGGGCCGGCGTTGTACTCTTGTGCCTTGTTCCTGTTCACAGTGTTGCGTTGGCTGGATACTGCTTCAAGGTTGGTCTCAATACGGTGATGCTTGGTGTGCAGAATCAGCGAGTATTTAGTGGTCCAGTTACTCGCCCAATCGCGGACCCCTTGAGGGAGGGTATCGGCTTTGTTCGCAAAAAGCTCCCAAACACCTCTGATCGCTTTTTCACCGACACTGGCGGGTATATACTTAGCATTGCTAGAATGGACGATCAGTAAAAGTACTTACGTATTCTTCATATGGCCAATTCCTCTGCCGGCATTTCGCGAGACCAAGCTTTGCAGCTCTGAGAAACTGTAGATTAACTGGTCTTTCTTCCATTGGCGGAGAAAGTATTTTCCAAAATCAAATCGCATGCGCATTGCATAGGACTGAGATTTCAATGTTTTAAAAAGAACCCCCAAGGTCCCTTCAAGCTGCTTCGCGTAGTCGGCTTCATCAGCCTTGACCTGAAGCTGGTTGATCACAACCTGCAAGCTACTGGGCCTGGCAGCTGCAGCTCGAGCACCGACTCGCTCTTTTTGCTCGAGGACGGCCGTGAAAGCACCCTTGCCAACTTTAGAAGGATAAATCATGGTTCGAGTGAGCCAAGTGGTCTCTTCGCCGGCAACCTTGAGGAGATGCTTTCTCAATTCCATGACGACTTCCTTGGCTTTCTCGCGGTTGCTGGCTCTGACTGTAATTACTGGGCTCTCAAGATCTTCATCGATATCGGCCTCGATCTCGACCTGATGCTCACTGACGAGTCGGGAGAGGAGGGTCTTGACATCAGCATCGTCAGGGTCAACATCCTTGAAACCGCGATCCTCCCGCGGCAAAGTGAGGTAGACCTTTGCTTCTCGTTAGCGCAACAAAACGACTTGACATTGTGATGTGGGTAGATGAAGGCCTCACCGTCACTAAGAGTTTTGAGGTAACCTTGCTGGATACTTCAGCTTTTTTCTTGGAGATGATTTGACTCAATTCTGGCTTGACTGGTGTTGTCAACTTGTAATTGGGACGCTTCGGTCCAGGGAACTTTTTGGGCGGAATCGAATCCATCATGAGGGGTGTCGCACTAGGTTGCGGCACGAGTCATGAGTATCAAAGTTCATCTTGTTCGGAAAAGAGAAGATGACACCCAACTTACCTTTCGATGCTGAAGGAAAAGGCTGCAGTTATGCAATGGCCGAGTACTCTCCGAAGACACCAGTCAGATGCGATGCTTAAAAAGACTGAGGATTGCCCTCGTTTAAATAATTAAAACCAAGCAAATCTGCGAAGGGGTATTAAATGAACAAAACCTGTGGCACAACACACAGGGCATGATGAGAGGATCATTGACGAGGGAAGCAAACGGCCCCCTTGAGATGGACAGAATACCCGGGCGAGGGGACAAAAGACACGGAGCAACAAAGAACACGCAGTACCTGTTGGCGAATGGATGTGAACTCAAGGAGATTGGGGTACATAAGAGGCAGATCCCAAGATGCAACCACAAGCACAGGTCGCAAGTAATCTTTCAATTCCTGGCCTTTTCGTGTTTGCTGCAATTTGCTGCGGCAGGACGTAGATAAGACTGCTGAGTGGGAAAATGGAAAGAGAACATCCAGGGGATGAGCAAGAAAACGTAAAAAGTTGTAATCCGTACCTCGAGGACTGGTTTATGGACTGAGTTGTCGGTTGACCCCACGGATGGGCGCTGTTCTTTTTGGCCGTGTCAAGAAGCCCTGCGTCCAAGTGAACTCCTTAGCAGGTGTGTTCCCTGTGGAAAAGCAGAAAAACTTGGCTTACTGTTCTATACAAATCGCATTTTGTGTCCTTAAAGTTGAGACCAGAAAGAAGAATGGCTGAATAGCCTATGTAACAAGGACTGGCAGACAGCAAAGATTCCCGTGTGGGGGGTGAGGGGACCAAGGCGCACACCAGCACCTCAAGAACTTCCACCGTAACTACTGCACTGTTGTCCTGCGTACAGCTTGCTCGTGCAAGAATTGAGCCAGGTCTCGTAACGACGGACTGTAAAGCAAAATGAACTATAATCCAGACTGGGAAAAAATTCCTACCAAACGTCCAACTCACTGCCACAGCCAAGAGATTGCGTTAAGCAGAACATCAACCACCTCGATCCAGTTGGAAGCCTCGTTGAGCCCGTACAGATTATGGTTTGGATGTTGCTCGCGTTCGTAATGGCAGTTGGAGCAACAGCAGGGTTAGAACATTCCTTCAAACATCTTTCTTATTTTCATATACAGCTTAACGTAATACTAGTCAATTGGCTCTTCTGTTCCAGGCAACTCTTAGACAACTCAGTTACGTCGGGTCGGGCTCTTTAGTTGGGAGTTTTTAACTTTCACGAGTGTTGAGGAGACAGGAGCGGCGTGTCCCGACGATTGGGGGTGGTCCGTGATGCGCTCAAACCCTAACCCGTAATATTACGGTTACACGTATAGGCAAAACCGAGCATCACATACATCTAGATATTATAATAATTACGGCTCACGACGTGACGCGACGCGTCCCACCTGTTGTAGAGATTAGTTAATGAGAACACCTCCACGCCAGACGTGACCATCAAACGACATTTCACCAGCCAAAAAAAAAAAAAACACATCTGGATGAGAGTGTAGTTTACACTCGATTTTGTTCAATTTATGATCAGAATCAGAGATTTGTAGACATTGCAGGTTGCAAGTCGCAGAGATGGCTGGATCGAGCCGTGGCAGACGGACGCACTACCTTCCTGGTGTCGCCCGTGAGGATTCCGACGACGAGCTGGGAACTGAAGACTATCCGTGGGAATGGATATACGAAGACAGAAATCAAGCAGGCGAAGAGCCCGAGGCATCCACAGAGAGTGGCAGGAAACGGAAACGGCCGGCGGCAGCGACACAGGAGCCCCAGATCGTTGGCGCCCGCATGGGCAGCTTCGAATGCTACCTCGGCGATACTGTGCTTCTAAAAGCTGAGGGATCTCATGAGGCGTGGGTTGGCATAATATGCGACTTTCTCACGGACGAAGATGGGGAGAAGGCTGCCAATTTCATGTGGTTTTCCTCACACCAAGAAATCCGGAATCCCAAGAAGCGCACTGACTATCTCGAGGTAAGACTGTTTAGCCCTGCTGAACATCGGAGGAACTTTGGCTGATTGATGCACCAAATATATGTGTCTTCAGAATGAGCTGTATATTACAGCCACATACGACATCAACCCGCTCACCACCATAAACGGCAAAGCCCACGTTATGTCGCCAGCTGCCTTTCGGGAGAAGTACCCGACTGGCAAGGTGCCTCGGAAGGCCAAGGAGTATGGCAAGGTGTTCATCTGCCGCAGAGGCTGCAACACCAGAACATGCACATACACAGAAGAGTTCGTTTGGGAGGACATATACAGCGGTCGAGACGATCTGGACCGTCTGCAGGACCTGATCAAACGGGGCACCAAAGCAACTCGCAGGCGGAAAGCGGCAAAGGAGCCATCTCCTGAGGGAGATTACAACCTAGAGGGCGACGAAGAGCAAGATGGAGAGTACTCTTCCGGACAACCACGAACGCCAAAAAGGCCGCGCACGCGGGATGTCATCACCCCCAGCAGCAAGCGCAAGCACCTTGGCAGCAAGCCTGCGACCCCCGGCTCACACCGTCGAGTGATGGTTAAGAAGCACCTAGAGTTCACTCCTCTTGCTACCCGTGTTCTATCTCCTCTCCACGTCCAGTCTTCCCCCTACCAACTGGCCCGTTCACAACTGCATGTCGCAGCAGTGCCTGCCAGTCTGCCGTGCCGCGAGGCCGAGTTCAGTTTGGTCTACTCACACCTCGAGGCCGCCATTACGGAGGGCACCGGTACTTGTATCTACATCTCTGGTACTCCTGGGACAGGGAAAACAGCAACTGTACGCGAGGTAGTGGCACATCTGGATGCCGCGGTCCGTGCCGACGAGCTCGACGACTTTATATTCGTTGAGATCAATGGCATGAAGATCACAGACCCGCACCAAGCATACTCTCTTCTCTGGGAGGCACTCAAGGGCCAGCGAGTTAGCCCCGCTCAGGCATTGGATCTCCTCGAACGCGAGTTCAACCATCCCTCGCCCCGGCGGGTTCCCTGCGTGGTGCTCATGGATGAGCTAGACCAGCTCGTGACCAAGAATCAGGGCGTCATGTACAATTTCTTCAACTGGCCGGGGCTGCGCCATAGTCGATTGATTGTGCTGGCGGTCGCCAACACCATGGACCTGCCGGAGCGCACACTCAGCAACAAGATTAGTTCGCGGCTGGGGCTAACGCGCATTACATTTCCAGGATACAACCACGAACAGCTCATGCGCATCGTACAGAGCCGACTGGAGGGCGTTCCGGGAGATATTGTTGATCCGGACGCGATCCAGTTCGCTGCGCGCAAGGTCGCTGCCGTTAGCGGTGACGCCCGTCGTGCTCTAGATATCTGTCGGAGGGCTGTCGAACTCGCTGAAGCAGATGCTGCAGCAGCCGCCGCCGCTCAGGGGGGAGAAGAGGATGACACCGATGCTCCTAATACGCCGTCCAAGCGGAAGAACGACTCAACGGCCGCAGCTAGCACCTTGAACAAGCAGTCCAAGAAGAAGAACAGCCGCGGTCGGGTTACCATCGAAACTGTGCGTCGCGCCATCGCCGAAGCAACCAGCTCCCCGCTGCAACAGTATCTTCGCGCGTTACCGTTTGCAGCACGCCTTTTGCTCTCGGCGCTGGTGCTGCGCATGCAGCGCAGTGGGCTAGCTGAGAGCACGTTCGGCGAAGTGTTAGATGAGATGCAACGGGCCGTCAAGCTAGCGATGGTTGCGGATAGCAAGGCGTTGGGGGCGCTGCTAAAAGCTGCGACTTCAGCCGGTGGGGAGAGAGACTTGGCAAATGGGCATGTAGGGGGTTTGTTCTCCAGGGGGAAGAACAACGATGGGATGTATCTCAGGCCAGCTGGGTTGAGTGCCGCGGCTGTTGATTTGACTGGTGCCGGAATCATTAATTTAGAGGGTCACAGAGCAGAACGACCAAGCAAGATTCGGTTGGCGGTAGGGGATGAGGAAGTGAGGTTAGCATTCCGAGACGATCCGGAAATCAAGGCGTTGGGAATTGCCTTATAGCTGCAGAATGGCAGAAAAGCAGTATTGGTAAAGATTACGGTAAGAGGTAGGATAACCATGGGAGGGCCGCGAGAGTCCGAGGAGACATCATTGCACAGACTATGGTTGGGGCAAAAAAAATAACCTATAGAGAGCACAAGGACTGCGATAACCCGATATCTCTGAGCCAGGATGACAGGATTTATTATGTAGGCGCACACAAGGCCAGCCGCCTTCTCGTGCTACTTAATACTTTCTCCGTACAAGCGATGGTTTCCACTCAATTGGATGTGTTTCTGGCGTGGCGGTAGTATCCTCTTTCCAGATTTTGACTGCGCATGGTTAGCACCAAATGTATATAGTCGAGATGGGTTATTTTGCAATAACTTACTCGTCTTGTCCGCTTCGCCAGTGATCAACCGAGCGCCCGACATGTCGAATGTCGAACTCATAATGCCCAACTCAGCATCCAACGAGCCTGGCTGCGCGGTCGTGTCCAGGCTCTGGAATCGATAGCCCGACTTCCAGTCCCAGAAGCTCATGGATCCGTTATCACCACCAGAAAATAGCACATTCTGATCGTTAACGGCTAGCGTGTTGATGATAGCGTTATGACCCTCGAAGTTTTGCATGAAAGCACCCTCAGGGCACTTCCACTGCTTGATGCTGCCCGTACTGGCCGTGGCAAAGGTAAACTCGGTCGGGTGGGTGACCAGGGCGCGAACACCCTTTTTGTGGTGCGTCAGGACTCCCATTGTCTTGCCGGCAGCTAAGTCCCACATGCGCACTGTCGAGTCCAGGCTGCCGGTTATAACCTGAGGATCGGCCTCCTGGCAAACCAAGTCGGCGACTGTGCCTGTATGGCCAGACAAGACGTGCACGTTGCTGCGCGTTCGCATGTCCCACACCCGGGCTACGCCGTCGCGGCCGCCTGTCACCAATACATCGAGGGTGGGATGCAGCTTGAGGGTATAGACACCAGAAAGATGACCGTGGTAGTGGCGAATCTAAAAGGTAGCGTGCAGTTGATCAGTATCTGGGCATATTGCTCCAGGTGCGGTGCGCGTTACGGGAAGTGAACTACTTACCACCTTATTCGTTTCCAAATCCCAGCATTTTACCATCTTGTCCTCACCGCAGGAGAACATGTATGGATGCCTAGGCGACACAGCCAGCCCACGCACAGTCGAAATATGCCCTGTTAGCGTCAAGCGCAGCTGTCCAGACGCCAGATCCCAGATCTTGATGGTACGATCGCCAGCACCAGAGGCAAACCACTGATTGTTGGGCTCGACGGCGAGCGCGCGAACCCAGCCCAGGTGGCCACTGATGACGCGCATGAGCTTCCACGGAGGATGCCAATCGGGTCGCGGTTGCGCCAGCAAGCTTTCTGATCGCCGGACGAGGCTGAGTTGCTGGGGCTCATTACGTTGGGGCCGGGCAGCGCCAGCACCAGCTGCCGAAGGCTTGCCATGTGCTAGGACAAGGGCATTGGAGCTAGCAGCGCCGGCGGAAGGTTTAGCTTGGGGAATGCCCTCGATCAGCTTTCGCGTGTGTTCCTCTGACTTAGATGGTGCTTCATCCTCTGCTACGCCCGGCTTTGGCTTCTTCTTGCGCGGACCGGCCGCAGATAGCTTCTTCGCGATGGCCTCGGGAAGGGTCTGGACGTCGCCGTATTCTGCATGGAGCCGAAGAGAGAGAGCAGATTTGGTGATGTCAGGGTCTTCGGAGGCTAGGCCTGGGTCAAGCTTGATGCGCTTTCTCCCCGAGTCGGGGGTTGTGCTGGCATATAGGGATCTTGTTGTGCGTTCGTTGTCGCGCAACAGAGCCTCAAGCTTCGAGACATCGGGGCCGTTGACAGCGACGTCCGTAGCCATGGTGCGCTGGACGAGCTGTTATTTGCGATTGGGACAGTGTGTATGCTCAAAGTTGTGGTGTACTTGGGGCCAGGTCCAGAATAAGACGAGTTATTAGATAGAGTTGCGGTTCCTCCTGCAAAAACAGACGCGTGTTAAAGCAGATGGATGGTGGTGATGATGATAGATGGACCCACTGTCTGATCTCAAGAGGCACGTCGCGAAACGCAATGTGACGGGATACTTTCCAAAATTTCAGACCCACTTCCAGGTGCTCTTTGCTGGACCCAGGGGGCCTGGAGCCACAGCGCGAGTGATCTGTGGCTGATGTTCCAGCCACACATGCTGCGGCCTCTGCGCAGACTGTTCCTCCCCGAAGTCCAGGTGTTCCCCACCGCTTCCAGGGACCTGGGCTGGTTGTTCGCCCAGATCTGCAGCCTTGCAGCCCAGCGAATCAAGTTTTGGGGTTTCCGGCACAGCCTGCTGCCTACTCTACACAGTTTTAATAACACTGTGACATGGCTCGCCTGATCCTGGGCCCTGGTTCACAGAAGCTTAACGCTCTAACGCTTAACGTTAATTCTGGAAGGCATCACTTACATGACGACGTCCCACGCAAACAGCAGGGTCGCGCAGTCGCAATACCTCTAAACTTTAGCCATTACACGCAGCAGAGAGCCAGTTCGACCGCTCAGTGTGCGCAGTTGCTCCCATGAGCACCATGGATGAGAAACAGCAGTCCAAATATGCTATCCATGCCGCAGCCCGGGAGGGGAAGTGTGAGTCGCTCAGCCAAAGATATCGCTTCAGCATCAGCTCATGAGCGGTCAGGCTCATGGGTGGCCGACATGCGACATGGCCAGAGTCATTGCTGACGATGGTGGTCTTGTATTTTCAGTGGCTGTCGTGGAGTCGCTGTTATCTGTATGTCTCAGATCTCAATTTGATTTTCACCAGCTCAGCTCATAAGACCTCATCCTCACATACTGACCCCTTGCAGGCCAACCCAAAGCTTGCCCAGCTTAAGGATGATGACGGCAGGCTTCCCATCCACTGGGCTATCTCCTTCAACAGACCCGAGGTCGTGAGCTTGCTCATTAACCAGAAGGGCTTTGATCCTGATGCTGAAGTAAGCGACATGCCCTCACCCAGGCGCTCACTTGCCCTGTGCTAAAGAGAGCACATCAGAGGGGAGTTAGGGATAGCAACCTGACTGACTCTTCCTCAGGATGATAGTGGCTGGACGCCCTTGATGATTGCATCAAGCATTAAAGACTCCGACAAAATCATCGACATCCTTCTCTCTCGCGGCGCGGATGTCAATCAGACAAGTGAGTGCTTCTCGAACTGCTTGCGCGCTTTCCTGTAACTCGGGCTAACAATGCCCAAAGATAATAACGGCCAAGTATGACAATGCCTCAGCGGTTATTCGCACACACACACACACACACACACACACACACACACACACACACCTCCCACTCTCTCTCTCTCTCTCTCTCTCTCTCTCTCTCTCTCACACACATTTGGCAAAGGACTAACGTGATATCCATCCCGATCTAGACGGCTCTCCACTTCATCGCCTCCAAGAACAACCTCGACCTTGCTCGTCGATTGCTTGAAGAGCATACCCCACCAGCCTCGGCGCGCGTAAAGGATAAGCGCGGCCAGTATCCGCTGCACCGGGCTGCCGCAATTGGCTCGGTGCCAATGATCAACTTGCTCATTAAGCATCGCAGCCCCGTCAACGCAACTGACTGCGCGGGGCAGACCCCGCTTCATCATGCTGTAGCTGAGGGGCATGGTAAGTCCTGACTCCTTCTTGCTGAGAGTCAGCATGGGTCATCTGCAGTTGCGTTACTGACACACGTTCATAGGTGATGCGGCCATTGCCTTGTTAAAAGCCGGTGCAGAGATAGGGAAGAAGGACATCGATGGCTATACTCCTTTGGAGCTTGCGCCCGGCAAGGATGTAAGTTTAATATTTTTGGCCGTTTCATGTCTATTTGCACGATAACTTACGGTTAGTACAGGTGGTCAAGTACATCGAGAGAAAAGCCGAGGAGGAGGGGATCGAGCTTTAGGGCTCCCTCTGCCCGCTTTCTCCTGCTGTCACAACTGTCGCAACGACTACTGGCTTGCGCATGTTGCTTGGCTTGCGGACCTGAGCAGGGACCGAAGTTTCTTCTAGCCAACTGAACCAACTCGTAAAGCGGGCAAAATAAACAAAAAGTAAAATCATATCCACTGGTGCCATGCCTCCTTAGTTAGAAGATGCTGAGTGTAGAGAGGGTTATGACGCCCAATTGCGGACCTTCCTCACCCTCGCATAGCTGAACGCCAGGCCATCTCTGCGTAACAACAAATTCACATTGTGAGTACGACTTGGATATCCGTCTCATATAGTATTACCTCCTACAACAAGGCAATTGGCTGGCCATATTGGTCACTTCACAGTCCTCTCTACCAGCTCCCTCATCATACTCTTCAAGTCAGCTACGTCTTGCTTCAGCTCTTCCACCTCCTCGCTCTTCTCCCCCAACAATTCCAGCGTAGTCTCATAACGCTGACGGACATCCTTGAGTTCCTTTTCGAGCTCGGCCGTCCGCTGTGCCGCCGCACGCCCTTGTTCTATCTCGCGCATCAATGTGACGATCTCAGCGCGTGCCTCGTCTCGCTGGCGTGAGATGCGTGCCAGCTCCTCGCGTGCAGCGATCTTTTCGCTCTCGAGCCGCCGGATGGCGGCCGACATGCGCTCGACTAGTTGCACTGAGGGCCCTGCGGCCACGGTCGAGACTGAGACCATGTCCTGGAGGGTTTGCTGTGGGGTGCCCGCACTAGTAGCAGGACCAGCACCAGCACCAGTTGTGGTGGCCGTGCCAGTAACCGTGCTCGTCTGTGTCGGATTGTGCGGAGGAGGGGAAGTAGTGCGCTCAATACCTTCAAAAATAGAAGACGCCGCTTCGTCTGCTCCTCCTCTTGTCGGAGCAGCTGCCGTAGCAAGGGGATTTGGCGGGGCAGCCTCGGAAGTTGGGCTGAAGAAAAGCGAGACTGGACTGAAGACGCCGCTGCTTCCCGCACCTAATTGAGGAGTGATGCTGGGGCGACCAGGGGGCTGAGCAGAGGGACGACGGCTGCTGCTGAGAGAGAAGGGCATGCCGCCCGCTTCGCTGGGAGGAGCCGAAGCCTTACGCAACTTGCTGCTTGAAAAGTTCTGGATCCCGAGGAAGTCGGTGCTAAAGGCTCTCTGTGGTACAGTAAGTTGTGGCGAGTCAGGCCGGCTTTCGGCCTGCTTGAGAAACGAGGCACTGGGCAGCTCTTCGAGCCATGACCGGGGCCGTTCCGAGGACTGGAGCTGACGCTGTTCCTCCCTTTCGACCTCCCAAGCTTGCTTCTGCTTTTCAAATTCGGCGGTTGCCTTTGCAAGGGCAGCTTCAGCTTCTTCGGCACGCTTTTTAAGTGCGCTCACTTGGACTTGATAAGACTTGACCTCTTCCTGGATGTTTGGGAGCTTGGCTCTTGTCTCCTCCAGTTCTTCTTCCTGACGCTTGGCACGCAAAGCCTGTGAAGAATTAGAGTAAGCAAGACTGCTGCAGGCAAAGTAAATGGAACGCTGATAACGTACTGCTTCCCGTGCTTTTTTCCTCATCTCTGACTCTCTTTGGACTGCCTCGTCGCGTTCCTTCTCCAAACCAGCAATACGTGCCAGCAACGTAGTTTCAATCCCTTGCCAGTTCTCACTGGCAATGGAATACTGTGTCTGTAGCGTTTCGATCTGACGTAGCAGCTTCGCCTGAGAGTCACCAGCAGCACTAGATGATACCTCTTCGGCACGTATGCGCATGGCCTCAAGTTTGCCCTCCATTAACTGCACTTCGGCCTTAAGCTCAAGCTCAAGGGCACGGGCACGCTCATTGGCACGCTCGGCTTTCTCGCGCAGTTCAGCTGCTTGTGCCTTAGCACGATCAGCGACAAGATTCTTTTCTACCTTGAGTGCAGCAACCTCTTCTTCGAGGTCGGCAATCCGACGCTTGTCTTTCTCACGCTCTTGTTCATTGACCTTGGCAGAGATGGCTTCAGCCTGCTCTGTGGCCTTCTGTAACTGGGTACGAAGCTCCGCAATGAGGTTGTCCTTGGAGCGGATTTCAGGACGCAAGCTGTTGAGCTCCTTCTGGGCCTGTTCAAGACGTTTTTGTAAGTCGTCTTGTGCTTTCTCAAGCTCGTCAGCGCGGCGTGCACGGCCACGCAGGGCTTCAATCTCCTTTTCAGACTTATCCTTAGCAGTCCGTAGGTTGTTCAGCTCCTTTTCATTATCAGCAACCGTTGCTCGCAACTTCTTTAGTGCTGCACGGAGATTCTGCTCTGTGCTAGCCAGGTTCTTCCCCTCTTCCATGAGCTGTGCTATTTGCTGGTCCTTCTCGGCTAGTTTCTTCTCCAGGCTTCCCGGGGGGGCAGCAAGAGCCGCTTTCCTAGCTGACTCTGTGGCTTCCCTTGCCAGGAACTGCAGCTTTGCTTCCAGGGCATCGATGCGCTCCACATAGCTATGAATCTCCTCTTGATGCCGACGTTGGCTCTCATCGCTGCCCTGTCGGTCCTCCTTCAACAGATCTTCGTCAGTAGAAGAATCTGGGGGTGACTGAATGTCCGGCTTCGGGACAGGCTCCGAAGCAACTGCAGCTGGCACAGTGTCAGGGGGAGAGGTGATAGCATCAGGCTGAGCATCCGTCGAGCTGCTTGCTCCATTTGCTTCCTGTGGTAGACTAGAAAAGTCTTTTCCCCTAACTTCTGAGAGTGCCTTTTCCAAGCTTGGTGCACTGTCCTCTGATGATTTTGTCGTAACATCAAGTGAACAACGTGGTGATTGGGTGTCTTTTGACAGATCTTTCGCAAGAGTGCCTGTTCGGTCTATGCTGTCGGTGGAGTCACGACGAGGAGCATCGATGCTTTGTCGCGGGCTCGCCTGGGCAGAAAGGGAACCACGGCCAACCCCCTTAGCGGCCATGGCCCTGGCCAACTTTTCCTGTAGGCGGTCATTGGCACGGCTGGATGACGTAGAGGTTCTCGGGGCTGCTAAACACAAGGAGGGATGTCAGCAGGATTGTGTTATCATGGAGAGACTGTCCATTCAGGAAGGAGGGGAGAATGTTCCTAAAGACCTACCAGGGGTTTGTTTAGCTGGTGATGGAGTTGGCGGCTTGGATTCGTTCTGCTGCGAGCTGCTGCTGTCACTGTCGGCAAGGAGGGTATCGAGCTTTGCCTCTACACCAGCTACAGCCTGTGAGAGAAGGGCACCCCATCGACTCGTCGCCATGGCTCAGGAAGGCGGCAGATATGAGCGAAGCAGGACAGAGGGTATGCTAGAGATTTGAAAATGTAGCTGGCCATGAACACGCTGGAGTGGGAGGACGGGCTGGTGCTTTGGGTGCTGCATCTACTAGCGCTGCGCAATGGTGGGACGAGGTTTGCTGTGATGAAGCGGCGCAAGGTCTTGTTTAAAAGCGGCGTTCGAGAGACAATCCCTTGTATACGGATGCTGAATCCGAGCGGGCTCTCCAACGGCCTTTCTTCAATGTTGAATCGTCGATGAACTCGGACCGTTCCCAGTACAGATCCGCCCCCTGCCGGTGTGCTAACTGTCAAGTCGGGTTTAACAGGAAATACCTGTGGCCGCCATTCAGACTGCAATCCGCAACCTAGCCTGTTCCTAGCCTGTTGTTCGTGTTCTCAGCAGATGGGCCAAGTATAATTGCGTATCGAGGGTTCGGACGGATGACGACAGCAGGCCAGCGTGCAATGCGGCAATGCGTGGCTGGCCTCTTGACAATGGACGCAGCTCCTGGCGGCTTCTCTCCCACCATTGTCAGCCCAGTCCCTTGCCATCTGCGTCTCTGGCAACGTCAACCGCCCCACCAGCGGCTCCATGCTGTGGCACTGTGTTCATGATAGTTTGCACGGTGCTCTGTTCATAAGTGAGCATGCACGGATCAAGACTGAGGCTTCGTGGTTCTTGGCATTTCAAGACTGTGGGGTGACCACCTGCTGCTTATGTAATTTACTTATTGATATCCACCTACATGCTGGGTTGCCCATCTATTGATACCGATAAAGAGCTCCGGTATGGACAAAGCCAAAAAAAAAAAAAAAAGCTGTCCTCTGAAGATTTGTGATCACAACTACCTCCGCCATTACTCCCTTGATTATCTTGTGCAAGTATGGAGAGACCATAAATATAATTGGACATCTAATTGTTTAGACCGCTTGATTTCTGTTCAACTGTCGCTCAAGTTCTCGGCACTACCACCACATCATGATAATGGCTCTCTCCCTCCTTTTCCATCCTCTTTGAGGCTTTTCTCACCAGATATTATTTGTTAGCTGCATAGTTTCGAGAATTTTTACTTCTTTTTGTCAATGTACTTTACTGCGACACATTGATTCCTCCTTTTGCATTGTGGCTTAGTTTCAAATCTCGCAGAGTGTGTGCACCATTAACTCGGCGACTGTGACCTTATGATTCTCAATTCCGCTGGTTTTTGGACCCGGTGTGCGTATGGAGCTCCAGGTTTAAGGTTTTTAAGCGCCGTTGCCCCGGTGGAGGGTGAATAGGATGACCGCGAGTTTGGATGGATCATTGTGGTGTGTCTACGTCCGCTAAGGTCGGCCCATCCCGGCAATGCAGGCATGTTTTCTCCACGCATGGAAAATAAAAAGAACCTTGAGAAGAACTTCGGGCGGCACAGACATTGATGTGAAATTCAGAACAAATCTTTAACAGCCTCTTGGGACTGCTGAGGAAAAATATTCTGTCTGACTCGGAGAGCATACGCCGCCTGGATATCCTTCCATCGCGGCTGTCATTCGGTATAAAATCTTAATCATTGTCTTAGATATCCACAAACAAGTTCATTAATAGCTTTACTGAGCATTTAGTCACCTCTGGCTGTCTTATTGACTCAGTTACCAGTCCACCCCTGGCTCGAGTTTTTCTCTCCTCCCCTCTTTTTTTTTCTCAACACCATCATTCATAAGCTGTCTGGGACCCTTTGAGGGTCCATCATCAACCCCCATGAGAAAGATCTGTCACAGACAAGCAGTAAAAATGCTCTGTTGATCTCTACTTCATATTCAGGATAGAAAAGAGTGACAGATAGAGGCTTGTGGCTTTGTGCTCTGGCAACCCCCTGCGAATCTGCATGCCATGGATCATCATCCATCACCCTCCACCTTAACCTTGCAAAATCTTGGTGTCCCCTCGTCCTTGTTCAGCCTTCTCTTGCTCTCTCAGGCATCGCAAAAGGGATCCACTCCTCTAGACAGAACTTTTCTCTCCTCAATGGGATCCTGAGGAGTCATGGCCCTTTCGCTCTTTTGACATTGGTGTTTTTTTTTCTCGTTCGTCCCGGTCTGGTCATTCGGTCTGCTTCTGTTGTGACGTGCTTGTTATTTCTCATCCAAAAAGGAGGGGTTACTTCTTTTATCTCATCGCTCTGGAATAGACTAGTTGTTTGCAGCTATAATTTTTGTTGGTACACTTCACATTCCCTCAAACCCCCTCCTCTCACCATCCAAACCAGCATAACTAAGGGCCCAAGGACCATAAAAACAGCAGGGCCGATGAAGGCCAAGGACTTCTGGCCATCCTCCGGGGGCGACTCTTCGTCGTCTACTACTGTCGGCGATGTCGTCATTCGAGATGCCCATGACATGGTCGTCGAGAAGACCAAAAGCCAGGGCGGCCACTCGGTCGCCGCCAATTCAGCCCAGCAGGGCGAGCTTCAACGCCAGTTGTCTGGGAGACACCTGAACTTCATTGCCATTGGCGGAACCATCGGTACGGGCTTTTTCCTGGGCATGGGCAGCGCGTTGGTCAAGGCTGGGCCTGGCGGTTGCCTGATCTCCTACGTCTTTGTTGGAACCATTCTTTGGTCTGTCATGGTGTGTTTGGGGGAATTGGCTACATATATCCCAACTGCTGGAGCATTTTCGGCATATGCGACACGCTTTGTTGATCCCAGCCTGGGGTTTGCGGTTGGATGGCTGTATTGGTTTGGCTGTGAGTATTGGCTAGCCCCGTATTCTTTTCTCTACATCCTCTGTTAGTGTTCCTAGGGCTGACACTCGGCTCAGGGGCCATCACTTATGCCCTTTCCCTCACCGCAGCTGGCCTCATTATCCAGTATTGGAACAAAGACTTCAATATTGGCATCCTGATCGCCATCTTCTGGGTCGTCTTTACTCTAATCAACTATCTTCCCGTTGGCATTTACGGCGAACTCGAGATGTGGCTGTCCAGTTTGAAAGTTATCACTATCGTCGGCTTCATCATCTTTGGCATCTGCATTGCCGCTGGCGTCGGTGATGAAGGTACACTTGGCTTCAAGTTCTGGCACGACCCGGGTGCCTTCAACTCCTACATGGTCCCTGGCGCCATCGGCAAATTCGTCGGGTTCTGGGCGGTTATGATCCAGGCTTCGGTGGCATATCAAGGAGCCGAGCTGGTCGGCGTGGGCGCCGGCGAGGCACGCGATCCACGCAAGACAGTTCCCAACGCAATCCGAGTCACATTCTGGGGCATCATGGGCTTGTTCGTCTCGACCATGTTTTTGATCACGATGCTTGTACCGTCCAACGATCCCAACCTGCTCAACGACTCGTCTGATGCGTCGGCCTCGCCGCTGGTCATTGCTGCCCAGCGAGCTGGTGTCCGTGTCTTGCCGCATATCATCAACGCCGTGCTGCTCACTGCCGTTCTCTCGGCAGCTAATTCCAACGTCTACTCGGGCAGCCGCATCTTGTTGGCGTTGGCGGAAGAGGGCCAAGCTCCGGCGTTCTTGAAGAAGACTGACCGCAGGGGCATTCCATATTTTGCCGTCGCCGTGACCGCAATGTTCGGACTTCTCGGTTTTCTCAATTTGTCGTCTGGTGGTGGACAGGTGTTCGACTGGCTCCTTAACATCAGCGGCGTGGCTGGGTTGACAACTTGGGCAAGCACATGTCTGTCTCATCTATGCTTCACGCGCGCATTGAAGGCACAAGGCATTCCGCGCTCTGAGTTGCCATATGTCTCCAGATTCCAGCCATATACGGCGATTTATGGCCTGTTTTTCAATGTGCTCATCACCCTCACACAGGGCTTCACTGCATTTATCGACTGGAACGTTAGCGACTTCTTCGCCGCGTATATCAGCGTTATTCTCTTTGTGGTGCTGTGGCTTGGGCATAAGCTGTGGTATCGGGAGCCATTTGTCGATCCGGCGAAGGCCGACCTTGTACGAGGTCGCTATGATTCGAACGGAGAACGCTCGCCTGCTGATGGCGGTGTGTAACGAGGAAGCGATAAATATCCATTTGCGTAATGGTTGTTTATCAAACCTCGAGTAGGGACAGGGCTCTTGTAACGATGTCAATGATGATGCCGTTGGAGTTCGGCGTTGGCAGGCTCATTAATATGATTGGGATCCGGACAGATGGCAGGATCCGAATGTACGAGAGATTTCAGTTGACACCGCATACTTGTCCAGCAAGAACAGCCAATGGCTTGAATATGCATAAGCATACTTGGTCATGTTATTGCAAGGAGACATGTTCTGAATTTTCTTTTTTCGTGAAAATTTACAATACCTCATACAGAAAGCCTTGGAAATCGTATCTATTTGGCCCGATGGGTTCAAAGACCTTCTGACAAAACGAGAATCAACAATCTCACAACGTTCTGCTAATTCCACTCAACAAGCTCAATAGCGCAAAGAAGTCTGTTAACTTGGCATCACATCGATCAGGCCCACTCAGAGAACCATATTCCAGCTGACCTTCTTGCCCCTCATCATAGCCAGCACGCCGACAGGGAGGAACTGTTTGTCGACCAGACTCAGCCCACCGAACTGTTGGAACAGTTCCTCAGAATAGAGCTGCAGGAACCACTTCTTCTCCGCGTCTAAAGTCCATTTGCCATCCTTGCATAACGAGAGGAGAGCGTTTTGAACATCTTTGCTCAGGACGATCTCCTCGACAACGGGCACTGACACGAGCCGATCGTAAAGCCGGCAAAAGTGCGTGTCCTGCCGCTCGCGATAGCGACTGAACTCCTCGAGAGAGAGAAATGTGTGCAGCTGGTCCTCTGGAATGGCTTTCTGCTTCTGCAGTTCCTCTCCCGGGTAGATGTTCTGCAACCGGCGGAGGAGTGCTTTGTTGTCGTTTGCTCGGAGGTTATCGAATTCCTTCTTGTATCCCAAGTACTGTTCGCGCTCCTGTTGGAGGTATTCGTGGATGAGCTCCTCCGGGGTTTTATCGACCTCGTTCCGGACCAGGAACAAGTTTATGAACGGGTTACGGAGTCCCAACCCGCCCAGGGCTTCAGGAAGGAAGATGAAGGAGTCTGGAAGATCGGAAACACCGAATCGGTCTTGAATCATGCGTTTAACTGGGAGATGGCTAGTCAGTGAAAGTGCTCTTGGTGAAGGACGGGGTCGCATTAGGAGAAAAACATACCATATTCGACCGCACTGCCCTCCTTCCCATCGGACTGAGGGAAAAGCCTCTTCAGCATGTTCGTATAAGTATTCAACACCTCATTGATATGTTCGCGACCAAAGCATTCGGCCGGCTCGCCAAATGTGTGGCTAAAGAAGCGCCCAATGCAACTGTTCCAAGTTTGAACCCAGGCAAGCACGCTCTTGGACTCAGCCAGTTGCTTCTTGAGCTGATCCACATGAGCCTGCACCAGTTTCTGATTGATCGTCCATTTACCGGTCTCTGGGTCAAGAGTCAGGAAACCGATGCTGACAGGACCATCAGGCAGGGCCTGGGCGATCTGGGTATCCTTCTTTCCGGCGCCCGGCAGATAGACAGATCCGGTTTTGCTCTTATTGAGGTCGAGACCAAACACCTTGACAAATGATTGCAAGCAGGTCCAGGCTTTGCAGGCGCTCTTGGGCTCGCCAAAGAGCCAGATATCGTCATGAAGACGATACAAGAAAATGCCTGTCTCGCGATGGACAGCCAAGTCCATAAAGAAGAGAACCAACTCGCCGGTGAACTTTTCGGACGAGTGGGCCATAGGGACGCCTCTCTGGCGGATGCGGGGACCCTTCTGCGGACGATCATCGGATGCCTTGTCGAGGTTAAGAGGAGCGGCGAGATACTTCTTGAAGAAGTGGATCCAGTCCTCGCCGAAGCCGACATACCGCATGACAGCATAGACGGTGCTATGTGGCAAGGCAGTCGCATACCTGAGCAGATTTTTGTCAGCATCATTGTCCAGGAGTGATGGAGGAAGAAGGGAAACAAACCATTGGAGATCAGTCTGGACGATAGCCACACCGCCACCAGGCTGAGAACGGGTATCGTGTGTCACACCGCGCAGCCGGTGAACGAGTAGCTCGGCTGTGAGCCTACGCAAGAGTTGCTGCTTGATGCCAGAGCGTTTTTGAGGTGAAGACAACAGCTTGTTGAAGTCTTGGGCATCCAGACCCCGGTCATCGTCAGAATCATCGTCGTACTTGTGATCACCGTCGAAGAGCGAGGTCTCGGTGGCAGGGAGCTGCGAGAGGAAGAACTTTTCAAAGTACTCATCACGGCGGCGTTGCTCGATATTATTAGACGAGCTTCGCAGACCGCCGAGATAGTAACGGCGGCGTTCGAGCTCTGCTGGGGAGGGCACCATGTGGCCATCATGGTTCCTGGAGTAGATAGCCCTCATAAAAGATTTGAGGGCAGGCTTGAGCAGGTTGCAGAGCCTGATGCCGATGTACTGGACGAAGAGCATCTGCAAGATGTCGTCATCAGCCCAGATGCGATACTTGCCATTCAGGCCGCGGCGAGGCATGACACGGATGCCCTCTTCACCAGCATCCCAGTGCCATTCCTTCAAGTCAGAGAAGCGCATATTCAGAACATCCGCAATCTCGGACTTGGCGACATCGCTGTCGAGGAAGTCACGCAAGATGGCCTGCTTCTCATCGCTCAGGATATCCTCTGTCAAAAGGCCTTTGATACAGCTCGTAAGCGACTCCAGGTTGAAGGGGGCCTTCTCGGCCATGAACTTCTCGCTGGCTTCGGAGATGGTCTTGCGCAGCTTCGCGAGCTCCTTCTGGCTCTCTTCATCCGGAAAGAGGCGATCGAGGAAGCCACGGATTTCGACCTCATTCGTCTCGAACGGTTCAAAGACGACTGCTTCGAACTTGTCAACCAGTTCGCTGAGGCGTTGGCGCTGCCGTTCAATCAGCTCGAAGGAGTCGTCGTCGGCATCGCCAACAGAAGCAGGCAGGGGCTCAGACACGGGCTGGTCCATCCACTCTAGAAAAAAAAGGGGGGGGGGGGAAAATTTCAGCCTCTGATTGTACATGTAATGATACAAGTGAAAACATAAGAGATGCAAGGGGTCAAGTTCACCGCATACCGGTCAGGAGACGCGAATAGAGAAGGGCCATATCCAGCTTGCGGCTCTGGATGTCAAGCTTGGAGCGCAGCTGCTGACTGAAGCTGACGAGCTTTGATTCCGGAATTGAGGCATCATACCGGGACTGGTCCAGCCAACGTTGGATGTTGGAGAGGCTATCATCCTTGGAAGCCGGAGGGTAGAGCTCCTTGACGGCATCAAGAAGACAGGCGAGACGATCCTGCTCGGTGGCAGCAGCGTCGGCCTTCGCAAGATACTCGCGCTTTCTGGACTCATATGACTTGCGGAGAGCCTCCAGCTCACGGATCTTGCTGAATGTGATGTTCTGGAGAGTCTTGTTCAATACAGACGCAGGGGATGCCATGGTGGATGGGATGAGTGAGCCGTGCTCGAAGGAAGATAGTCGAGTCTACTTCTGGGTGATGTGTGAGTGCTGGAGAGGAGCGTGATGGTCAATGGTCGTCCAAAGCTGAGGATATCTCAGCCTCATATACCTTGCAGACTCGCTCATCTTGCAGCAGCACCAGCTCCCTAACTCGTACAATCCAGAAGCATAGGCACAAGTCGGTCAGGAAGGATGGAGCTTCAGCCAGCCCTAGATGGAGTTCAAGGGCTCAAGGCCGCAGCTGGATCTAACGATCAGCCGCATGACACGATGCACAACCGCGGAACAGATTCCCGGAGTGACTCAAGATCATCATTCATCCACAACCCCGCATCGTCTCGCGATGATGGTAGCCAAAGACGGGCCATTGATTTTGTGGTGTTGGGTGCTGTCGGGCTGCTTGCCTGGTTGTGAAGTCAGCACAGGAACCTCCTCCAACAATGTATGGCCCATTGACTCATGGCTGTGAAACGGGATATCCTAGCAAGGGGCATAGATGCCTGCGATGCCTGCAGTAGTTGCTGGATCTGTGCTGTGCGATCTGCTAAAAGAGTTGATGGGAGCTCTTGGCCTGAAGGCAGCAGCAGCGGGTGGAGCACGCAAGGACCAAACACAGCTTGACATGAAATTGGCCGCTGAGTTCTCCGACAACAGCCCCGAGAGCACGCATATACTACAATTTGGCGGGCCATCAGGGAACACTGCATTGATGTGAATGGCAGACTAGCTGCTTGCAGCGTAAACCCTTAGAAAAACACAGGGACCCCGTTGCTGAAAGAGAACTTGCGAAGTGGCAAGGGATGGACAAATGTTAGGGGAGATCACACAGTATGTGATCGGCAGATGACTACGTGTACTGTGTATGTTCTATGTATGTGATATGGGCACACAACAATACAGAATGCTTGAATAATCGAAGTGGAACCATATTTGCTTACGTAAGTAACCTGTATATCAGCTCCGACCCGATCGGCCCGCGCTGCCAAGATCCGGGGACGGGGCCAAGAGCTCGGCTCCGATAACGGCTCCCAGTACCAGAGCAGCAGCAGAGCTGTCAACGCTAGTGCCTTGCGCTGCCGGCCAAATGTAGGCCCCGATTCTCGGGATGAGGGGCTCCGCTTGCCTCAATTAGCTGGAAGCAGAGGCAGGTACCCTCCAATTTACCCCGCTGGACTGGACCGGTGTCAGTGATCCACTGGTCAGTGGTTCGAAGAGTCACTTATTGCAGTCACAACCAAACAAAAAGTTCCAACACCGGTCGGCATCACCACCACCATCGCCGTCAACACAGCACTACAGCTCCCCCCCGGCGCAGTGCATGCTGGCCAATTGCGCCGCCCGGCACTCTCCGATCCCCTGATCCCCATCACGCCTCAACCATGGCAACAGCAAACGTCGCCGGTGCCGGTGGCTCGGGCTCTGAGCCCACGCGCATCGCCATCCTGGGCAAGGAGGACATCATCGTCGACCACGGCATTTGGCTTAACTTCGTAGCCCACGACCTGCTGCAGACACTGCCGTCCTCGACATACGTGCTGATCACCGACACCAACCTCTATACCACATATGTGCCGCCCTTCCAGGCTGTCTTCGAGGCTGCGGCTCCTCGCGATGTGCGTCTGCTCACCTACGCCATCCCGCCCGGCGAGTACTCCAAAAGCCGCGAGACCAAGGCCGAGATCGAGGACTGGATGCTGTCGCATGCCTGCACGCGCGACACTGTCATCATTGCCCTTGGCGGCGGCGTCATCGGCGACATGATCGGCTATGTGGCGGCTACGTTCATGCGTGGCGTGCGCTTCGTCCAGGTGCCCACCACCTTGCTTGCCATGGTCGACTCGTCCATCGGCGGCAAGACGGCCATTGATACGCCCATGGGCAAGAACTTGATCGGCGCCTTCTGGCAGCCGCGCCGCATCTACATCGACCTTGCCTTCCTCGAGACCTTGCCGGTGCGCGAGTTCATCAACGGTATGGCCGAGGTCATCAAGACGGCTGCCATCTGGAACGAGACGGAGTTCACCGCGCTCGAGGAGAACGCCGCTGCCATCCTCGAGGCCGTGCGCTCCAAGGCCTCGTCGCCGGCTGCCCGCTTGGCCCCGATTCGTCACATCCTCAAGCGCATTGTACTAGGTTCGGCGCGCGTCAAGGCCGAGGTTGTGTCGGCCGATGAGCGCGAAGGCGGCCTGCGCAACCTGTTGAACTTTGGCCACTCCATCGGCCACGCCTACGAGGCCATCCTGGCTCCTCAGGTCCTTCACGGTGAGTGCGTCGCCATCGGCATGGTCAAGGAGGCCGAGCTGGCTCGCTATTTGGGCGTCCTGCGTCCCAGTGCCGTCGCCCGCCTGACGAAGCTCATCGCCAGCTACGACCTGCCGACCTCGGTCCACGACAAGCGCATCGCCAAGCTCTCTGCTGGCAAGGAGTGCCCCGTCGACGTGCTCCTGCAGAAGATGGCCGTCGACAAGAAGAACGAGGGCCGCAAGAAGAAGATCGTGCTGTTGTCCGCCATCGGAAAGACCTACGAGAAGAAGGCCACGGTTGTCGACGACCGCGCCATCCGCTTGGTACTCTCACCTTCGGTCCGCGTGACCCCCGGCGTGCCCAAGGGCCTCTCTGTCACTGTGACCCCTCCGGGTTCCAAGAGCATCTCGAACCGGGCGCTTGTCCTGGCTGCCCTTGGAGAGGGTACTACCCGTATCCATGGCCTGCTTCACTCGGATGACGTGCAATACATGCTGGCTGCCATTGAGCAGCTCCACGGCGCTGACTTCTCGTGGGAGGACGCCGGAGAAATCCTCGTCGTCACTGGCAAGGGCGGCAAGCTGCAGGCCAGCAAAGAGCCTCTGTACCTGGGCAACGCGGGTACTGCTTCGCGCTTTCTGACCTCAGTCGTCGCCCTCTGCGCTCCGTCTGCGGTCTCGTCGACCGTTCTGACGGGCAACGCTCGTATGAAGGTGCGCCCCATCGGTGCCCTTGTCGACGCGCTTCGTGCCAATGGCGTCGGCGTCAAGTACCTCGAGAAGGAGAAGAGTCTGCCCGTCGAGGTTGATGCTGCGGGCGGCTTTGCGGGCGGCGTCATCGAGCTGGCTGCCACTGTTTCGTCGCAGTATGTCTCGTCCATCTTGATGGCTGCTCCCTACGCCCATCAGCCCGTCACTCTTCGTCTCGTTGGCGGCAAGCCCATCTCCCAGCCCTACATCGACATGACCATCGCCATGATGGCCTCGTTCGGCATTAAGGTCGAAAGATCGGCCGAAGATCCGAACACCTACTTGATCCCCAAGGGCGTGTACAAGAACCCCCCCGAATATGTGGTCGAGAGCGATGCCAGCTCGGCAACCTACCCCCTTGCTGTTGCTGCGATCACTGGCACCACCTGCACGATCCCCAACATCGGATCCGAATCGCTCCAGGGCGACGCTCGCTTCGCCGTCGAGGTCCTGCGCCCCATGGGCTGTGCCGTAGAACAAACAGCCACGTCCACGACCGTCACCGGTCCCCCGATTGGCACGCTCAAGGCCATCCCCCATGTCGACATGGAGCCCATGACGGACGCCTTCTTGACTGCTGCGGTGCTTGCTGCCGTGGCCGACGGCACCACTCAGATCACGGGTATTGCCAACCAGCGCGTCAAGGAGTGCAATCGCATCGCTGCCATGAAGGACCAGCTGGCCAAGTTTGGCGTTCAGTGCAACGAGCTCGAGGACGGCATCGAGGTCATCGGCAAGCCGTACCAAGAACTCCGGAACCCCGTCGAGGGCATCTACTGCTACGATGATCACCGTGTTGCCATGAGCCATAGCGTGCTGTCCACCATCTCGCCCCATCCCGTGCTTATTCTCGAGCGCGAGTGCACGGCCAAGACCTGGCCTGGTTGGTGGGATATCCTGTCGCAATTCTTCAAGGTCCAGCTGGACGGCGAAGAGGATCCAACGAAGCGCACAACGCAGTCGACACAACAGGTCCGCAAGGGTACCGACCGGTCCATCTTCATTGTCGGAATGCGTGGTGCGGGCAAGTCTACCGCTGGCCGTTGGATGTCCGAGCTCCTCAAGAGGCCTCTCGTTGACCTGGATGCCGAGCTTGAGAGGAGGGAGGGCATGACCATTCCCGAAATCATCCGCGGCGAACGCGGCTGGGAGGGCTTCCGGCAAGCCGAGCTGGAGCTGCTGCAGGATGTCATCAAGAACCAGTCCAAGGGCTACATCTTTTCCTGCGGTGGCGGTATCGTCGAAACCGAGGCTGCTCGCAAGCTTCTGATCGACTACCACAAGAATGGTGGCCCCGTCCTGCTCGTTCACCGTGATACCGACCAGGTAGTCGAGTATCTGATGCGGGACAAGACCCGGCCGGCGTACTCGGAGAACATCCGGGAGGTCTACGAACGCCGCAAGCCCTGGTTTTACGAGTGCAGCAACCTGCAGTACCACAGCCCCCACGAGGACGGTTCGGAGGCTTTGCTGCAGCCGCCCGCCGACTTTGCTCGCTTTGTCAAACTCATCGCGGGCCAATCGACTCACCTCGAGGACGTTCGGGCCAAGAAGCATTCCTTCTTCGTCTCGTTGACCGTGCCTAATGTTGCCGATGCCCTGGACATCATCCCCAGGGTCGTTGTTGGCTCTGACGCCGTAGAGCTTCGCGTGGATCTGCTGGAGAGTTACGAGCCGGAGTTTGTCGCCCGGCAAGTCGCTCTGCTGCGCGCAGCGGCACAGGTGCCCATCGTGTACACAGTGCGCACCCAGAGCCAGGGCGGTAAGTTCCCTGATGAGGATTACGATCTTGCCTTGCGGCTCTACCAGACGGGCCTGCGTTCGGGCGTGGAATATCTTGACCTCGAGATGACCATGCCCGACCACATCCTGCAGGCCGTAACCGACGCCAAAGGCTTTACCTCCATCATCGCATCGCACCACGACCCTCAATGCAAGCTTTCGTGGAAGAGCGGGTCGTGGATTCCCTTCTACAATAAGGCGCTGCAGTACGGTGATGTGATCAAGCTGGTCGGCGTGGCCCGTGAGATGGCCGACAACTTCGCCCTGACCAACTTCAAGGCCAAGATGCTCGCGGCTCATGACAACAAGCCCATGATTGCTCTCAACATGGGCACCGCCGGAAAGCTCAGCCGTGTGCTCAACGGCTTCCTGACCCCCGTCTCGCATCCTGCCTTGCCGTCCAAGGCGGCTCCTGGCCAGCTCTCAGCTACTGAAATTCGCCAGGCGCTGTCACTGATAGGCGAGATCGAGCCGAAGTCGTTCTACCTGTTCGGGAAGCCCATCTCGGCGTCTCGTTCGCCTGCCCTGCACAACACTCTCTTCTACAAGACGGGCTTGCCGCATCACTACTCGCGCTTCGAAACCGATGAGGCGTCAAAAGCCCTCGAGAGCTTGATCCGCTCCCCTGACTTCGGCGGCGCTTCTGTTACCATCCCACTGAAGCTCGACATCATGCCGTTGCTCGATAGCGCTACCGATGCCGCACGCACCATCGGTGCTGTTAACACCATCATTCCGCAGACCCGCGACGGCAGCACGACCACGCTCGTGGGCGATAACACCGACTGGCGCGGCATGGTCCATGCCCTGCTGCACTCCTCGGGGTCTGGTTCCGTCGTCCAGCGCACCGCAGCCCCCCGAGGGGCTGCCATGGTGGTCGGCTCGGGCGGCACCGCTCGCGCAGCCATCTACGCCCTGCACGACCTCGGCTTTGCGCCCATCTGGATCGTCGCCCGGTCGGAGGAGCGCGTGGCCGAGCTTGTGCGCGGCTTCGACGGGTACGACTTGCGCAGGATGACGTCCCCTCACCAGGGTAAGGATAACATGCCGAGCGTCGTCATCAGCACTATCCCGGCTACCCAGCCGATCGATCCCAGCATGAGGGAGGTGATTGTCGAGGTTCTCAAGCACGGTCACCCCTCAGCTGAAGGCAAGGTCTTGCTCGAAATGGCGTATCAGCCGCCTAGGACGCCGCTGATGACGCTGGCTGAGGACCAGGGCTGGAGGACTGTTGGTGGTTTGGAGGTGCTGGCTGCTCAGGGGTGGTATCAGGTACGTTCTTCTGGTCATTCTCGTAGTATGGAAAGAGTGAATGTTCTAACTAGGTTGAATGTAGTTCCAACTCTGGACGGGCATCACGCCACTTTATGAGGAAGCACGTGCCGCGGTTATGGGAGAGGATTCCGTTGAGTAGAGGGAAGGTTGGTGACAAACTGGATTGGGTGTGTATTGTCGCTGAAGCCTCAAGCCAGGCCTTCTTTACATAGCTTTACATAGCTTACCTATGCATGCGCACAGAAAGATGAGGGGGTAAAGAAAAATCGGGGATAAACAAAATGAATCGAACCGCATCGAGTTGAGCTGTGCTTGATCCTTTTGTTCATTGTTACGATGTAAATGTCAGAACAAACAGGCTTTACTTTTTTTTTTTTTTTTTTTTTTGCTGTCGTGATAGACCGAGTATTGGTACCTCGTTCTGGAGGTCAGGGAAGGTATTCCAGCCGGCTCGGTTTACTGTCACAATAATATGATTTCAATATGCCGAATAAAATGTCTCCCTAAACACAATTCTGCCGATTAACCTTCTCTGAAAGCTTAGTTTCACACCTTAGACAGCTTGTCATGGCTTCTGACAGTGTACAATGAAAAGCAATATGCCTGTCGGTAAGTCCCGATGGTATGTCCGATCGCCTGAGCAGCGTCTACCGAGCTGTGAACAGCTGAGCCTTGCTGGTATAATTTGTAATATAATTGGAAATTCCGTTTCGTCAACTCAACTAATGCTTCACCGATGTCTGTATACCCATCTTCCAAGTTGATCAACCACCCCATGGGCCCAAGAGAGCGTGGATGTCATAAAAGAAGGTTGGGCGACAGGTGGCGTGATGCTTGGCGGTGATCTGAGCGGTGCAGAGCCACAGGGGCCAGCTGCTGCATGCAGCAGCGCCGGATGAAACATGGATCACTTTAGGGCCATCCACTCACACTTCACGACATACCTACTACACTATAGCAAATGCCTGTGCTCAGCTGATCATGCAATGGTTCTACTTTACTATTCGACTACCCAAAAGCTTTGCATTGAACAATGCAATACATAGAAGAACAACCAGTGGCCTGACATCGGTCCTGAGCATGGCATGACCATAGTTAGAATGTGTGTAGCCAGTCTTGGCTTTGAGTAGGGCAGTTAGTAAGTTGTCTCGTGGTGTTGTCTCTTTAGCATATCGAACGTCGTGTACATACTTCTAGAGCATAGGTAGTGGTGACGGTGGTGGTGGTGTGGAGATGACCTCGTAGGGATAGACCTAGTACACCTCCGTACCGGCTACGCATCCTCTCCTTTCTCCAAAAGTCCCGAAATGCCTGATGAAAACATCGGAAAATCCGTGAAAGCCATGCTCAACAAAAGAAAAACAATGGACAAAATCCTATTATGACCTGACAATGGACGCTCAATACACATCCCCCGTCAATCTATGAGCAGGCTACATTGTTTACTCATCTAGGATTATCGTTGCCCATTTCCTCCTCTGCGATAGGATGGTCATAGTCACGGGTCGCGCCGATGGTGTCATGACCGCCGTCTTTTGCTGGCTAACCTGTCATTATGATATTCCTTCCCATGCCCTTTCTCGCTTTGCTCTCTCGACCCACATTGTAGGCAGGGTCACTCACTCTCTTTGGTTTTTTTTTGTCTGACGGCACATGACGACTACTACGTCACGGATCTACCATGAGAATTTGGGACTGAAGAGATGGAATGGAGAACAGGGTACTTCCTTCTTGACTGACACATTTCATTGAAGATCGGCATCCATTGACAGTTTTGGCCGATCAAGGTATCGAGGTACAGGTTAAGAAGCTATCGATCTTATTCCAAGTGGGAAACAGGGATATTGAAATCTACGGCATCAAGGTTAAGACACCGAGTCACGGCATAGCAATGCCAGATGAGGTAATCATTCAACTAATAATATATCATTAACAGCATTCTGGGTATGTAATAAGTATCGACATGGATGCTCTAAATACCGGCATAGGGATTTTAAAATGTTGATGATGCCATACACCAGCTCTCTTGTCTTTTCCCGGCCTGTATATACTTTCATTCTAGCACACACTTCCAAAACCCGTTAAACTCAATCCAGTCTAAGCCAATCCCATTCATAGGAAGATGCCTGCCCCTGTGCTGTCGGCCCAATTGAGCAATGAGAGTTTTTCCGTCTAAGACGTTGTGCCCATCCACCCGTAAAATATCGACAAAGGAAAGTCATGAAAGCTCTGAAACAAACAGACGCACAAAAATATCCTGACCATGCTAAGCATCCTGTGCAAACCAGTCTATCCGTAATCCATGCCTTGAATCCGTTTCATCATGATTCATGAAAAAAAAAAATGGAACGTGTCAAAGTCATAATGCTGTCGCTTGGCAAATATTTTTGTTAAGACAATAGGGCAACCAGTCCCAGTCTCCCAGAAACATATGCCCCATCCTTCGCTGGCGAATACCGAAAGAGCAGAAAATAAAATAAAAACATTGATATAGGGTTTGGAGTAAGGCGCTGCTCCCAGAGCCAAGTGCTTTACAATGCGATTGAAAGAAGAGTTAAAAACAAACGGACAAAAACAAGAGTGAAGTGTAACAAGAATCCGAGGCCCGGCCCGGCCGGAGTTGACTCAAAGATTGTGGCTTGTCTGTTCTCGACCCTGAGGGAAGAAGAAAAAAAAAGAGCAAACAGAGGACGTGAAACCCTGCAGACATGACGTCATTGCTAGTTAGAACACAATTGATTCACACTGATCCGATCGGCCTCCGCCGATGCCACACCCCACTTACCAGCCCCATAAAGGGCTGGACCCACTTCACAGCCACCCCACAATACAGGAAGGGGTAGTGTGGCCTGTGTGGGCAGCACTGGTCTCTTGGGGTGGAATCAGAAAGGGAACGGCGAGGGGGGGGGAAATACTGGACAGCATCCAATGGAAGAAGGACTCGGACTCGGCGCAGCGCTGTCGTGCAACCTCCGCTTGGTGTGATAAGAGTTATGTGAAGAGATGCAACAACGCTGCGAGAGCACACAAGAAGAATCAAGCATGGAAAGCGCTAGAAGCACTTGGTGCTTGTGGTTGTGTCCTTGCATGATCGCAATACCGCAACATGCTCGTGCAACTTCCAATCGGTCTCAACGACCAGAGAGGAAGTGGCTGCTGTAGCCTTCCCTTGCTGCCCTCTGTTCCCTTCCACGGAAGTCAGACTTGAGTAAATCAATTACAGCGGTAGGAAGAAGTAGATCCGGCGTGGTCGACATTGTTGAGGGATTTCGGCTGGAGAGTTGAAACGGACGCGGGTTGATAACTGCCATGTATCGAGCAAACCCGTCCCATCCATCTCCAACTGGGCCGACGGAATGCCGAACGATGCAATTCGACCTTGACAGAACCTTGGATTGTGAGCGTGGTAGAAGCTTGGCAGAATCGTAGAGAAACGGTTTCCGCTGCCAAGCCCCTGAAGCTTGTTCTCGTGAGCCGGCATCTCCTTTCTTTTTGCTGTGTCCTGTTTGCTGAGAGAGCCCGCGTTGTCATGGGAATGATCATGTTGCAAGTCTCGTATTTGTCTTCCCTCTCCAACACGACGCCGAGAAGCGGTTGTAGAGCCGGGCTTAACCACTGTGACTACTGTGGCCACCGCGCCTCCTATGCTTGCCTGGAAACTCGACATCCGGATGGCATACACGGTAGTGCCTAGTGAGCGCGTCCGCTCTGCTGAAGGTCTTCTCGTCCGTGCACAAGTCACAGCGAACTTTCTGCTTGCGCGCATTGTGAATCGTGTCCTCGTGGCGGGTCAGATCGTAAGGACGGGAGAACACCGTGTTACATGGCTTGCCTGTGCTTGGGTTGATGCGGTCGCACCGATGAGGACCCGCCTGTGTGTTGAACAAGCCGGCAGGCGTGCCGTCAGGGCGCCGGGCTCCCAGGCCATGTGCTTGCCGGTGTCCCTCACGCTTGTGCTTCTGCAACAGCGCTGGAGTTGCAAACCGATACGGACAGCCGTGGTAGGTGCAGCTGTAAGTACCACTATCCGCGCTGGTGTCGTCTGGACGTGCCGGTGTCGCTCCACCCTGCGCCGAATCTGTTGCGGCCGTGTCGGCGGAGCCAAGTCTGGTTGTTGGCATGGATCCCTCAATAGAGGGGACCGCACTCGTCTGTTGTCGTTGTTGCGTCATGAAGGCGTATTGTGGGTGCACCGGCACGTTGGGAGCTGGGGGCAGCTGCGTCGTCAGGTAATTGCCGAACCCGCTGGGGTCCAGCGATGACAGGCCACCAAATGTTGGCTGGCTCGTAACGGCCGTGGCCGCGGCCTTGCTGATCATGTCCGAGGGAAACCCGGCGTTGGCAGCCTGCTGAGGGAACAGAGGGAAGTTTGCCTCTGCCTCAGACTGGGGAAGCTCGATCAGAGCGTCCTTAGGAGAGATGGTCGGAGGGGTCGAGGTACCGGCCGTCGCCCGCACAATCTGCTGCTGCAGCGCCCTCGCGTCTTGGATGGCTTTCGTTTGCTCGCGCATTTTCTGCGCCGAGCCGAAGGGCATGTGGGCAGAGCCAAGGGCCGGTTGGAAATCGTATACCGGCAGTGGAGCTAATGGCGAGCCCTGACGGAATGGTGACTGTTCCCGAGACGTGGCCGACACTGGCGAGTGTGCGACAGCCGACAAATGCTGGCTGTTGGCAGCTTGGAGACGCTGGGCAAAGATGCCGGCAGTAGGTGACACTGGAATTTGCCCCGAAGACGTCGAAGACGTAATGGTAAAGTTGGGGCTGTAGAGCTCGTCCGTATACACGTCCGAGATTGTGCGGTCCAGCTTAGGGATGGTAGGCATCGCTGTGTTATCAGACATTTCTAAGTCAGAGATGCTTGAGCCTGGCGCGAACAGGTCCTGGGAGACCGAGGTTATCTCACCACTATTACTGCTGTTGCTGGCGCTGGTGTTGACGTTATTGTTATCGCTGCTGCTAGCAGGCCTTCGGTCCTCCTCGATATCAACATTTGGAGTGGCGGGCGACCCTGATGCTATCGAGCTTGCCACCGACACGGGTTGTGACCTGCTTGCGCCAATGGGATGCTCAGGGTGGGGGGGAAGCAAGTCATGCCGGCGCTTCGGAACGGCAGCGCAATAGGGGTAGCTTGTGATGCCTGATGTGGCGGCTGGGCCATATGTCGCTGGCAGGGTTGTGTAGAAGCTGTCGTGCGTCACACCAGAGAAGGACTTCGGGGTCAGCTGGTAGTTGAGGTCGTCCGCAGGGGACATGGCGTGGAAACCGTCCGTCACAGCGTCGCTCACGGCGATTTGAGGATTCGATAGGCTGTGGGGATATGGCGACAGCGGGCTATCCGACGCCATGGACGAACGAGACGAGTCCCGGTGATGCGAGAAGTTGCTGACAGAGCGCGGAGTCAGCTGGCTCCCGTTGGGCAACCATGTTTCCGTTTGCATCGCGTCGATGCCGGAAAACAAAGGCACGGACGGCTCGGGAGAGAAGTGGCTGCTTTGTTGGTAGGACTCGAACAAAGGACCCTCGCAGGCGGGACGCGGAACTGGGAAGGTAGGCGTTGGCACGGTCTCGAACGCAGACAAAGGCGACGAGCCCACACCGGAGATCTGTGAGGGCTGCGAGTATGTCGAGACTGGGGACGACGACAGACTGCTGTAGCTGAAGTCGGTATCGATATCGTGGTCGTACGGCGGCAGGTCAAGCGCGTTGAGGTCGGGGACGAAGGGCGACGCTGGTTGCGAATGGACGGCGGACTGAAGATGTGAAGTTGGATGTTGCGGCGGCGACGAAAGGCAATTAGGATGTCGGAGTGTCATGGTCGTTGTGGCCTACAAGGAGTTTGTGGGGTGTATGAGCTAAGTCTGCTTGCTGCGTTTGGACTGTGAGAGTGGCAAATGTTGGAGGACGAGAAGAGATCTGTTCGCCTTTATACGTAATTCAACCTTGAACAAAATCCCGTTCCCGACGGGAGGGTGACTCTAACAGCATTACGTCTGTGGGGTGTATGAGGTAGGCCTCGTATGGTCCGGGGCCTTCAAGGAAAAGCCTGTCTCAGGACCTGTAGTTTCAATGTACAGGTAATTTCATGACGTCAAGCCCGACTAGCGTTCACTCAGCAGGACAGGGTTTTGCAAGCAGGTACCAGGCCAAGGTACGTCACACTCAAAGGGTGAATAGGCAGTGCTGTGGTGCAACACGGCTTTCAGTTATCCTGGTCGCCCAGTCGGGTACCCCGCTGCTCTGAGAGACTGCCCGGCCCTCTCGCTAACAGTGTACCTGTACTGCACTGCTTTGACCAGTTGACACATCAATCACACCACACATATCGATGGGCTGCAAAACCTGTGATATCGCCGTTGAAGAGCTGGCGGATGGAGGCTACAGTCACCGACATGAACAACCACTTCCCGACCCGCCAAACAGCTGGGCTCTTATGTGTACGCTTCGAGAAGGCTGTCGATGCAGCCAGCAGCTTCTGCACTACGTGGTGAATTAACAATTGCCGCTTTATCAGCGACAACGAAGCGCTGAGTCATGGGGCTGGCACACCTCCGTATCGTTCTGCCAAATAATCAAGTCCAGATCGTCCCGGCTCTCTTGGGGTAAACAATACCGCGTGGACCAACATCATCACACCGGAAGGCCACTGTGCACAGCGTCGGTGTGGTGTCCATATACACACTCGTAGTGTGTTGTGTATCATTGTCAAAAAGACAATACCTGGATGCTGGCAATAGGTACCTAGGTACATCGAAATCGATCTCGAGCCCTCGACCAGCCCGATTATCGCCGATTGAACGTTCAACAAATATTGTCGAGCAGTTATTCACCCGGTAACGGCCGATGGAGCCAACCGTGAACATCCTTGACCTGCAGACGGATCGTGCGGCCTGACGGAGCCGGGCTGGTGGGGCGGCCGCTGGCCGAGTCTCGGGGGCGGAAAATTCACTTGATGCAGCTTTCGGTTCGATCCTGCTAGGAACACAACAGGAGAACCTTAGCCCAACATCCACTTCAGCTGCGCTAGCTAAGCAGGTACCAAAACTTGTTGAAATACGAGGATGTCGTTCGCCCATTTAGTGCACAAAAGCAGGGTCGAATTCAACTACTGGATAGATGAAGTCGCTCTAATGCTGCGACCTAAAGCTGCAGGGCTTCCGGAAAACCTCATCGAGCCTGTTGAGAGAGCATGCAGAGGACAATATTCAACGGCCCTTGGATCGCGCACGGGCCACAAACAGCGAAAAATGGTTGTAACAGTACAAATGTCTGACATGCAAAGCCATCTGAACACTTGATTCTTAAAGTACACTACACAGCCACCATGCGGGCCCGACAGACTGGCTCCTCGGATCTCAGAAACCGTTGAGGTTATGTCAGGAACGGCAACTTGGCAGGCTACGATAAGCCGCCTTTGCCGCGACTTTCCGAAATAGCCTCGAAAATCTTTAAGCTACTTTTATCCTTTGCTGTGTACGTGCGTAGAGTTTATCTCCCCGAGAGGCGCAGTACACTGGTACAGCTATAATCCGTAATCCATAGGTAGGTAGACTACCCAATGTGCCTTGCGCATGGATTGAACAAATACGGAGAGGGGGAGAGGCAGGTGCTAAGCATCAGGACCTCCTTCACGAGACGCTGCTATTGAACAGTCGAGGAGCGATATCGGGAGCCTCAAGATGACATTGATTGAGCGATCGGCGTGACTGTTCTCGTCATCGACGGGACTGTTCTCGTCATCGACGGGGGGGAAGGGGGGAGGGGGGAAGGATATGCGTATGATAAGCAACAACAACACTGATCGTGTCACAATTCCGTTGTCACCTATTACCTCGTCGAGTCTCCAGCTCGCTCGCTTTCCTGTTCTGCCATGTGGCTCAACCACCAAAGCCTTACGGAAGTTGTTGTGGCTTGTAGATCCTCGCCACGGAAGGGTTCCCTTCGCTTTCGTCGCTGCCAAGGGAGGGCCTCCTGAATGCATGCTTCTGATTGGTCGAAGCGTCTTTTAAAGGAGGACTCGCCGAAAATTAAAACCCACTGTTCACTGTCACATGACTGACTATCACATGACTTGAAAAGCATCCGACAGCTTGAAAAGCAAAAACATCAAATGACCTATGGGTAGCTATTGGAGTTGACTCACAATGACAGTGATGACTAAAGGCCATCTCGGCCTTGTTCGAACCTTCAGGAAGAAAAGTCAGGTATCAATGACCAAGTGTATGTACATGTACATCAGTTAGCAAAGCTTTTCCTCCTCCCCCTCCCCCCCTTTCCGCCCGGAGTGGGGTAACAACCATGTTTGAAAGATGATCAGAGCTTTTTCCCAGGCGCGAGGAGAGTCATGAACCTTCCAGTTACCTGAGTCAGCATTGATGGTATTGCAGAATTAAGAACGGGGGCCAGCTAAGTTAAGGTTAACATTTCCGCCCGCGCCTTGGATAAAAGCAAATGTAGCGATGGGTACCAGCCTGACGTGCGGAATTGGCACCAAGCAAGGGGTGAAGTTTAGGACTCAACTTCAGGTGAACTTTCGCATTCAGAGCATGCGATCAAACTCTCCGAAACAAGAAAACTAATCCTAGTGGCAACTTAGATCCATTTGACATCCATTTCCGTAGATGCCGACATACGCCGGGACTTTTGTGCTACTTACACACAGATCTGGGACTTGGGCTGCCCTTTCGGGTAGGTAGGTCTCGTTCGCTCTCTGACTGTTGACTCGGTCCCCTGTATAAGCGCCTAGGTAGCGATTGATCATCAACCTGTATGTAAGCCTTCTAAGACCTTGGTTGCACAAACTTCCCATAACCTTAATTGATTACCCTCAGCTGAGCAACCGAATACACCGCCTGCGGCATGTTTCATCAACGAATGGAACCTCGAAGCAGGTCACTCCGCGGAGACACGTTCTGTAGGCCACGTGCTCTGGCAAACCCAGCTGAACGGCTCAACGGTTTTACGCTTCCATTTGGCGGAATGAAATGCTTCGTTCAGCTGCCGGAGGCTCATGCAGGTTGAGGGGCTGTAAAAGCTGCATTTGGATCCGCTCACAATCATGGCTTAGGACAGACGAAGACCTCTCCTGCATTTTCTCGCCTAGCGCGCTATTCCAAACTGCCCTAGCTGCTCCTCGCTCTGGAGGTGCTACTAATGCGATGCACACTGAGTAGATACCAATCATTGAATCTCATAGTTGGAACGTGCAATTAGACCAGACACAACAAACCTCAAGTGCATGCCCCTCGCGGCGCGGCAGGGCGGTTGGTGTTAAGGGCGTGTTGAGCGGTGCCCGGCAGCGCCACACCGCGGTGGGATCGCGTGCATGTTGGCCAGATCGGGTTAAGAAAAGGGTGCACATACATAGATCCCTTGCCGGGGACCAAAAACCTTTGCGTCTGGGCTGACCAATCGGAGGCGGAGGCAGCCCTCCCGTGAACAGAGCTAGTGGCTCAGATCCCTCCGTCGGAGCCGCCGAACCCTGGTCAATCCAGATCTCTGGGAATCCGTGGCTTTGGCTGCTGTGGGCAGTGGGGATTGAGGTTCGCGCATCGTCAATCAACGCTAAGCTATCCAAATCCCTCCAAACAGCGTGCAACGTGGGAATGGCCAACCCAACTTCGAGCCCTGCATAATGACTTTTGAATGTGAGATTTCTGCTTCAGACCGTGCAGGAACGGAATAGCTGCATAGAATGTATATGCCCTCCAATCGCGACAAGTAAGAACTATTTCGCCTCCTCAGTGATGTCAGGTGAACAGGGGTTATCATGTTGTGGAACCCAGGAGATATGGTAAGGACGATAGAGGACTTCACATCTCCGGCAGCGTTCAGCTCTCGAGGATTCTACAAGAATCTAGTGTATCCAAGTAGTATGTGGCTTGTCCATATGACTCGTTGAACATAGTGTTGTAGGCACTTCGTAATCCATCTGGCCAGCGCTTTGGCGGAGAAGCAATCTAACCTGGCTGTGGACGCTATCTCTTCACCGGTACCTTGCTTAGAGGATATGTAGGAGCTTGAAGCAGCTCCCCCGCATCACAAGTTCATACTAGGCCGTGGAACCGCACTGCAACATGGAGCACGTGGCAAGAAAAGAATGGGAGTGCCAGGATTTTTTTTTTCTTTTTTGTCCGTGGAGTTCAGGACTCAGCCAACATCACGGGTTCTTCAAACTTAACATTCACACGGCCAAGAGCACAGTTGTCACAATTGCAATAGAGATGGAATGCGATTCGTCGACATACGAAGGCAGGACAGGAGAAGGCTGAAAACTATCCCAACACTGTGGTAGTCTCCTCGACCACTTCTGATTGCTTGGATGCAACATCCACCGGAAATGCAAATAGATAGTTTTCTGTTGACCGACCAAGCGGTGATAATTTTTGGTACGGAGAACTCTCGGATTGCGCTAAGTCGGAATCTCACATGCGTACAGAACGACACATCAGGAGCTTCTTTACCCGCGTGCCTGAGAGCAAACCAAACAACGGGTAGGGAAAAAAAGAATTTTTTTTCTCTTGTCCAAAATCTTTACCGACGGCTTGGAATAGCCTTGACGACCATTCACAGTTCCTAGGTCACACAACAGCGCGCTTGATTCAAAAGCGACTGCGCTAATGCAGGTCACAGCGAACTCCATTCCCCGATTCCCATACAATCGAAACCCTCCTGAAACGCTAAAAAATGGTCTTGCTCTGTTGGACTGGTATAGGGCTGCGCTAATACCCAATAGGCAACTGATGCGGGTCCGCCAGCGGACCCCAACCCAACAGGGTTCCTCGGAACACGCCGAGAGCTGTCGCAAGCTCTATGCTACTTCTAGTAATGTACATAGTTTTTCCGGGGATGTCCTTGGATTTTCCCGGCCTCCGTCTTAGGTAACCGCCGACATGGGGTGGTCGAGATCCTGATGGGCCGATGGAGGGGTTGAGGGGTGATCACTGATCAGTGAGGAGGATAATGGCAATGGGAGTCTCAGAGTGTACAACGTGCTCCATCAACTTTGCTGATCCAAAACAGACATCTGATTGTCCTTTTTTCCGACTTTCAGACCGACAAGTCTGCTTGCAAGCACTTGGTGGTGTGCCGAGAAGGGCGGTAAAATTTTTTTTTTGTTTTAAAAAAATACTCATTTTTATTCTCTGGTTGGTAGAGCTACCCCGCGCATCTCAGTTGTAGGTACTTTGTAACACGTAACGAATTGCCCTGAGAGACCGAAACGGCAAACAGCACCGCACCGCTTTTTGATGCAAGACATCTTTGGATCGTTAATATTTTTTGTTATTTTTTTTAGACTTGTTGAGGTTGCGCGGAGTTGCCAAATTTACACAGACGCAGGCCATCCAGCTGCTCAACGAAGACTCCGAGCTATCTCCCGGTCATGAAATCAAATTTTTGATTTGGCGCGGGATGGTGATTAAGAGGGTTCAGCATGACACTGCGGTTTCAATTCCTGTTACCTTTCTCGCTGCTGACGCCGACGCCAGCTGGCACTGCACCTTTGCTTGTGCTTGACAGACTCGAGTCTCGGCATGCGGCACAAGGTGACTTCGCTCGCCAGGCCCGCCTATAAGAGCGTTCTATGTAATGCCGTTTGTACACGAGACTGATATGCTAGATTGTGCAAATTAGATAGACTCATTTATCGGCCATCTTATCGAAATCGCGAAACCGTTGACTCAGCTCAACGATTCGCTCATTCCGCACTGCTGGTAGGCCATCGAGCAATGCATCGCTACGCACATCATATCTCGTATCAAACTGGTTATCACAGCCACCAGCATCACTAGCAGACTTGTCACCGCTTTTCGCTATCGTATCGTCGTCTCGCCTTCGCGGGTCTTTACGCAGAACGGAGAAAAGGGAAACTGGTCCTGCGAGTCTAACAAAAGATTTAAATGACGTGCATTTGAAGGGTTTCATGGGTAGCCTGCGGAGATGCAGCCCGTTGCACCCTAGTGGATCGTAGATTTCGGGCATCCCAACTCACCATTCACGAAGCCAATGAGCCCAAGCAGGCCCGGTCTAGAACCCGGTGGCGAAAAAACACGACACCGCCGGCTTGGGTCCCAACACCCCGGATGGCTTCCGAGCCTTCGCTTGCCTGTGACACGAGCTTAACCTTAACCCATCGGCTTGGAGCCGTGGGATTTGATGTATGTAATGGATGTAGTGTGCATATTAGCTTCGCTTACACCCACCTGTCTGGTCGCGGCACAGCAGCTGCGAAAAGACCGAAGCGGAGCTGGATCCGGACCGATGGCCATTCACACCCCCTCCTCCCTCCTACAAAAAAAATGCAACATGTTGTGACAGCGAGAGGAAGGCGTGCGTGTCTGTTGACGCAGCCCTTTTACCATATTGAGTGTCAGGCGTTGGCCCCCAAGCCCCTTTTGTTGAGTCAGTGAGATGGCAGCTCAATGTTTTGGTTGGCTGTCATAGGCCCATACACAAGTCTCAATACCCCGCGTTTTAGGATGCACGGCACATTGGGTATTGGTTGAGTCCACAACCGCTGCGACCTCGGAGCAGATCATTGAGCTGTTGATCTCCCGCCTATGGACTCACATAATTCGTTACTTTTGCCTACCTAAGATATGCAGGTGGTGGATGGGCCGCACCTCCATTTCTCCGTCCCGGCAAGTCAATCATGCATACCCGGCCCATTGTTTTGGTGCGTAGAGAACTTCTAGAAACCAATCAACAATGGATATGCTGCTCTTGCAGGGAGTAAGTAGGGAACGAGATCTCCCACCAACCTCTCTGCGACCAGTTGAGAGTATTGGTACAAGATGAGACTCCTCCCAAGACCAAAAAGGTCACTATCAGTTGGTCTGCCTCTCTTTGAATGGAATTCTCTGGAAGGGAAGGCAATGATGGAGGGAAGGAATTGAACAACAGGAGCCCATAACATGGAACACGAGAAGCTCAACAGTTCACTAGGGACTCCAAGGGTCATCGAATAGACAAGAGGTATGCCAACTAGTGTTAACCGAGATAGTCCAAAACTGTGTTTGCAAACCAAAATGTCATGGCCAAAAAAAAAAAATTCACCCGAGTCTTTATTATACTGTATTCTAGCTCTGTCATATCTGTCAACATCCGTCTTGATGGTCAACATTCGTTCTTCACCGGGGTCGTCACAGGCTCAGGGATTGCATACCCCGAGATTGTGTAGCTCCATCCATGACCACAACCCATCATCAAGAACTAAGATATCGGAACAGAATCTCAACTTCCTCCTTTGCATCCCTCGCATGCTCATAACCACGATCAACGATGAAATGTCTAGAGAAGTCAGAACTAGGTAGGTAGGTAGGTAGGTAGGTAGATAGATAGATAGTATACGATAGGACCATCCAAAAAGAGCCATCAGGTATGTCTATAAACAAAACCAGATGACGGCAAACTCAGTCAACTGAGGAACCAAATCCTCGGAAGTAGCGGCCAACCTTTCTCCTTTTCCGCGAAACCGTGGTCCGTGTTTTAGCCCTTTTTAACACATAAAAAGTGTTTGTTCGGTGGCCAGGCCTGGTTAGTTCGGCCAGAGTCATAGCAAAGTTCGATCGGCTCACATGATGATAAGCTACAGAACGAAGATTAGGTCAGTAAAACTCTTCGGCCATTTAAATGACTGAATAATCCGAGGACCCAAAACGACTTACCTCAATCAACTTTTCCGTCAACCCAAAACACCCTCTCCCCTCTCTATCCATCATCTCTACACCCGTCCCTGGCCCTCCAGGACCACCATTACTACTGTTCCCCAGATCCCTGCTCCCCGCCTTCCACAGCCCCTCTACCCCCAGCTCATCCAACAACTCCCCCAGCATTGCCGCGCTCGACTCCACTGCCGCAGCCGCGGAGCCAGCCTTCAACCGCCCACTACCCACAGTCAGAGTCTGCAGCAGCACATGTGCCATCTTCAGCGTGCTGCTATTCTGGCAGTGCATCAAGACCTCATCTAGCATATCAACAACCGGCGCATACAGGGGCATGGCCACGGTCGGGCGTGCGGTCGCGATGCGGTTGAGCCACGTTAGCGTGCGGGACTGGCTCGCGTCGTCTAAGTACCGGAAGTCGATGAGCTCGAGGGCGGTGTTGAGCAGGAGGTCTTTGTCCTTGAGACGGGAGAGGTCGACGATCGTGGCGCGCAGGTCGGAGAGGTCGGTGGATGGGGGAATGACGACGTTAAGCCCAGCCTCCCAGAGGTGCTCGCGGAGTTCGTCGACTGAGGCGGCGCGAGCAAGCATCAGGGACATGTAAGGGGAGGAAGTGAAATCGGCTAGGTCGCGCTCCGGATTGTTCGCTGGTGGTGCCGTAGCATCTCTGGATAGGCCCCGGCTCCCGCGGGACGAGGATGAAGTTGCCGTGGTTATCTCCAAGAAGGTCGAGAGGACGCGAAGTGCTGTTGGCCTGGTGACAGCGTCCGTCAAGCCGCGGACCAGGCACGCGCATGCCGCAAAGTGGAAGTTATCGGCATTGAAGTGAATGCCATAGGCATCATCAAGCGGCAAAGCAACGTCCTCGAGCTGGGCACGACCCTGAAGCAGGTAGGGCACCAGCTTGTCGCCGCGCATGTCTGGAGCGGTGCGAATATTAGCCAGGACAGCCTCAAGGAACAGCGCTGTGCAGTTGAAGAGGTTGGCAGGCACAAGGCGCAGCAAGGCCACAGCCAGCCAAAACAGCTGCAAACCATAACGTGAGGTGGTTGGCAGCTTGATCATCATCTTCGAAAGCGCTGTCAAGATGGAAACGAGCAAGTCAGAACTACCATCTTCTGCATAGCGGTTGACACTGTGGCGCAAGGCAACCAAAACCTGGTATAACAGGTCATCATCGACATCCTCGCGCGCCAGGCAGCCCATGACAGTGAAGGCTCGTGGCTGGATTGCCGGGTTATTCTGGAAAGCCGTGCTGGCCACAAGGCCCATCCAACGAGCACGCCATGCGTTGGTCAGATCAACCGAAGGGGCCGCGAGCGAGCAAACTTCAAACAAGATGGTCGCTAGGTGCTCTGTGGCTGCCAGCGTTGCCGGCCCACTCTCCTGTTGGGTCGAGATCGATGCTCCATCACGCACGAATGGCACAGAGTTGACAAAGATATCGTTCTTTGGATCCGATAGTGTATCGAGCGTAGCGCGCAACTTGGCCAACCGCGTCTCGTCGAGCGAGAAGGACGTGCAAGCAGAGTGCAGCGAGTTGATCAGCAGACGGTGTACGGCGATGCGCACATCTGGAGCGCCCGTGTTGGCAAGCATGGTGACAATATGGAAGATCTCCGGCAGGTACATTTGTGCCTGGATACCGCTATCGAAGGACAGGGCGAGGCAGAATTGCAGCAACACGCAGATCTCGTTCCACACAGTGTTGTCAGGCAGGTGCTTGGTCGGCCGCAGTGATGAGCGGTTGACAGCCTTGCGAAGCCGGGAAATGATCTTGCCGCGCAGCGTGATGGTTCCTATGCTGCTGGCAATCGACGTCAGAACTTCGGTGTGCTCGTCGTCGAAACCGTAGGTCAACGCAGTCTTGATGATCTCGTCCAGGAAAATGTCTAGGAGTACTTCATCCTGGCAGATGGCCGGCCACACCGATTGCTCCAGCGTCAGCATCAACGCGGCATCGCCGAACGCAACTTCGATGAGCTTGCGGAACAGCACCGCTATCTTTTCGCGGCCCTTCTCTGACTCGGGCTCACTCGCCAGCAGCGACGTGCGCAGTCCCGGGATCCACGGAGCCATGTACGCCAGGCTCAATGGCTTCTGGGAGTCGCTAAAGCTCTCCCAGCCAACGAAAAAGGCTGTCAAGAAATCCGAGGTAAGCTGTGGCTCCGTCTCAGCCAGGTTCTTGCTGATCTTGATAATGAACCGCGACGGGTCCAGCGGTACGGAAATATCCTTAGTGCTCATCAACTTCGACGCAGCAGTAAACTTGAAGGCCTTGCACAGAGCGCTCAGCAGGTTGTATGCGGATAATCGTAGCACTGGATCGTCGCTAGCCAAGTTCGTCAAGGCCAAATTGAGGAGAGTACCAGGCACATCCTGCGGCCGGATCAAACGGTCCGTTGTCTTCAGCGACCGCATGTCCTTGCTGTACTTGGCCTTGGCCAGGCGGATAGCTTGAAGGACGTCTGCCTTCTTGGGGCTAGTGAAATACATGACGATCTTGCCATTGTCAGCGCGCAGGCAAAAGGCAGAGTCGTCCTCTGTCTGGATCATAGTAGGTGCCTCCTCGATTTCGCCTAGACGGAAGATGTCGTTGATGGTGGTGCTCAAATGGAAGCCCGGCACCTCTTGCTTTTTGCACGTTGTGACCTGCACGTACTGGCTGCCGACCTTGATGACCACCTCGATCTTGCCCCTGGTTCTGGAGAGCCGTGTGACCGGCTGGAAGACGTAGCGGGTGTCGGTTACCACACTGATGGTCTCCTTGGGCAGATGCAGCTGGCTCAAGTGGAAGTGCGTTTGAAGGTCTTGTAAGCTGCCGATCAGGTGGTAATCGACGTTAGTAGGGCTGAACACGCTGGCCTCGTTTCGAGTGGATGCACGCAGGAGACGCCTGAGGCACTTCTTGGACACACTGTTCATGTTGTAGATGTAGATGCGCGAAAGTTGGCGCGCGAGCTCGGTTGGTGTGAGCATCTCCAGCTTTTGGAACAACTCATCCTTGGGTTCAGCCTGCCCGTTGTAGCCAGTCACATCGATGAGCAAACCGAAGGGGCGGTGCCACAGCCGGCTGGCGATCTTGAGGTAGCAGAATATCAGCGTGTCGTAGTCGATGGACTCGGCATCAATGTGCCGCAGGATGATGCAGATAATAGACAGTCCATCTTTGCTCTCGCCGCCGTCGTAGATAGCACGTGCTGTGAGGTACGATTCGGTATTGCGAAAGGCGTTGCGGATCATGAAGTCCTGGAAGCGCGAATAGGCAGGCGGGGTGTTGGCCGAGATGTGAGGACGGTTCCATGTCACTGCTAACGGCGGGGGGCCCATGCTCATCTCCATGATGAGGTTGCGCAGCGGATCGATCATAGGAGCCCGTCCTCTTGTGGATTCGGCTGGGGAACGAACCAGATCCCGCCGCTCCTTAGCAGCGAGGCGCTGGCGAATGTGATCCCAATGTTCATACAGAAAGCGGTGCAGAGCAACACATGAGCTGAAGTCAAACGATTCCGTCTGAGCCGAGCTCTCGACTTGAGCGGGCGACACCGAGGAGATTTCGCGCAGGAACGTGGTCACCGTGTAGATGTTATTGGTCAAGAAGTCCATGAGAGGGTACATGTAAGGCTCCTTGGCGCCGAACGGAACGTTGTTGGCCAGCGTCTGGATGATTTTGGCGACGAGGAGCAGGCCGCGGCGCATATGGTTAGACGGAGCAGTCGGGACCAGACCCTCAATCTCCGGAGCCACAATGGCCGGACAAAAGAATCGCAGGAAGATGAAAGCGCCCACGGCTGTGTACTTTGCGTTGGGGAATTTCTTAACAACCGCTTGGGAGATCTGGAGCGGTTAGAGGGGCTGCTGAGTACAGGCAAGAGCAAAAAAAAAAAAAAAAGGAACCTACAATGTAACAGATCTTCCTGAAGGACGCTGGCATGCTGGATGCTGACTCAACAATCTTCTCGATGAAGACCTTGGTCACGATCTCTAGGTGTTCCACATTCTTGAGCCTCTCTTCTGACGAGGGCACACGAACCGGATCGATCTCAAGACTCAAGTCCTTGGAGTTACGCATGAGCTTCTCGATGACGCTCGACAGAGTGGCGCGCAGATAACTGGCACCTTTCCATTTTCCGTAGATGGAAAGCATCTTGGTGGCCACACATGAGCGACGAAGAAGTTCGGACTCGTTGTCTGGGGAGAGTCAGCGATAGATCAGAGAACACGCAGAAAAAAAAAGGAAACTTGAAACTAACATGTGTCGTCAACCTCCTGCTTGATCAACTCCTCCAACAAAACAAAGGTCAAGCCCCTTGGCTCAAAGATGTTGAGCAGCGCGATGGTCAAGTCGTCTACCTCATGGCTAGGGCAGACGGCACACATGGCCTTCACCAAGCTCATGTCCGTCGTCAGGAGCTGCAAAGAAATGATCAATATTAGCCAACAAGACCCTCCTGCGCCTGTCAAGGATTTCATATGTGCCAAAAGATCCCTCGCCGAGAATCCAGGCTAAGCAAAAAAAAAAAAAAAATACAGGAAAAGACAAGAGAAGGGGACTCACCTCCAACAAGCCTTCATACATCTCATTTACTGCCGCATCGCTGAGGTTATTGAACTCTGCGCCCTGCATAAGGATGTTATACAGCACCCGGACGAATGCCGTCCGAATCTCGACATTATCATGGTATCCAATACTAAGAGAGTGCTTCAATCCCATATCGATGTTCGCACTCAACAGGTTCGACAGAATCGTAATCGCCAAGTCAGCCGTCGACGCCTCCAGCCCTTGCCCCCCACCGGCGTTGCCCCCCGTCGGGGCAGGATAATAATGATGGTAATGATCGCGGGCCAGATCCAGGCCCTGGTGGCTGTATCCATAACCACTGTATCCGCCGCCGAGGCCAGCCGTGCTGTTCGCCAGACCGCTGGGGTCCAGGTTCAACAGCGAGAGGAACCGGTTGAAGTACTTGTGGAACATCTGGCTCTTGAGCTCGCTCATATCGGCGTCGGTCAGACCCTCAGCGGGCTGTAGTGGCAGCCGGAACGTTAGCTCGGCAAGTGATTTGAGACAGGCGCGGTCCAAGTCGCGTTGAAGGCGAGCCATCTCGTCGCCAGCCCTGCCTCCGCCGCCAGAAGGGTCAGTGTCCCTCCGAGTAGGCGTTCGTGGCCGTGCTATCCAGCCAAATATGTACTCCAGCAACTGGTTGCGGATACGGACATCATCGCGCAAGTTGAGGTGTTCCTTGCGCTTAGTGACCGCTTCGGTGAGATGGCACACCTTGATCTTGACCCTCAAGCTGCTAACAGTATCTGGGGCGATGCGATCAAGCAGCTTGGCAAAATTGAGGCACAATGCGCCGAGATGCAAGGAAGGCAACGCAGATATAGCGGCCGCAGCGATGTTTGGATCGGCAGCTGTAGCAGGGGTATCAAGACGTTCAACCAGCGCGCGTAGGAGGGATGACGACTGCTCCACGAAGATTATGTCCGTATCAACTCCCTGGCCTTGGCGAGCGCGGACAGCCGGATCAATCGAGGCACTGGAAAACAGCATGTCCAGCTCGGTCTCGAGGGCCTTGAAGAGCGGCTGGAACAGCGACGGAGGCACTTCGGTGGCGAGAACTTCGCGCATGATTTCGCGCACGCGGATGTTGGGGCAAGCAAGGAGCTGAATGCTGCGGCGAAGGTAGCGCGTCAGCAACGGCTCATCATTCGTGCCAGCCGGCAGGCGATCAATCCAACGCAAGCCGCTGATAGCTGGCTCCTCGAGATTAGCAGCCTGCTCAGCGGTACAGATGCCGCCTAGCGAAGCAAGGAATCCGGAATAGTTACGCCATTCGGCCACCATGCGTTCCGTAACGACCGTCTCAAGGCTCTGTGAGACTTCATTTGACAGCGGCAGCCAATTCTTGAACACAATCTCCCAGGCGTCAAGTATGCCGGCACTGGGGTACTGCATGCGACGAAGCAAGGCCCTGGTACGCTTCTGGAAAGCAACCACGCCAGTGAAGCGGAAGTCACGGGTCGAGATTTCGGCCCAAATCTCGCTGTTCCGCAGCAATGTGAGCGACGACTTGGCCGCCTGCGCGGTATCGATGGCGCGACACTCCTCGAGGAAGGTTGCGATGCAAGACGTCACCATTTGGCATGCTTCCATGTCGGCCGAACATAGAGAAACCAAGAACAGCGTCTCTAGCTTCGTGGAGGCGATCGTCCGCTCGGGAATATCTTCTGGTGTTTCTCCCAGCTCTGGAATCGATGACAGAAGCAATAACCTCGCTTCCAGGTAGTCATTGATGGACCGAAGCATCTCGGCCGTACAAGGAAGTCTAGCTCGCTCACAAATCGATAAGAGAATAAGCGACCTAGGCCAGTCAGTCAGCCAATGCCTGAAACAACTTGGAATCTATATCTTTCTTTGTTTTTGTTTTGTTTTGTTTTTTTTTGTTTTGTTGTGTGTGTGTGTGTGTGTGTGTGTGTGTATAGAGAGAACGACATACGTGATCTTCCAGAACTTCGTCTTGAACCCATGCGCGCCCAGCGCCTTCGAGTTCCTCAATGACGACAATACATTTTCTTTTGCAAACAGTTTCTTTGCCACGCTGATGGCCAGCCGTCGAACCGATTCATTTGATGCGATCATGCAGCACACAAGGGCCTCGAAGTTGTCCTCGTAGAACTCCTCGCGACCTGACCGATCGCTGGGAGGGCCCTCGAACAAGGTCATGGGCGAGGCATCCAAGAAATTGAGGATGTTACAGACCATATTGATGGTAGTGGCGCTCTCGACCGCCTTCCGTTGGGCACTTTGGTCCTCAATGTAGCCCTCTTCAAGGAGTTCCCACATAGCCTATTGCTCCCGCTTATTAGAATCCCGCTCTGATATGTATGTACTGCACAAGACACCCAGAAGAGGACCAAACTTACCCTCAGCTGCCCCTGGATAAACGCACTCGCCGCGGTAAACAAAGGCTGGTACTTCTGACTATTCCCCAGCCGCGCAAAGTGCGCACATGCCTGGATCAACGCGATCTTGAACCTTTGAGGTGCCGAGGACCCAAGACACGTCGCCGCCAAACTATCAATCGTGCTCTCGAAATTCAAATGCGACAGCGAAACAAACGCAGCCGTCATCAGATCCTGATCAAATAACTGACCATCCGGCGATCCAGTGCCGGGGCCTGCACGCCGGAACACAGCATCTTTTACCTCATCCTGCACATCCATGGCGTAGCTCATCAGCGCCGAATCGCTCTCCCCATCGAAATGACGCGCCACGCGCAGCAGCAGCACCAGGCAGTAGGCAGCCATCTCGTTGCGGTTGCGCAGGGCCTTGCGCAGGCCGTCCAAGAACTGGACCTTCTTGGCCATGCTCACGCCCTTGGACTCCCGCATGTTGGACGCGACCTCGAAGACGTCGGGCTGCAGGAAGAGCAGCGTCATCTGCATCGGGTAGAGCAGGCTCTTCCGGCGGCCGTTGTCTCCGATGGTCAGCGACATGTCGAACAGGGTGTCGGGGGCGGTCTCGCGGCGCTTGGGGTTGTGCACAGAGTGCAGAGCAACGAACTCGGCCGGGTAGCGGTCCAGCCATCGCGTGATAATCTGGGGCATGACAACCGCAATGGCGTTCTGGAATGACTTCCGGAAGTGCAGGAAGCTGGAGCAGAACTCCTGAATCACCAGGCTCAGCTTTTGGCCGTCTAGCCAAAAGGAGGAAACCAGACGGAGCATGATTAGGGCTGAGCGTTCATCCTCAGGCGTGAGGGGGTTAGACAGAGAGCCAGCACCGGAAGCGGCGTTGTTTCGGGCGGCATAGATGACAGCGCGGAAGTGATCAAAGGCGGCCTGCCAACTCGACGCCGTCACAAACTCGACAATCAGCTTTATGTGAGCTTCAATGGCGGCGGCATGAGTTTGGTGTAGGTTCCTCGTCTCGGGCGGCTCGCTGGAGCTCGTAGAGAGCGGCGTCCGCGTGGGCTCTTCGGGGGCCAGAGGGGTTGTGATGGGTTTGGAGGACGAGTCGTCCAGGATGGCCTTGGCCGGGGGGACGTAGCCCTCGGGGATGGGTTCAAAAAGCACCTTGATAAGCTCGAATATGCGTCTGAGCTGGACGTCCGAGAGCGGCTCCGACGGGATAAATGCGGCACGCTCTGCGGGAGAGAGGGATAATAGACCAGCATCGGCATCGCGATCGGCAGTGGGGGGAGATGCCGGGTCAGTAGGGCTCTTCGACCGGAACCAATTGCTCGCGCAGCAGTCGGCAATGAGCTCGAGAACGTAGAGTTCGGACAAAAACACGTGTGGCGGGTGTTCGAATGGGGGCAGGGTGCGGTAAGGACGAATGAGGTCTTCGAGAAGAGTCAAGAGGGCATCGAGCACGGAAGAGAGGGAGGTTGCGCTCAGTTTGACCAGAGTGGCGCGAGTGATGGAGACGATATCGTCTTGGGAAAGGTCTTGAGACGGCGTGCCGGTTCGGTGAGGGAGCTGCAGGATAGAAGCTCAACAATCAGCGGTGACGCCCAAACGTGGCAAACATGGCATAGAGGGGGACGGAGTGGAAGACTCGAGGGGAACCAAGCGACATGGCGACATACCCTCGTGGTCAGCCTGTCCACTAGGCTGCCTATCAAGCCCGCATCGCCGTTCATTGTGCCGAAACCGTGACGAGAGCAGGACTGTGCCGGCGCCTGCTCATGATTGACCAGACTGTCAAGCGGTCCGGGGAGGGGCGGTCGGTATCTCTGTCGTCTGTGACGAGGTAGTGCCGCTCAATCTATCGTTGATCGTCGGGGAGTCCCGTCCGTGTCTGCCAAAACAAAAAAAAAAAAGAAAAAAAACGACCCAGGGACTGAGTGAATGGAGCTGCCAGATGCTGGAGGGACAAACTTCAGCGCGTCGCCGAGCAGTTTGTCTGCAGTCGTGTTGACGTTGGCAATGGCGATAATGATGTTGGTGATGATAGTTGCTCCGAGGTAACGTTCAGCCGGTCCTGCGGCAGCTCAGTGGTGCTCACTCTATCGCGGCGTCGCCAAGTAGCAATTCTATCCGGAGCTCGCAGGCGATTTGAGCTTCGAGGGTGTTCGGGCAGATGGGACGAGAGCAAAAGATCGGTTTCGAATGGGGCAAGCAACAGGTAAGCTAGTACGGTCCCCGTACTTTGTTCTGTGTGTGGTAGGTCAAGATAGGTTCGGCTGGTGGGGGTCACGGTGCGGTGCGGTGGGTGCTGCGGGTGCGTTCGCTAGGTCGGGGCCCGCTGGGCGCAGGCGGCCAACTAAAGAAGCAGAGGCGTTTGTTTGGGGCTTGCCGGGGCGAATCAGGCCGAGTCGTCAAACACAGCGAACACCGCAACAGCCCTGAGCGAACAGCGGAGCGGACTCGATCTCGTCTCGTCTCGTAAGTTTGCGTAAGCGTAAGGAAGTTGTGCCTGACGACCAACGGGGCTGTTCGCTGCGGTCCTGCGACAACGGCGTGAGCCAAGCAGCGCTGATGCTGATTGGCGTATCAAGAATGGCATGGCACGGGATACGCTGTGCTGTAATCCGTAATCCGTAATCCGTAATCCGTACGTATCGGCATTGCATCCGAAAGGATTCCTCCATACGGATCCCTAACCCCCAGTTACGGGTCAGGATCTGGCAGGGTCCCAAATCAGTGCAGGGTTAGGGTTATGGCACACATATATACACACACCCCCACACACACCCACACACACCACACACAGACACACAGACAGACAGACAGACAGACAGACAGACAGACAGACAGAGAGGGAGAGAGAGAGAGTATATATATATATGTGTGTGTGTGTGTGTGATGGGGAGGGATCAAAAGTTTGTGGGTACACTTAAACCAGCAGCTTCACCCAGCCACAACACCACAAATGATGAACTGATGTCCGCCTTTTACTTGTCCCTCATCATTAGAAGAAACCAGCATCAAAGACCTAACTTAGGCAAAACTTCCATATGATACATCATGCCTGACCACAGTGTTCCGAATAAATAACCCCACAGCAAAGAAACACCAATCCTCTTGAAAATACCAAGATTGTTTCACGTCCTCTAACGATAGCGCCTCTCATCCCTGTAGGGATTATTATCTCTCCTAGCATCCCTCCGATCATCGTAACCCCTTCTGTCATCGTACCTGCCATCTCGTCTCGTGTTGTTCGAGGATGGAGGAAGCGGAGGACCAGCGCGGTGGTGCTGGCCCTGATAGCTCTGCTGGCTCTGATAGCCACTATGATAACCGTGTGTCGAGGGGGGCGGAGGCGCAGGCGCCGGACGGTAGCGGTCCGGAGCACTCTGTTGGTAGCTCGAACTATAGCCCGACCCGTAGCCCGTGCCGTAGCTTTGATTGTAGCCTTGACCGTAGCCTTGACCGTAGCCTTGACCATAGCCACCGGGGGTACCGGCTAGGCGAGCAGGAGGTGGCGGTGGCGGCACGCCAACGCCGAACCCGGGATATCCGGGAGGAGGGGGCTGCCATCCAGGAGGAGGATAGTAGCCGCTGCCGTAACCATTGCCGTAGTTGTTAGCACCACCGTAATTGCCTGGGTAGCTGCCATAATTGCGAGAGGGCAGGGCCGAAGGAGCGTTGGCTGCGTAATTGATCGGCTGTTCACGACGACTGCCATTGCTGTTGTAATTGTTCCGTAAAGGCGCACCACCATAGCTTCTACCAGCATTCTTGGCTTTGCTTCGGATGATCTCGATGTCGCTTCTGCTGAGAGCAGGCGGGGGGAGCTTAACCCCACGGAGAAGCATTGACTTGTGCTGGTGAGCGCTGCTAGGCATGATGTAACGAACACTGTTTCATAGTTAGCAATTTGAGACAAGAGAAAAATTTTTAAAAAAAAAAAGAAAAAGAAAGAAATAAAGAAATAAAGAAATAAAGAAAAAAGAAAAAAATTCGGGGGCCTACATACGTGATAGACCGGTCGTAGTCAACATCCGGCATGGAATTCCTTGCCAAGGGGTAAACCAGAGAGCCGTGAGGGACGTAACCCTCAATTTTCTCAACCTTGCCAGCCAGGCCATCACTACGTCTTGGGTTGAGCTTAAACTTTGGAGCACCCTGCTTTTTGGAGTAGAAGTGGCTCGTAATATCCTCGTACAGACCAGGATGGGCGTCCGAAATCAGCAGAACATCAAAGCCCGGTTCGTTGCGAGCCCTATCTTCCTCGCTAAGCAGATGTTCCCTCTCTTTCATCGCTGCCAAGAGACGCGGCATCTCGATGAAAGGCAGCAAAGCGACACCTTGCCAAGCCATCTTCTTGCCATTCAGATCAATTTCGAATTCTTCCGGATAGAAGTCGATGATAGGACTGTTCGGGTCAGTCATCAAGTCATGGTAGACCTCGGGGATGGCATGGCGTGAGGCGGCAGGCAAGACGCTCATGAGCTGCTCGAAGGGGCGAGAGATGCGGCCTTTCTCGAACTTGATTTCCATCTTGGCAAGGTCGACAAAATCCGCGGCAAACGGGGCGTAGTGGTAAGGGTAGAACCACTCCCAAGAGGGACAGCCCTGATAGTAGTACTGAAGCACCCAGGCCAAGCCTTCGGCATAGGCACGCCCAACCTTGTGCCGGAACTCGATGTCCTTGGGATCCACCTTGAACTTTTGTTCGTAATAGCGGTCAGCATACCCCTCTTCCCAGAGTCGTACGGTATCGACGGGGCCCTCGTTGTCCGAGCCGGTGCCGTCAGTAACGGAGTCGGTGTCGGTGTTCGTGGCGGCGTCTTCTTCGATAAGCTCGGCCTTGCGCTTCCCGAGAGCCGACGCGGGAGCGGTGGTTGTGCCATCGGCCGAAACATCTTTCTCGGCTCCGTTCGCGTTCGTCGCGGCCTTCTGTGCCATCATGCTCTGAATTTGGCTCTTAAGCACGCTAGCAGCACTCTTGTTGGCTAGGTTAGCCTGGTCGACAGAACGACCCTTCATAACCATGTCATGAGTTATGGCTGGCGGAGGAGGATTCGTGATGGGGAACAGGGCCATTCCGGGAAGCGGACCGGCGGCCTCGGGGACGTGTTTTCTCCCCGACTTGCCGGCGTGAGAGTCTGCGGCGCCTTTGGCATGAGCACCTTGTTGGTTCAGCTTGCGCCGCTTGGCGTTGGCCTCGCGACGCTCTTCTACCTCTCTTCGGCGGCGGAAGATAGCATCCTCTTGCTTGGCCAGGCCGTTGAGTATGTACTGAGCGCGCTCAAGGTCAACATGGCCGTCCTTTGTGAGATAACCTCCCATGATGGGCAGGTTGTCTTTCCAGATTGCGGTCAAGGTGTCAATGCCATTCTCTCGAATCTCAAGGGCAGGCAGGTGAGGCAGGAAATCATTGCCGACGAAGAAGCACAGGAAAACCCAGTCATCGATGGCACGCTCCAGGTCCCAGCGGAAGGGGAGGTTGGGAACCTCCAGTTCGGCAGCAAGGTACTCGCGCAGGATGGACACATGCAGCCAAATGAAGGGCTTTAGAGGTTGGGCGTGGTCTTTTTCGTCGAACTCGCCCTGTTTCTGCTTTGCCTCACCTTTGCAGCTGCGCTCGTCGTGGCCCTTCTGGCCACAGAGCTTGCACAAGCGGGCCTTGGCTTCCTGGAAGAACACATCCTCACGAAGGACACGAAAGTGAGGCTCGTGGGTAGCCAGGCCGAGCATGATCAAGTCGGCGTCCAAGCCGTAGATGACGTGGCGGGTATTGGGGTTGTGCTCAGGAGAGCTGCGCTGGGAGCGGATGAACTCCATGATCTTGTGCTCACCCTCGCCAGGCACAGTGGCATCGGAGATGATGACCTTCAGCTTTGCCCAGGCAGGATCAGTGTTGAGCTTGTAGGCACACCAATAGCGCAAACTTGCGGCCAGAATATCCATGAAGGGAGTACCAGGAGTGATGGAGTTGGAGTCAAAGGCCTTCTTGACGACAGTCTCGAGCGGTTCCTCCTGCATGTTACTGCCCTTCTCCTTCCTGAGCATCTTGAGCAGCTGCTTCTTCTCCTCCTCCTTCTCTTTAGCCTCTTGAGCAGCACGGAAACGGCGCGAACGCTGTTGGTTCATCTTGGCACGGGGAGCAACACCGTCGACGGCGATCATGAGGATCTTGCGTGGACGCACCATCTTGACGATGCGGTCGGTATACTTGAAGATCTCGATCATCATCTCCTCCTCATCCTTGGGGGCAGGCTTGTCCTCGGGATGAGAGCAGGGATGGACGATACCATTCATGTCCAAGTATAGGTTGTCGAACTCCTCGCCATTGGGATTCGGACGAGTCGCGTCGACGGGAATCTCGGTGCCATCGGGCATGACAATGGGTCGCTCCTCGACGACGGGCGAGATGATTTTGGGGTATTTGTTGGAGAGCCACCGAAAGGCAGCGGGAATGCCCATTTTTGACGCTTCTTCGGCGACAGCCGGTCGGCGGGTCGTATAGATATAAGAGTAAGGAAGAAGGGGGGAGGGGGTGGGGGGGGGAAGAGGGGTGGGAAAAAAAAAGACGAGAAACTTGGCGCAGGTAGGCAACCTAGGCACTAGAGTAAGGTCGGAGGGAGAAGGGAGAACGGCAAATTAGCCGGGGCAAGATATTGCAAAGGAAGCGGCCTCGATGAGAAATTCGTTCACAGGCGAAGCGCGCTTAACCGTGCACATGGGGCAGGGGTTATGGTCGTCGAAAGTTCAGTCTGCGGACGCGGCACGATGGAGTGTTGAGCTGGAGACGGTGCAGGCAGCATCAACAGTGAAAGCGGCTGCGACAGCGACCACGACGGCCAAAGATTGCGCAACAAAGACAAGATCGAGCCTCGCAGCCTGTTTTGGGTCCAAGTTCCAAATATTCGAGAGTCCGCGTGCGGCACGAAATCGCCGCCGTCGTGGCGGTCCAACAAAAGGCGCTGGTCGACGGCAGGTGAAGGCAAAGTTTAACCTAATCTATCGCGGCGAGTACGGTAGTTAGGTAAGTAGGTAGGTAGGTAGGTAGGTAGGTAGGTAAATAGGTAGGTAGTTTGTAATATCGAGCAGCAAGGCGCGATAAGATTGCGCGTCGAGAAACGAGCAATCGCAGACAGTCTGCAAGTCTTAAGTTTTGGCGGCGAAAGTTGGATGAAAATCCAGATCCACGGAACCTTTTTGGCCAGCAGCAAAGCAGGCTGGGCCAGTGGGTCCAACCTTGGACGTAAGGAGCCCGTAACACGTAAACAGTAATGTTCAGTATAAGAGGACGTTAACCACTATCCAACCACAAGATGTGCGTAAAATTTAGTATGTAATTACAATATTGCCCCGCTTGGCGTTTCCTTGGCTGTCCGGCGGCCTTGCCGCCGCTAGGCTGGGCTGCTGCAGTGGTTGATGCTTCAGCGGAATGGCTTTTCTAGCAATTCACCAGCTGCTGATTGTGGGCAAAGTCACCATCGAGCAGAGGAAAATTTGGGAACACCTGTCCACACTCCCGACAATCCGGATGAAGCACGCCACGCCCACGCTTCATCGTGGCCTGTAAACGACACAGAACAGCAATTGGGAGCCGTGAGGGGCTGTCCCAGACGCTATATATATCTATATATAGGGATATATACGAAATCCGTACTAGCCTGGTGGATGGTTTCTTCTGGCTGGTGCGTGGGTGCATATTGGGCTACTGAATTATCAGCTAAGGGGACCCCAGAAACGACGTCTACGACACGCCTTTCCACGCCGAACCCCCCAAATCCTACTCGGAAAGAAGACCTTCAGACGACCCTTTCTCGCCGTCGTTTGAACACCAATCGCTCTCCCGATGCCTCTCAATGGCAGGTAACCTGTCGCCCCCTCCCCTACCAACCCGCACCACCACTTCGACGACAACGACCTAGACGATTCTAGACCAACTCCGATCTCCGGGCGGCCCACCGACCACCTACCAATCGCCATGTCGATGTTTTCGAGCATCACCACTGCTCCGGCTAAGCAGTCGGTAAGCGAGACTATTCCCATTCTTAGCAACCGACTTGCCACGGCAACCCTTCTCGAGGACCGTCGCGCCGCCATCCTGGGTCTTCGCAGCTTCGCCAAGCAGTATCCGGCCTCTGTGGCGTCGACCGCGTTGCGCAGCTTGATCAGCAGCCTGAGTCGCGATGGCGAGGATGTTGACACTGTCAAGGTCGTCCTGGAGACCCTGCTGATGCTCTTCACCCCAGATCCATCCAGTCCCGAGGCCTCGGAGGAGATCGCGCTTTGGGTTGCCGACGAGTTCACCCAGCGCCATGAGAACATTTCCATGTTGCTGGGCTTTCTTGCCCCAGATCGCACCGACTTCTACTCGCGCCTGTACTCTCTGCAGCTGTTGGCTGCCATCCTCGAGGCTCGCACCGAGCGCACCGAGGAGTGCATCATCAGCACCAACGAGGGCATCCCCCGCATAGTTGCCGCCCTCGAGGACCCCCGCGAGGCTATCCGCGACGAGGCCGTTGGCCTGTTGACAGATTTGACGCCAACATCTACCGTGATCCAGAACCTGGTGACGCTCGAGAAGGGCTTTACCCCGATCTTCGCGATCATTACCCGGGAAGGTGGCCTGGCCGGTGGAGCGCGAGTTGTCGAGGACTGCTTGGTCCTTCTGGGCAACCTGTTGCGGATGAATCCGCAGAATCAGACCATGTTTCGCGACATGGGCTTCGTCTCAGAGGTTGCGCGTCTGCTTCGGGAGGCCTACGCGGCGAGTGAAGAGGGTCAGCCGATCGCCGAATGGGTCGAGGTACAGCGGAACAGGAACGTGTTTGCTCTCCTGGCCGTCCTTCGTTTGTTCCTTGTACCCGGCGCTGCGGGGACCCCGTTGAATCAGGAGGCATTCCTGGGCGATCTTGGTGCGCCTAGCGGTCGCGGGCGTGGCGGGAAAAGCGTCGGCTCAGTGCTCGACAGTACCCTCCAGATCGGCTTCTCCCGAGTGGCCGATATGCCGATCAGGGCCGAAGCGCTGATGGCCTGCGCGGACATGATCAGGGGCAATGCCAAGTTGCAGGAACGGTTCGCTGCCTTGCAGGTGACATCGCCGCTCGACTTCCCCCCAGAAGCTGGAGATGCAAGGGTGAACGGAGCGATACCCAAGGTTTATGTAATCGACGGCTTGCTCGACATGGTCTTGGGCGTGTCCTCTCTGCAAGCCTTCGACCTGCGCATGGCAGCCTGTGCCTGCCTGAAGGCGTACTTTTACAAGCACGCCGAGATTCGTATGCACTTCCTCGACCACGCGGTCCGCACGCATAAGATGAGAGCAGACGATCTGACCAACGCGCTCTCCATCCTGCTGCAACCCGGGCTGGAATCGGTCGTGGATCCGTACAGGATCTGGTTTGCTGCAGTACTTATCCTGCACCTGTTGCATGAGAACCCCGAGACCAAAGCGTTGGCTATGAGCATCACGGAGGGAGATGAAGAAAATGGCGAGGAGGTCGTGACAAGCATTCAGACTATTGCTGCCCACCTTCTGAGCAGCGTGTCCAAAAACCTGGACCCGCGCATCAGCATTGCCTACCTGATGCTGCTGCTTTGCTGGCTATTTGAGGATTTGGACGCCGTAAATGACTTCCTCGGCGAGGCCACGAATCTGCAGGGCCTTATCCAAGCTGCTATTGAGAATCCCAACGGTGATGTGGTAGTCCAGGGACTTAGCGCTATGTTGGCTGGCGTAGTCTACGAGTTCTCAACCAAGGATTCGCCCGTGCCACGGGCCACGGTCCGAGAGATGATCATGTCACGCATGGGCCGTGATCGTTACGTTGATAAGATGTCTCGATTGAGGTCGCATCCTTTGATGCGCGAGTTTGAGGTTCTCCCACAAAAACTCGAGGATAATGGGATAGACCTCAAACCCCCCGAGGTTTTCTTTGATGAGACCTTCGTTGAGTTCTTCAAGGACAACTACAGCCGCATTCTTCGAGCCATCGACCGGGACCCAGATGCTGAGACGTCTGTCATAATCAACGGCGTTCAAAAAGGAGTCTCTCGCCAGCTCGTCGACGATCTACGCGCCGAGCTATCCGAGAAGTCCCAAGCTTTGCAAGACGCCGAGTCCAAGCTTTCTTCGCTCACCGAACAGCTCGCCCAGGAACAAAAATCCCATCAGCATGCTGTTCAAAACGCCCAAGACGAGCTTGCGCGTGCGGCCGACGCGGCTAATGCCCTCCGTGCCCAGCTTGCGGCGCGCGACGCGCAGCTGCAGTCAGCTTCGGATCAAACAGCCACTCTCACCCGACAGCTTGCTGCACTCCAACAGGAATACCAACGTGCCCAGGCCGAGATTGTCCGGCTGAAAGCCGCTGCTGATGCTCAACAGCGCGCTCATGCCGCGGAACTCAAGTCAGTCACGGAGAATCTCCAGCGATCGCACGATAAGCAGCTCGCGCAGCTCAAGACGGAACATAAGTCAAGAGAGGACGAGCTGACCCGCGAAATGGCCCAGCTCAAGATAGAACATAAATCGAGACAGGAGGAGCTCACCCGTGCAATGGAAGCGGTCAAGAAGGCTGTCGAACAGGAATCTGAGAGGGCGAAGCGCAGATGGGAAGCCGAGAGTGCTGATCTGCGCGCGACGATCAGCCGGTTGGAGGTGGAGGTTATGAAAGTAGGGAAGGAAAGACAAAGGGGGGATGAGAGGATCAAGGAGCTAGAACAGGCCGTTCAAGATGCTGAGAGCAGATTTGATGATGCGGAGAAGAAGCTGAAGAAGAAGACAGAGGAGGTGAAGAGGTTAGAGGGAGTCGAGGCCAGATTGAAGGAGCTTGAAGCGAAGCTAAAGGAGGCAGATGAGGAGCGAGGACGCTTAGAAGCAGAGGTAGAGAGGAGAAAGAAAGAGAAGGAAGAGAAGGAAAAGGAAAAGAAGGAGGTGCAGGGTGAATTAGATGATCTATTAATGGTATTTGGGGATTTGGAGGAGAAGGTTACCAAGTATAAGGTGAGTCTTGCTGGCCTAAGGCCGCAAATTCATTGCACTAGTGCTGACGGGTATGACAGGAACGGCTCAAGGCTCTTGGCCAAGAGGTATCTGACGGGGAGGAGGAAGGAGAGGAAGAAGAGGATGAGGATGAGGATCAAGACGACGAAGAAAGCAGTAACGAGAAGAAATGAACAGCGCGGGACGTATTCCTGAAGGCTTCCACGTCATTTCTTGGCAATTCAAATCTTTGTTCGTGGATAACATGCGCTATGACTGGCAGGCACCTATGTCCGAGGTTTGTTTGGATGACCGAACAAACTGCATACCTGCTGCATGGCAAGGAAAAGTGTTGTCAATGAACTCGCGATGTCTGGAGACGGGGTTGGCTGTATGAATTACATCTGCTTCATCGCAGTATTGCAGCCCTCATTGCTCCGTCCACTCGCACGGAACGGGGCCCTTGGGCTCTTTTAAGGCATTACCTCCAAGAATTGAATGTAGACTCCAAACCACATTCAGCCGAGATGATGCATGCTGTGATCCAAGTGAGCTTCCTTCATACAGTCCTTGAGCAACTCTGGAGTTATACCGAATTCTTGGGAGTGAGAAGGAGAAATAGCATGACTGCAGGGTTGTCTACCTAAGTTGCAGCGCGCTACCGAAGCTACCTTGAAACGGCTTTTTGCTGCAAGCAGCCATCAATCCTCCCATGCTGTCGCACTCCGAGATTTTACAACTTTTATCCACACCTCCTTAGGTAAATCCACCAAAACCAAATAAAAAAAAAAAACTTTAGACGAAAAACTCGGACAAGCTACTCAGACGACGTCACTCGTCTGTTTCCTTTCATCCCTCCTCCGGTAATTGAATGCACTTGGTCCTTTGCCGGGGTACTCCTGCCTGAGGACAAAAGAAAAGAGTGTCTGTCGGCTTTCATCTGCCCCGTTCATCGCTTGGTTTTCAGATTTGTGCTCATCCTCTTCACACTCAATCAGCCTGTGTGTGCATCCTACGTTGTGTGTGTCAAGTCATTAAGACCCTCTCATTTGACTGAAATTTCATTTTCCTCCGTAAACAAATTTTTTTTCCTCAACTCTGCGCACAAGCACAACTAAAAATCGAGACGACAACAATCGTAAAAATGGCCGAAGCATACCCTGTTCCCTCCGATGTCGACTCGGTTTCCTCTTCTGACAATGAGGAATGCTGGCTTGAGGCTGCGGGAGCTCCTCGCCCGGACAAAACAGCCGAGGACCACAAGGCTGAGGAGAAAGGCAAAGATCGCCTTGATACGGGAAACTATTCTGACTGGAGTAGTGAGGAAGGTGATGATGAGGATGATGAAGAACAAGTTCAGATCAAGTCCTTTTTCGACGACGCTACCTACTCCAATGTTAAGGACATGGTCTCAGCTATGAAATCCCAGTTCGGTTTTGACTTTCTGGCGGTGCGCGACCGCCTAGGACTCGACTTTTATGGATGTGTCAGGCTGATCAACTTTGGTGTGTAACCTTTTTCTTTTCTCGTTAAAGATTTATGCTGACGATTCCACAGTTCGTCGGCACGTCCGGGATGGCGGCAACAATACCAATATCCCTGATCCCATCACGGCGGAACACTTGGCTGACGACCGGCTGCTGATTCCTGTTTTGGAAAACGATGAGCTCATCTTCTACCTGGATGACTTGCCTGCTTCCCCGAAGCCGGCAAAGAAGGCGGCCACAGCTACCCAGGCCGACGTTGATGAGCTTCTGCGCAAAAACTCTGAGCTACAGGATCAGTTGGACCGTCTGGCCCAGCAGTTCAACAACTATCGGTTGGCGGTAGAGCATACGCTGGACAAGCGTTGGGGCTTGGACGGGGAAGGGAACGAGGATGAGAAGACGTCGTCATTATTTATGTCGGCGGCTTCGGCGCCCTCTCCAGGGACAAGCACCGCTACTACTGTCGGGCCTGCTCAGAGGACCCCTGATACAGCCGAGAATGGCTCTGGAAGTGAACAAGACGATTCGGCGTATTACTTTGAGTCTTACGCACACAACGGCAAGTCTTACTCCGAACAATATTTTCGGTTCGATTTGGAAGGCTAACCTTTCCACAAGACATCCATGAAACCATGCTTAAAGACACCATCCGCACCTGCGCCTACCGCGACTTCATCTACGCCAACAAGAACCTCTTCCGCGGCAAGACCGTCCTCGACATCGGCTGCGGCACGGGCATTCTCTCGCTCTTCTGTGCCCGCGCGGGTGCCGCACGCGTCATAGCCGTCGACAACGCAGCGCCCATCCTCGAAAAGTCTCGCCTGAACGTCTTTCATAACAACCTCTCCGACGTGATCACCTGCATCAGCGGCCGCATCGAAGACGTCACGCTGCCCGTCGACAAGGTAGACATCATCGTCTCGGAATGGATGGGCTACTGCCTGCTCTACGAGGCCATGCTCCCCTCCGTGCTGTACGCCCGCGACCGGTATCTCAAGCCCGGCGGTCTGCTGGTGCCTAGCCATGCTAGCATGTGGCTCGCTCCCGTGGCTGATGCGGACTACGTCATGGATAACATCGACTTCTGGCGTGATGTGTACGGATTTGATATGTCGAAAGCCATGCAGGCGGATATCTACCGCGATGGGAGGGTGGTCACCATGCCCCCGTCGTCCGTTTGCGGCAAACCTTACGCTTTCCGGATGCTGGACCTGCATACTGCGAAGACGGAGGATTTGGCGTTCGAGGATAAGTGGATGAGTGTGCTTCACGATGCCAGTGAGGCAGCAGGGGAGCGTCTCGATGGGTTCCTGGTGTGGTTTGACATCTTCTTTGGCGAAAGCCCGACCGAGAAGATCGATGCAGCCACGACTGCGGCGGAGTGGGTAAAACACGGCAGGGAGAGAGTGGCTTTCACCACAGGACCGTTTGGAGGCGAGACACACTGGCGCCAGGGATTGTTCCTGATTGACCAGGAGAAGGCCGAGGAAATTGAGGTCGAGAAGGGCAAGAAGCTTGAGGGAACCATTGAGTACGCCGTTGCAGCAGGCCATGCCCGTGGCCTTGACATCAGGGTTACATGGAAGCATGATTCTGGCAAGATCCAGAGTCAAACTTGGCGATTGCATTAGCCCGGGATGATTAAGATAATTCTTATCAACTCCGGACAGTGTTTACATAGTTTGTGGGAAAATAAAGTCTCACACGAACAGTTCCAAGACCATCTTAAAGGGAAAAAAAAAAAAAAAAAAAAAAAACAAAAACCCTCACCAACAGTGATATGCGCATGCACTCTTCTCTATGCCAGCCCACGCGAGACCAGATCTATGTGTGAGGAACATGAGCGCTCTGCATCAATAAATTGACAATGCTCAAGAAACCTTCGCCGAGAATGAATCCCTAGGAAGCTATTAGCACGCTCTCTTCAACACCACATTCACTACACCCGCCTCGAGCAGAAACGTACCGATGCTAAAACAATCAGTGGAGTTTCCTGCCACCCAGCAACCCTCCGCCACCACCATCCAAAGAGCCCGCCAATCGCACGCGCCAGCGTAAACGACGGCACGTTGTACATGCCCACGGCAACGGCAATGCCACTAGGGATCAGCACCCTCCAGGGCTTGTTTACAGTCCGGATACGCAGGATCGTGGTAATGGTGAACAGGATACCGGCGCCGATGGCCCACTCCCGAGCCATGGGCGGTAGGCCCTTGCCGGTGACCAAGCGGGCGGTGAATATCCAGACATAGCTCGTTGGTACTTGGAATAGATCCCCAGGGACTTCGTACACTCTGCTGAACGTTAGCTTGGGCGCGGAGTCTCAAAAGCAAGAGGTGTTCTCACGATGTGTAGAGCACATAGATAAAAGCGCTGACAATGGCGCCAACCGTGGCACCAATGACTTGCCCCCAGAACTGAGCATTCGGAGCAGCCCCAAGGAGATGACCCGTCTTGAGATCCTGCATCATGTCCCCTGCTTGGAGAGCACCCTACGCTTGGTCAGCCCAGGTCCATCATCTTATCTGTCAACAGGGTTCACATACAGCTTCAGACACAGCACCAGCGACCAGATTGATCAATACCGAAGACTTATTCGACTGGGGAACAATGAGAGCGAAAAATAACTGAGCCAACTTGCTGATACCCGAAACGGGATTCAAATCGGTCTCTCCGAGCGCTCGTACGCCCATGATACTCAAGACGAGGGCCATAAGAACGGCTGTGACGGTGGCATACAACGGCACCAGGTCGCCGAAAACGATATGGATGCAAGCAATACAGAACAGGATCGACAGGATTAGTCCCACGACGACAGTGCGGTCACTTATCTGCTGGTCCGGAGGGGCATCATCTGCCTCTGTCCCTGCCTCGGACTCATACGCATCGCTATCCTGAGCATCAGCATTCAGAGATGTGTAGCCAGCATGCGACCGCCAACCGAGAAGCTTCTTAATTCGCTGCGGAGCGGCCTCTCTGATATCGCTTGGTAGAGCCTTAGCCACTGATCTTACGGCCAAGTAAGCCAGGCTCACAACAGAATCAGCCAGCATTATGGCCAGCGAGGTCCACACGATCCAGCCCTTGCTGCCGTTTTCCCAGTCATCGACACGGCCAGGTGCCCATCCCCGGCCTTTAGCTAGGGGCGACAGCACCGCCCAACCCACAGTGGCACCCAACAACATGTGCAAGGTTGTGGCTGGCCCCATGATGATGCCCTGACCTACGTACGCCAGGCTTGGGTTAAGGGTCCAAAGCCAAGTGCTAGCGGCAACGGAGCCAAAGATCGGGATGTTGCGCAGTAGAGGGAAGAAGTATGTGGCGAATGTGAACAGGCCCGAGACGAAGAAGCAGAGCAGTAGCAGCTGGACATTACGACGCCAGGACTCGGCATGGAGCGGCGACACGTCCTCGTCGATGGTGCTCTCATCATCATTCTCATCAGACCTAGGAGGGGCAGCAAGACTAGCAAAGTCGGCAGCCACAACGGACGAGGCCGATTTGCCATCTCGTGTGTCGGGATCGCCAGTCTTGCCATGCAGCACGCTAATCAGCACAGCAGTGCTGAATCCGCTAGGGAACTTGAGCTTCTCCCTGATGATGACCTGCTTGCGCAAGGGCACGGCAAACACCACGCCGAAGTAGCACAGTCCCAATCCCCAAAGCACCAGCTTCCCCGGCGACAGCACTACCGGGCCCATCTCGTCCTCCCTCAGCAGGTACCTCATCGCTGGCAAGACACCCACAAACCCACACCCCAAAGGCATGATGGCCATGCTACCGGCGACCGTCTGCACCAACACGTTCTCGACGGGCGAGAAGGGTAATGGTGAATGACGGAAGAGCAGTTGGAAAATGCCAAAGCCCATCAAGCTCGCGGGCATGCTCATAATGCTGACCCAGCCGGTCTGAAGGCCGAAGTAGGTGTTGGAAAAGCAAATGACTAGGCCAACGGCCAGACCGACGAAGACCGCGCGCCAGGTGAAGGATTGGCCTGGGACATGAGAATACTTGGGAACATGGTTGGAGTTGGGAGAGCGCTCGATCGGCTCTATTGACTCGGTTGATAGCCTTGGCTGTGCTAGAGGTAGTGAAGGAACCGGAGGCGCTTCTGGGGCCGGAGCCGGAGCTGGAATTGGTTTAGGTGCTGATAGTTGTGGTTGAGCCGGGTTAGGTTTGGACCATGAAGCTGTCGGTTGTTGAACTTGTTGTGGGCGCGAGCTGCTCAACTGTTGCTGCCTGCTCTCACGGCGCTGTTTCTTCTTGTCACGCTCGTGAACCTCGAACTCCCAATCTGATGACGATGATGATGAGAACAAGGAAGACACAGAGTCTCTATCGGAAAATGCCATCGTTCTTTTACGTATCCTGGGAGGAGTCTTGACACCAGGCACTTGAGAGAACTAACAGCTGAATCTGAATGTGCAGGTGATGGCTGGCTGCATGGATGGGCGCTGTGGTGATGTGTGAATCGTGATAGCGTCAAGCATTGCCGGCTTTTGACAAGACGAAGTGACGATAAGCAACAGGAAGGCAAGTACCTATGCAATAATTGCTAACAAGTAAAAGTGAAAGTATGCTTGAGCTCGAAATTGATGAAAGAAATGCCGGAGGTTGGAGGTTGGCCTGGAGCTTTGGTTGGCGCAACCACTGCCACGAAGCACGACAGAGAGAGAGAGAGAGAGAGGGGGGGAGGGTGCAGGGGCAAGGCCACCCACTGCAGCAAAGGACTCGTTCTAATTGGGTGCTTAATGTGTGACGTGACCCACTGATGATGATGAGTTAACAAACCAAACTCCCAATTATTGGGATAGACACATCACACACTCTTCACTTAAACGGCTATAAATCTCTTTAAACGACTGGTATCGTAACACTTTCCATCTCACCCCTATTTCAGCATTACCAAGTTCTAGTATTGACTTTCCTGTTCTTACAAATAGTCCATATGTATCATGAGGGTAGTCTTTTGTTCGCGGCCCTTATTATCTGCAAACATCTCTACCCTCGTTGCTCAAGGTAGGTACCTATGTAGGGAGAGAGAGGTATTTACAATACAGTGGTGATGGAAGCAATACACTAGACTATGACACCTCTCGTACCCCGAATTCCCATTCCTATGAGCTTAAAAACCAAAGCTGTCCAACAAAGAATTGGCATCTGGCTCCTCAAACATCGTCGGCACCGGCCTCTCCTTCTTCTCCCCTCCACCGGTTTTCATTTCCCCCGGCATCGACACCTGCGTCGGCGATGACACCGACAGCCCGGCTAGAGCAGATACCGGCAGGTCAGCAACCACAAGTGACCCTCTCCGTTTGAGCAGCCGCATCGGGTCAATCTCCATCTCCCCTCCCAACGCTAACGACGCCCCAGCAGCTCCCGCCATCCCCGTCGGCCGGAAGAACTCCCAATTCCTCACGAGATCCAACCCAAGCAGGTCACACCCCATGCGATCATACAACCGGGCATTGTGCAGCACAAACTCCCACTCAGCCTTGGGAGTGACCTTGGTTGCCCCGCGCAGCGTCTGCAACGTCTGCTGGCGCAGCTGCCGGTAGAGAATGACCAGCGCAGGATCGTCGGTCAGGAAAAGTTTCGACTTGAGATCCGGCTCCCCGCCGGGGGTCTCAACTAGCGTATAGACGGGCGTGACGAGTGCGCGTACGGCCATGTCGCGCCGATGCAGCATCCAGAAAGCCCACGATGCCAGCCAGCGGTTGCCCTGTTGCGCAGCGATCGAGAGGACCTCGTTTTGGAGTAGCTTGCGGAGCACGGGGCCGTTGTCCCCTTCATACACGCGCGCAATGGCAATGGCCAGCTGCAGGTCATGTAGCTGGTTAAGACAGACATTGACTGCGTCTTGGAGGTGGTCGGCAAGGAGGAAGAAGGCAGCCGCATACTCGAACCGTCGCTTACCCATTAATGCGTAGGCGTTCTTGAGAGCAGCCGTGCGCCACTTCGGGTCGTCGAAGTTGTTGGCCAGGAAGCGCAACGTGACGGCTTGCTCCTTGTGCCAGCTCGCCATGCGCCACAGACCCTGAAGAACTGTCTTCTTCTTGAGCGCGAGGTAGAAGAGACTGCAGTCGATAGGGTTCCGTGGGTCGTTCTTCGTGAACTCGTTGCGCGCTATTACCTCGAATTGCGCTTTCTGCTCTTTCTTTCAGTGTTCCTGTCGTCTTAAGAGGAAAGGGGGAACTACAGGGGGACACATACCACAGCATTGTTGTCTGCCAACCACATAAACATGCCACTCTCCCGCGCCTGCTCCCAGAGCAGTCGTCCATGGTTCTGTCTCGACACAAAGTCCACCAAGATATCCTGGCTCGTCGAGTGAAATGCCCAGTTAATCTCTCTCCAGCCGAACTGTATCTCGCTTGTCCTCCCCTTTCTCAGGGCGTGCTGCCGGAAAAACAGCATGAACCGTGCGCCATTCTCATCCAGCGACCGTCTTTGCTTCTCAACCATGCCGACGCATTCGATAATATCAACCAACTGAATCTGCTCATGTCCCGAGAGCTGAGAGAGGTCCACCCTTGTCAGCCGCTCGTTGATTTCAGCAGCCACCTCCTCCGAGAAGGGCTCATCCCCTTCGTCATACGACATCCTCCTTCCAAGATAATCCCCTGGGTCGTGTGATGTCTTGGCTGCGTGACCAACCTCGTAGAAGTCTTCCAGATCTAATCCCAGATAGTCATCCAAGACGTCGCCCTCGACCCAAAACTTCAGCGCCTTGTGCAGGGCGATCAAGATCTTATGGACCAGCACAATCTTTCCAGCCAGGATGCACTGGCTCAGGAACTGCGGATGGAACACGGGCAGCGGGCCGTTCAACCTCTGTACAGCGTCGAAGAGATCCCATTCCCTGGCCCCTTTGCTTCCTTTTCTGCTTCTCTTCTTCACGGTCGGCGGAGGAAGCCGCAGGCTCGCTACCAATGAGCTGGATGCGTCGAAGGCACGATCCATGACGAACAGCTGATTCCCAGCACCAACCACGAGATGCCCGTCGCCCAGCCAGACCGAATCGCCAATAGGATGCGGCGTCAGCTCTCGGAAGGATATCTCCCGGATAGCAGCCCAAGCAGGGCCATGATTGAGATAGTCAAAACGCATTTGCGATAGCAACAAGACCCGGTGCGCAAACCCAACTGCGAGGATGGACTGCATATCCGGAGTAGAAGTCCAATCCAGGTCCTTGATCTCTCCGCCTCCGTTCTGCGAGAAGTCCCTCTCGAATTCCAATCTTGCGCCACGAATATCCCAGATAGTTAACATCGATCGAGAGGAGTCTACCAACGCGGCCTTCTTGCGCATGCTTCCGCTAACCAGTGCAGGGTTGACTAACCCCGTTTCCATGGAGGACGTCGACAGCCACTCGACCTTGTTCGCTTCTGGATGATCGTGCCCGTTGACGCGTGCTGTCCAGAACTCAACCCGTCCCGAATGTGTGTATGAGATAGCCACATCGCGCGCAAAAACATCCAGAAACCCCGACACAATCGGGGCCTGTCCTGCCGGATCGACAGGCAGTAGGTAGGCCAGATCGCCGGCGTCATCAAGTGTGAAGCGGAAGAATTCGGCAACGGATCCCTGTCGACCTGCTTCAAGTCCGTTGGTTGCAGCAGCAGCAGCCGCCTCCTCTGGTGAACGAGACCCCTCGCTTCCTTTTGTATAGAATGGCAGCTTGACCTCCCATACTACGCCCTTCTTCTCCGATGTAATTGTAGCAAGATGAGCCGTCGTGTAGTCCTCGACCTTGTGGCGAGGCAGTATCAAAAGGCAGAGTGGTTTCCCAGGGACATCATACTCACACTGCGACAACATGCGTGGCTCCGGCTGTCGACAATCCCACAGCTGGATAGTATCGTGAAGCAGGAAGACAACAAACCGACCTTTCCGTAGCACACACATCCTATGGATATGCCCCTGCTTTGGGATGACCACTTGCCTGGCCAGTCCCGTCCGCTCGGCATCCAGCTCATGCTTCCAGATGGTCGGCTGGCCTTCCTCTGTGCGTGAGATGATGGCTCTCCCGCTGAAATTGCGGACAATCTTGCGGATTGGCGTCGAATGTCCCGTCCACACCGCTACCTGCCTCAATCGGCGCCTTTTGGGATCGGGGTCGAACAGTGCAGCAGCATTGTTGGCGCGATATACCTCAACTCGGCCGTCGAAAAAATGCAACAGGATGTGTAGATATCCTCCGGAGTTGCAGTAGCTGTAAGCTCGGACATGTGGCACCTCAACCTCCTTACCGTAGCTGCTCAGAAAGTCCAGCTCGGGCGACGTGACATGCGCAATGTTAAAAACGTTTCCCTTGGGCGTCTTGCAGCCAATATCCTGCAGCGCCCACGCTGACATCCTTCCGCGGCCATCAAGGACGACACATACTTCGGGGCTCTTGTTTGCCACGGCAATCAGATGCTCCAGCGCAGCAAGATGCTCTTCGTCCTCTACACCATCCTGTACTGCCTTCTCCGTCGCGGCAGCCAGGTCTCTCCCATCCATGACCCATGCCCAGCGCAGGCTCTTCTCGGCCGCCAATCCACGACCCTGAATCGCAGCGCGCAGATCGATCTCCCCCCACAGCACTAGATGTCTCTGACCATGGCTATCAGACCCGGCCCACACACGCATAATACCATCGGCACAAAAGGTATACAGAGCATTGTCAATGGTTTGGTCAACGTGCCGTGGGCGCCGCCACTGGATAGCGACAATGGGCGCTGGGTGCGGGAGATATGCGAAGTCGAAACGGGCACCCCCGTCAGACCCACCATAGCTAAGACGGCGCCACACCTTGACCAACCGGTCGTAGACACCGACCGAGGCGATGTAAGCCGAGTCGTACGACAGGTCAGCTAGATGGACGGGGTTGGCAAGCGGCTTGCGCCAGGTGCACTCGGGGATGTCTGAGGAGGAGGAGGAAGAGGAGGGGATCTGGTAGAGCTCGAGACTGGAGTGCGCAACAAGCAGCTCTTGGGATGCGCCCCATGAGAGGGCCATGGCTGGGAGGTCATTGTCGTTGCTGTCACCCGCATTGTGGCGAACTACTTCCCACGTCGTTTGCAGTGCCCAACGCAGGCCAATATGCTCGTCACGAGGGTTCGTAATGGGACGGTATACGCGCACGCTGCGAGCGGTACACACGGCAACCTTTCCAGAGACCTCGTCCACGGCAACAGCTTGTAATGAGTCCGCGTCGTCGTCATAAATGGTCTGCAGCAGGGCAGTTGGGGTGTCGGGGTCGCCCAGGATAACAAGGGCGTTTCCGGTAATGTAGGCCTGGAAACTTATGCGTCAGCGGATTGCCCATGACAATCACAACTCCTGAACTAAGGCGGACGCACGGTGATGCGCCTGGACTCCCAGCAGCCTGTAGCCAGGGCCTGGAGGCGCGGCTCGGGCTTGCCGGGCAGGACAGCTCTCATACTGCTCTATCGGTATGGTGCGTCGTAAGCTGACATTTCGGTTCACGCTGTCATCGATTGCTGCATTTGAGTGCGCAGGAAGGTGCGCGCACAAGTGCGGTAGTTGTGGCGGTGGTGAAAAGGTTTGGTGACGCGAAGACGATACGCTCGATGTTTGTTCAAGGTTGGGGACGACAAGGGTGATGATGATACCCCAGCGCCGTGTTGGGTCCGATGCTCCTGAGGTCGTCTACTGTATGTATGTACGACTGTTGTGTCTCGTATTCTCCTGGACATGCGACCTCGAGCTCCAACAAGCTTCGGCTCGGCGCATTCAACCACCGATCCGCCCCTGCATCTCTCTCCCGGCCTTGGAGACTTGGAACTTGAATGGTACAGGAACCCTGTTGCGCATGCTCATGCAGTACTGTTTTCTGCCCCTCCTATGACGTGATAGGTTGGATCCGGTTGGATGGCACCCTCAGTCCCCGAATCATTGCGACAACCCGTACGGATTATGGATAAGTACTAGATTGTAATGAACAGTAATGCATTGTAAGGCGGACCGGCAATATAATTTTGCGGTAATTGATCCGTAACGTACAGAAAACTGTGTCTTCGACATCATTACCTATCTGTTTATGATTGGATGATCCTGCGTTGAATAGGTAAGATAACTACTCAGCGCAGCACACAATATGAAGTAACGGTCGCGAGAGTTCTCGCTGAAAGCATCATTTCCAGAGTATTGACTCTACCTGCCAAAAAAAAAATAAAACTACCTAGCACTACATTTTGTCCCGTCCACCATAGAGAGGTACCTAAAACACCCAACCACCATAACAAAGACCAATCATCAAAGCAACCCGGAGAATGAAGCAGCAAGACACATAAATCGTGACCTCTCCTCAATCCTACCTCCCTTTCTTGTTAATCCTCCCTCCAAAGAGCACACTCGGGCCCCTCTTCTTCTCAACACCCAGGCCTCTTCGTCCAACCTTGGCCGCAATTCCCCCCTTGACCGGCTTGGCCGCCTTGCCGGCCTTCTTACCTTTTCTGCTGTCGCGGAGCGCCTTCGCCGCTGCGCCCTCGTCCACTTCCATGTCATTGTCACTCTCATCACTATCGTCATCATTCTGTCCCTTCCTGTGCCTATCCCACTTGAGCTTGCCACGCTGGCCACGGCGAGCCCCTGTCTTGAGCGCCTGGACATAGGCGTTGACACCGCTCTCCTCGTTGTCAAGATCCATGGCACCGTCATCATTCTTCTCTTCAATGTCCGAATCCTCGCCGATGATGAGCTTGCCGTCGGCGTTAATCTTGGGCTTAGACTTCTTGTCGTCCTTTTTCTTCGGCTTGATCGGCTTGGTGGTTGAGATGTTGGCCAACGCATTGCGGTCGAGAAGATCCAATGGCTCGTCCTGGTCCTCCAGAATGTACGTGCCACCGGTCTCCCTCTTCTTCTTCTGCCGCCGACCTGTCATTTCGATGTCCGAATCATCCGAATCTGAAGCCTCCGACTCCGAATCACTACTATTCAGAGCCTGGTCATACTCATTGTCGAACCGGCTCTTGCGCTTGCCTGCAACCTCCGCATCCGACCCATCGCCAGCGCCGTTGCGAGCCGCTTCCTTCTTCCTCTTAGCCCGCTCCTTTGTCTTGCGAATGTTGGTGATGAGCTTGCGGTCGGCTTCAGGGGTGTGTTTTTGGACAGTCTCAACCCCGAACCGGCGGATCATCCGCTCAAAGATATGCTTGACCTTCGCCCGGAAATGACCCTTATGCTCGTGGCTCCACACCAGCACGTTAGGGATCAATGTAGGCAGCCTCGGCAACATCAGGTCCGTTGGCAGGCTGATGATGCACACCTTGACGAAGCCAAGGACGCTTTTCACAATCTCGCGATTGTTGGAGGTTAGGAAGAGATCCATGGTTTGCACCAGATCTGTCAAGGTCTCCTTGTTTAGAGCCTCACGAAACTCGTAAAGCACGCGGGTGATTGCTAAGATCGTGGCTGATATCATGTGTGGTGTGCTGCCAGCCAGGCCCGCGCTGACCATTGTCATGTACTCCTCGAGCGATGCCGTAGCCTTCGGGGCATCCTTTGGCATATGAGGAACCTTGCTGTTATCGATTAGGCTCCCATTGGCCTCCACCATCTTGTGGCCCATGAGGACAAGCAGGTCGAAGGCCGTTGTCCGAGCCTTCTCGTTGTGCTCCTTGCAACCAATCACAACCTCGGAGAGTATTGACGGGATGAAGTGTAGAGACGTGTTGGGTATGATGGGGATCAAGGCCGCAATAGCAGCCAGTCGCTCTCTCCTGGCAGGAGACGAGACCTTGTCGGCAGCCGAGAGCAAGAGTTGCTGGACTTCCTCATGGCGCTGCTCGAGGGCTGCCCTACCGACCTCGCTCTCCGCTAGCCGCGGAATAAGCTTATAGGCCTTCTTCTGAATCTGTGGGTCGTCGTCTTTGAACACGACCAGAGCTGCGATCTTGAACAAGGCCTCAAAACTCTCCCTCGGCAGATAAATCGACATAGTGACCACGAGGTCCATCAGCGTATGGGCCGTTGATGGCACTTGCTCCTGGTTCGGGTTCTTGGGCTTCTGGACCGGCTCCTGGAGAGCCTGAGCGAGCTTCTCGCAAACGAGGTCAAACGTCTCCATGAGGCGTGTCTTGGGAATAATGCTGAGGAAGGAGTTAATGGTCTGCAGGACTGGGCCCCGCTTCTGAGGTGTAGTAGTGCTGTAGACGTTGAAAAGAACTGCGAGAATATCGGCAGCAAACCTTTCACCCAGGTACTCCAGGTTCTTTTGAGCTGTCTGCTTGCTCACCCTGCAGAGTATCACCGGGTCTTCGACGTCTCCGGCCGAGACAATAGCTTGGTTCGACTCGACGAGGGCCCGAAGGGCACGGCAGACGTCCAGTCGCAATTCCGGCTGCTCGTACAGGACTGTAGTCAGCATCTCAGCGAAGGCCGTGTCGAAGGCCTCGGTGAGGTCCAGCGGCAGGTCGCAGTAGCCAGGCAGGATGGACCATATTTGCTGAACCACTGTCTCAAAAATCTTGACCTCCATTGTCTTGGGAGCGTTGCCATGCTCCAGTACGCGCTGGTACATGGCAGCACTCAAGGGAACAAGTTCAGTCTTGAAGTGATTAAGGTTTGTGTTGGTGGTATAGTCACGCAGAAGCGGGAGCATCCAAGCACGACCAGGCTGATCCCTGGCCGGCTTGATAAGATTCAAGGGCAGAACGTTCAAGACCGCCTCGGGGCCCATAGCACGGATCGCCTTTCCGAGGACCACGTCGGCTTCCTGCTTGCCAGTGAAGGAATCGTTGGTGCGAATCTCTCCAATTGTCTTGGTAATGCCCAAAAGATAGGGATGAGACCTCCAGCGCAGTGCATCAAACATAGCACCGATGACGTTGAATGTCTCGAGCCAAGCCGCCTGGTACTTGATGGTGAGTAGACCTTCCACTGTCTGCACCAACTTCTCGATCACCTTCTCATCATAGATGGAAGGCTCCACGAGCACCTGAGGCGGGACGCAATTGGCGAGGAATGACACCAGGCACTCGGAAGCCGAAATGCGGATGTTCTTCGCCTCAGACTCCAAATAGCTCGCAACCAGGTTGAACGGCTCCAGGATCTCTTGGAACGTCTCCTCGGGAGAAATCTGAGCCGCTACATCATAGGCTCGTGAAAGGATAGCGATCCAGGGCGGCAATAGCTGCACATCGTTGGGCGCCGGGCGCAACTCCTTGATGATTTCAAGCAGTCTCGGCAGCTTGGCCGATGCGACCTCATCGGCCATACCCTCGAAGATCATCTCGAAAATCTCAAAGACAGCCATGCTCATGTGCTCGTTACCATGGCGGGCGATGCCAAGCAGAAGCTCGCACAGAGGCTCGATCTTCTTGCTGGGCCACCCGCCACTTCCAGAGGCAATGGTCTTGACGAGCTGAAGCGCATGAATCAATTCGGGGTCGTGAGCCGATTCGGAGCCCTTCTTCTCCTTGCGCGACTTGGTCGCCTTGTCAAACACTGCCCTCAGGCTCATCATGGCTGTTTCGGCGCACATGGGAGCGACAGGATGATCGAGGGATGGGCTCGGTGGCGGATTCCTCAGGATTTTCCTGAGCGCATCCTGCGCCCTCTTGCGGACTTTGGGGCGCGGGTCGAGAGCGAAGCTCAGCAGCCCACCAACGACTCTGCGCGGGCCGATCTGAGCTGCGCTCATCTCCCAGCCGGCCGCGTCTTGGGCAAGCAAAAGACCCTCCAAACAACCAATCGATGACCTGATAAGCGGCGCATCTGCCTCTGGTTGAGACAAGACAGGCGCAAGAAGCGTCAAGATCTGGGTAAACTTGGCGCGAAGCAGCGGCGCCGGTGCGAAGGGTGTGACGACATCGAGAAGGTAGACGACTGGATGCGAAATGTTCTTGCCATTGTCGTTATTGAGAAGACTTAGGAGAGCCGCAAAGTAAGCTGTAGGGGTGGGTTCAGTGTTGCGCTCCTTGAATGCGGCCTCGACGGCCTCGAGAACTGCAGCGGTCTGAGTACGGTTAGTTAGCAAGCGACCGAAAGAGGGGGAGAAAGAGAGAAAACCAAGTCATGATATGAACAAGCGGACTTCAGGAAACATACCTGCTTCTGGTTCTCAAGATTAGGAGACCGGATCTTGTCCAGCTTCTCTTTTAGGGAAGCCATCTTGAACACCGAATGGTGGCTGTACAGTCGATGCACCTCGCAGACCGCATCAAAGATGTCAAGAAATTTCAAATCTACAAGCAAAAAGTTGGGTGTTATCGCTTATCGTGGACAGCCCCACCCAAAAGTTCAGATAAGGGTTATGTATCTGCGAGGTATGCCCGTGCGGTTGTCAGGGTTAGGTATGGCGATCTGTCCTCCAGCCCCTGAACCTGCCCATGCGCAGCACTAAGCTCCCCCGAGGCTCCCATTGAAGATTATCAGGAAGTAGTAAGGTGAAGTACCTGTTGAAAAACAGCAGGAGGGAAACAGTAGCCAAATCATGATGGGATGCTGTCCTAGGATCATCACTACATCGGTATGCACATCGGCCATCTGGCCTTAACTTGTTTAAGCCAACCAATGATGCGCCATCCAGACAGAAAGCTACATCCTTCCACATAACAGCTGCCCTACCTACCCTGACAATAACACAAGCACCGTCCTGTTGACCCCAACGCCAGCCGCGTGAATCCGTTTCGTAAGGAAACTCAAGAAAACTCATTGTCTGCCTCTTCGATCTGATTCTTGATCCTAAGAAGAATCTCCATCTTCCACTTGTCCAACCGGCTCAATTGATCATAGGCATATAGTTTGTCGGTGAACATTTCCTGGTTACCCTGACCAATGGCCTCGATCAGGTCTTCCAAAAGCTGGCATTCACGTTGCGACGCGAATGATGGGTCCTTGGCTTTGTAGTCTTCCAGGCTGCGCCGAGCTGTCACCAGGTCCTTTGTCGCTAGCACGCAAAGGCCAGCCTTGAGGAAGTACTCCTTAACAGAATATTTCATGAGATGATTCTCAAGTGACGATTGCGCCACTTTCTCGAAGCGGTTGGCCGCATCGAAGTACTGGCCCTCCAGAGCGGCGATGTCGGCAACTTTGAGCCAAAGCTTGTTTGCCAGGCTAAGTCGGGGTTAGACGGGCCATCTCGGGGTTATAAGGAGAACAGAAGGGAGGAGAGTGTTGCTGCACTCACGCTTTAGCACCATCCTGCTCATACCAGAGAGCGGCGTCCCTATAGTACTGCATCGCCCGCACGCGGTCGTTCAGGTCCTGCTCGAGCATCTCTCCTGCGTTTTCTTTGTGGGATGCTGCACGACGGAAATTGCCCTTGCTCGTATACCGCATGATAGCTTGATCGATGCAATCAAGTGCCTTCTGTGGGTTGTCTTTCCTCAGGACCTTGAATGCGTCAACCATGAGGTTCGCAGCATCGTCCGGCTCGTTCAGCTTTTCGCGGTAGATATTGGCAGCAGCTATGAACGCTTCCCCCGCCTCCTGGTCTTTTTCGGAATGTCAGCGCACCGAACACCAGGCAGGTTATATGCTGGACATCACGCACTCCTGTTCTCCAATCGATAGGCATTTGCGGCTTGTGTGTATAGGTCGGCGGCGGTTTGATACTTGTCTTCCTTATTGCTGAAGAAACTCCAGCCACTAGCGCTCTGGAGAGTTTTTCTGGCCTGTAATCACAATGCTTTAGTATATCTCCCGGCTAAAGACAACGTAGAGCATAGGGACATCTTGGCGTCGGCGAAAGACGGGGGGCTGAGGAGAGCGTACCTTTTCTTCGAGAGCGCGCGGATCGAGAGCCATGTTGCCGAGTATGTAGGAATTTGGTATCCAGAAGCAGTTGAACGGTCGATCGCGATGTTGGCAGAAATTAGCGTTGTTACGAAGTGTCGGGTTATTAAGAGCGCCCAGCGCAATTCAGTGTTGGCTGCTGTTCGAGTCTAGAGACGGAGTTGCTGGCGGTCGACAACCCCAGCCCGGGGTTGACTGACAAGGCACTGGCGGGGTCTTACAAGGCACCTATGACGCCAAGCGTTACAAGTTCGGTTGTAAATTACTTAATTGGACAACAAGCTAATCTACGGCTGGTTAGAGCATGCCATTTATCGATAAGTGTAAATTGATCCGTCGCTGCGCATCTGTCCATCCTGATGTCTGCGTCTGGTTTGTGGGCGTCAGCTTAATCCATCACAGCTTCGCTATCACCACCATGCTTTCTCAACGCTCAGTACTGCGCCTGCAGGGCGTTCTTTCTACATCCAGACGGCCAGGATCAACATCCCTCCTCCAACAAGCCGTCCTATTACGGAGACATTCCACTTGTGCAGCCCAACAATCATCCTCACCATCTCAAGCCTCACCATCTCAATCCTCACCATCTCAATCCTCACCATCTCCCCCACCATCCCTCTCTCAACACGACCCTCACACCATTCTCTCGACCCCCACCTGGTCAATAAAGACTTTACTCCCCCCTAGCGAGCCTACAGAATCCCAACACGACCAAGAAATAACCCTTGCTCAACTCTCTCATCTCCACCGGCTCTCCGCCCTACCACTTCCCCCCGATGAAGCCACTCAGTCCTCTCTTCTCCGCACACTACACGCCCAATTGCATTTCGTGCGTGACATACAGCGTGTAAACACCTCCGGAATAGAGCCTTTATCCAGCATCCGGGACGAGACGACTGAGGGGATTAAGGAGTGTACCATCACGTGCGAGACGGTGTGGCAGGCGCTTAAGACTGAGGAGACGGTGGGCAAGTGTAGACGCCCGAGGAGGAGACGGGGCGAGAAGGTCGATGTGAAAGGTGTCGAGGATTGGGATGTGCTCGGGTGCGCGGGGGAGACAGCAGGGAGGTATTTTGTTGTCAGAAGCGGGTCAGTGAAGGAGGGAGGAGAGTAACTGGGAGTCAGAGGGGTCGCATACTTAAAAAAAACGAGAGGGATATTTAATTACTAAACATAACAAGATGCCGCAGTTAGGCTCATTGGGTGGAACACTAGAGGTTATTCCACCCAGCTTCTTGGGACGACCTCTAAAGTTCGATGAACCTCCGCATCAACTCTTCTCCCTCTTGCTTCCAATACACAAAAATCACCAAAGGGGCACAAGGATGATTCGAGTTGGTGATAATAATCCTTCCGAGATGTTGTTCTTTTGGTTTGTCTCCCATAAATGCCTCTGCCGGCAACATACCAGTACCTAACTGATGCTAATGGAAAAGACCAAGGACAAATAAAATGCAACTCCGTACTAGTTGCGCCGCCGCCTTCCACCTGTCGGAAATATCAGTTGCTAAACACCGTGCACTCCCTGCCTAAGCAAACACATCAACTCAGCGACAGATACAACCTTACTTCCTGCCCTTCTTACGCATCCGGGTACGAATAATACCCTGTTCGTTTTCCTTGCTGGTAAGTACGGCGCCATTCTCGATCATCTCACGTCTCTCTTCATGCTTCCGCTGTTCCTCCTCGTAAGCGGCCATGGCGGCTTCAGCGAGATCAATTTCCCCTTCGTTTAGGTCACCCCAGCCAATGTGCCGCAGGATGCTGCCAGCGAGGAACCGGTACCTCGTGTGAACACTGACCTTAGCAGAGACATCCACGTTCTCGATACCGTCCACTCCAGTGATGCGCTGGATGCCGGCCAGCCCGAACTGGATGTTGCACATCCGGGATAGAAAACCGAGAATATAATCGTTCTCCGAGTATACGTTGACTAAGCGGCCAGACACCACACTCTTCATGGCACACCAAGCCAGCGGATCCGACGGTGCAGGAGTACCCATGAGGATCGCGTTTTCAACCAAGCCGAAAGCGCGTCTCTCGCAGAGGGACATCAAGCATGTATAGATGGCACGAGCTCCGAGGCTGTAACCGATGAGCGAAACACCTCGCTCACCTTGGGCCTTGCTGATGAGAACGTCTGCCAGGGCGATACCAAGCTTATCAGCCCGGACCATGCCTGTATGCCAATTGTGGTCAATGACCTTGCTAAGCTTGAGGAGGCCAGCAGGCCAGCGGCGGTCGGTCAAATGCGTCAAGACTGGACCATTTTGATTAGCGTTCACACCGTTAGTCTTGGGATGCATGGAACGAGGCTCACTGCTGACGCGAGCCTTGATCTCCTTCTTAGCCGCCGCCCACGTTGCACTTTTGAGCATGAGCTCGAATGATTCACCAAGCTTTGACAAAGTGTCTACCTCCCAGCGAACCGTATAGGCCTCTAGCTCGCTGCCCAAGCAACGCCAGTGGCTACCGAGGTCCGATTTGTTCGTCAGCCACCCATAAATACCCAGAACCACGCGAAGACGGCGGCTGTCGTTGGCGACCTTGCCCAGTTCGATATTTTCGCCAATCGAACCACGAAGCGGTAGGAACGCGAAATCGGCCACATCCTTCAGATAGTGCTCCATCATCTTTCCGGAGGAGAGCCTGGCCCCTGGGACGCCGAAGAAAGAGCCCACCTTTAAGCCGTTCTCCGTCATGGAGGCAAGAAGTGAGGCGGTAGTTGCAACATTGATTCCAGTAATGCCCAAGATGGACCCGAAACCTGCGGCTGCGAGCGGTATGGCTAAACCGCGGGGGCCAGCGATAGCGATGCCAGGCATGGACGCGAGAGCCTCTTTCCACTTTCTAGAGGGCTTTCCTTCCTGCTTTCGCGCTAACAGGGCTTCGGGTGGGATGATTCTCGCAACGTGAGCCATGGCGCCTCCGACACGAACCTCGTCATTGACAAAGACGCGCAGTGGCAAGCGAAGCGACGAGGTTAGATTCAAGAGCAGAGTGCGCGTGTAGGCGGAATAGTGTTCGAGCGATATCAGCAACAAAATCATGACGTGCAACAACAGGCATCTCTTTTCGACTGGCCACGAAGCGAGTGTCGTCGGGGTCGGGGGGTAGAGCTGCTCCAACAAGGGATCAGCTTCCAAAGCCAAGCCCGGCCCGCCATTGCGCAGCGCCAGGGCTGAGAATTGTGCCGCGGTCCTGGATGCTATGGTTGTCAGCGAGCATGACATTTTCAGTCCGGGTCTAAAACACTTACAATCACCCCTTCTGCCCCTTCTGTTGCGTCCCCTGGGGAACGTGGCAACGGGGGGCCTCCTCACAGAAATATCGCCAATACGTTTGTGGACCGAGTTCTGCCATTTCCTGAAGTGTTGTATGACCTCCTTCTTGAGCTCTGGCAGCCGCGGTGCCTGCATCTCCTCCTTGACAGCTGCATTGTCAGCCTTCTTATCGGCCTTTGGGGGGGCCTGGCCCAGCTTCTTCGCCGCCCGACCCGCCTTCTTGGAGCGAGAGGGTTTCAGATTTTCCAAGAGAGAGCTCCGGGTTTGCATCTCGTTGACTGAACTGGACAGGTTGTTGTCCCTGAGATACGAGGGCAGCTTGCCCCAGAAGGCAACTCGCGATGGCAACGAGGGATCGTCCTTGCTCGAGGGGTCAAACGAACGTAGAATTCGCTTCAGCATCGACTCGGTGAGAGTGTGGATGAGCGATACGAGCTCGTCCTTGTCCTGGGGACTCAGGAACTCGCTGAGGTCGACATCCCGCCGAGGCGGGTTGGCCCTGGGCCGGGGAGGTGGCATCTGTGCCGTTGAAGAGTCGAGCAAAGTGTGTCCACGAGTCTCTGAGTCCGTCGCCGCATCAGGCTGGCCCTCAAAGGAGGAGGACTTGTCGGACAAGTCAAGAGAAGTGCAAAACGGCACAGAGTCATTCATCTTGTCCATCGTGGGCTGTTCGGGAAGGGACCATCACCGAAGCAGCAACTTCCTCTTCTGGCTGTGGACTGGATGTGGGCGGGGTAGCGAGAGAGCAAAGCCAATTGTGATCGTTCCTGCCTGGTTTTCATGGGTGGTTAGTGGTCCGAGTTATAAAATACATTTTCAGTCGCAATCCATGGAGGAATCGGTTTGGGAAAGGAGTTGAGAAGGGAGTTGAGAAGGGAGAGAGAGCGTGAGAGCAAAGCAACAGTTTAGTGCTGGCAGGATGCTGTAGGAAAGCAGGTTCCAGGTCGCAACACGAAGTCGCCTCTTCGACTTCTGAGGTGCCAGAGGGTTCAAAGTTCGCAGGAAATTGGAGCAGCTTTTTCTCTCTTCCCCTCCAGAAAGAAAACAGATGATGCGTTCCTGCAGCCACGAACTTACTGTTTGCATAAACGGCAGGCTGCTTGCTCTTTGCCGTGGGACACGAGCTGTGGTTTGACGTCACTGTTGAGCTGTCAGACCCCCAAAAAAAATCGAGAGGAAGCTTTTTGGTTTTGGTTTTTGCGGGAACAAGGAGGACGAGACATTGCCATGGCAGGCTTGTCAAAGAAGGCATCGGATGGGAGGGGCCAGAGGAAACAAGGCCGAGAGGTGCGATGATCTGGTGCTGGTGAATTGGGAAACCGATAATCACCCCCGGTGATGGCAGATATGGCAGCGCGGAGCCTGGATAGACATGGCCAGATGCTCAGGCGGAGACCAAACTGGTGCGACGGTAACAGTCCAGATGGTTGTTACTCCTCAACTAACATCTGGTTTTGAAGTACACCCAGCAAGCTCAGTCGCAGGCTCTAGGCCAGTTTCATCATATAAATTGGACAAGACCTCTTTACACATAGAGTGCCTGCAGACGACCACAGATTCCGCACAATGACAATGGTTTAGCTGCAGCAAGCCGTGAGAACACAGCTTTTACAGACCCGTTGAAAGAATCACTGTGTCTGCCTCAACCAGTTCATCATAGATACGGCACTGATCATCTATAGCCCACCGTCAACTTCTGCCGGGGGGCCAGACTTCCATGTGAAAGCGGTAAACACGTTCAACTCACGTTGCTTATCCCAGTTCCTTTCAAGAAAGACTAGATATTCCTATGCTGTCAATGTTGTTGAATCAGGTCAAGCTTAACTTTAGTTGTGCAAGGTTGTCACTACTCTCATATGGTAGTGTCCTCCGCCGTGCTTCACGATCTCTACATGATGGCCAGACCAAGGACAGACACTTGGTCGTCAATAACTGCAACGGTTTTCCAACCAAGACTCAGAGCTCTAGACTAATAAGTAGGGATTTGTCAAAACACGAGAGAATTAAAAAAAAACACATCATTTCTGCATCTTGAAACAATGATCAATAGGCTCGCTGTTCGAGTTCAATGCGAACCTAGATGGTCACAGGAGACTTGTCTACCTATACAAAGTACCAGGCAATGAACTGAGGAAACAAAATAGGCTGAATGAAAGGGAAAAATTGATATGATATATTTTGAAAACTAGGTTCCTCAATAACATGCAGTGTTAGGGACTTGGGCTGTTTCAATGACACACTGACAGAAAAGTAGGTTGAAGAGCTTCATGATCAGGGTCATGCACAGTATGTCCATATTCAGATGTTCTAATTCATACTGTGCCAAGCGATTCAATGTAAGTAACGTACTGGTTGCAACTTGCGTAGTACATCTTAGTGATTACCATGGAAGCTGGGCCCGATGGGTCCGAAGTCCGTGACCCTAGACTGTAGGCATCCTGCCCAAGTGGAAGCAGACCCCAGCGCGGGGCAAGGTTCAGCAGCTTGACTTGAGGCTCAAGCGCCTGTCGGCTGATGCTTTCCTGTGTTCTGACATCTTCGCCAGGAACAAGACTCATCAATTTGTTTTTTTCCCTCCCCAATATTCGCCAGATTGAGCGAAACCGGATTAAACTCCCAGGTTCGACTGATTCCGCGCAAATAGTTGCCGACGCCTCAAACATTAACCACCGTCTTCAAAACATCAGCCCGCCCAGGTTGTTGCCATCCGGAGCTGTACTTAACAAAGATCGGGCTCTTGAGCTGAATAACCCATATATCTCACAACACACGATCCCCCAACAAGAATGGCGCCCCCAGCCGAGGGATCAACGCGTCAAATACTGCCGCCCACGGGCAGCCTGACCCAAACACACACCACTCCCTCTACAGAAATCCAGCAGAACCAGACCGAAACGCACCCTCCAGCAATCCTCCGGTTGCGCGGCGCCCACGCGCCGTCAAATCGCTCCGTAACCTGGCGCTCTGACGTGGTCGATAACGAAGGCCTGAACAAAAAAAAGTCCAAAGGTGAGCCTGTCACTTGACCCAAGTCTCTTTGCAACCCTCCGCTAACTTGGTTAATCCCAGTCTGCTGCATCTACCACCGTCCGCACAGCATCGACTCCTCCTCCGAAGAAGACTCCTCGTCATCCTCATCCTCCGACTCCGACTCAGACGACTCCTCGGGCGGACGAAAAGTCCCTGACGCCGACCACGACAAGGGTGGGTGTAGTCATCGGCGCAGGCAGAAGCAGCGCAAGAGGAACCCGAGCCCAAATGCATACGAGCGCATGCCGCGGTACGACAAGAAACCTTCCAAGTCGAAGGTTAGTGGGTCTGGCGGCGGTGATGGTGGGAGTGGCGGCTTCCGGCCCGGGAAAGATGGGAATGGGGATCCGAATGGAGGGAGCGGGCCTTCTGGGCCGCAGGCTGCTTGATTAGTCTGAGGTTGAGACCTAGATCATGGGAGAGAAGTGTGAATTATCCAGTTCGGAGGTATGCTGGATGCTTGGGATGGAGTTTGGTGTTATAAGGACAGCATTTGGGCCTATACTGAGTTTATGGCATTGGGAACCGGCATATTGATCCTTTTATAAATATTACCCCTTTCTTGTGCTTTGAGGTGGTGTGTAGATGGGGACAACGATATGATATGCTTACTATAGAGTTAGTCAACAGGGGAACAAAAAAGTCGCCTTCAGTTAGCGTGGAAATGCTCTTACGGTTATTTTCTCCCTTAAATCGAGATACTACATGATGATTGTGATGTTTCTCTTTGTATGGGCTAAATCAAGTTATTCGCTCATATCACAGAAGAGATTATGTAGATGTTAACGTCCCCAAGTTTCATTCCTTTAAGAAGGTTAATGTTTGCATAAATATCTGCACGAACAGGTGTCAGAACAGAGTGAGTTTTGAACTGCACAGAAAATCGTACAAGAGAAAAGAACCAGATAACTTTATTTCCGACGAGTACACAGAATGCATTGAATATGATGAGAGAGAATTACAACCTATAACACAAACTGCTGAAACAAAGACCCATTTCCTGTATACCACATATGTATGTGTGTCTGTGTGGAAAGCCTATGTGTGAATGCAATGTGTACTCCCCCCCCTTTCTTTCTCTCTCCCCCTACTCTCATGTTTACACCACCAAAACAAGAAGTTACCCCATACAACCACAATCCAAACAAACACATCATCATGCCACTTCTTCTGCTCTCTACTCAACCAACCAATCAGCCAGTCATTTTCTCAATCAACCACAACTGGAAGGAAAAAAAAAAAAGAAGCAAGCTCATGGGACGCTGAACCCCTCACTCGGCGGTCCCAACATACTAGCAACTTGCTTCCTGACGACACCCTTCATCCCCCGGCCCTGCTCAGGCCTAGGTATACCCTGAATGGCGCGCGGCTCCCTCATCAGGCTCGGGTCTAGCCTGAGCGGCACACGCGTCACCACAGCCCGGTAGTTATCTCCCGCAAACTTGTTGCTGCTTGTAGCCGGCGAGGGCACCGACGCAGTCCGCCAGATATGGTCTGACGTATCGGTCAACCAGTTGGGCGCTTTGGAGCCGGGACGCGAGGGGAGAGAACCGGCTGTAGAGAACGTAGAGGATGGGGGAATATAGGTGGATGCAGCCCGGAGCGTAGACAGACGAGAGAGACCGGTAGAGAAGGCGGGACGACCGCGAGCCTTCTTGGCGAGGATGATTTCGTCAAACAAACGGATAGATGGGTCAGAGGCGGGATGGCGCTCGCGCTCGTGGATGAATTCGTTGAAGGCTGTTGCAGTTAGCAAAAGATCTTGAGTAGGCGTCATGAAATGATCCAGGGGCTTACCCTGAGTGTCCCTTAACATAGTCGCATACTCCTGCTGGTCATATGGCAGGCTGCGGATGAAGCCGTCCATGTCAAAGGCGTACAGCTGGCCATTGGCCTTCTGTTCGCGGGAAGGCCGGCCAAGGTGCTTGCGGTATGTGTATAAGAGACTGGCCATGCAGCGGACGAATGCCGCCCGGACGCGATCCGGGTGGAAGGCTTGCGGGCAGACAAGCGATACAAAACCCAGGCAGCGGTTATGGGATAAACAGTCGCAGCCTGAACACTTGAACAACCCATCACCTTCGGCACGTTCATCGCAAATGGTACAGATGGAGTTGGCCTCCGAAGCGGTCCAGTCAAAGCAGTGACCCTCGACCCAGACTGTGCTGTCCGTATTCTGTACTGGTTGGATCATCATGTTGGGCATAATGGTCGATGCGGCGATCGTGCTCTGGGCATATGTTGACGGCGCATACCCGCCAAAAGAGGATTGAGAATCAATCGAAATCGCGGAGATCGACAGCTGCTGGCTATGACCGTTGAGGAACGGCAGGCTTGGCCGATGCTGCATCGGAGGATGGTGATGGTACTTATCCATACCAAACGATGAGCTGCGCCTTGACTTCTCATCGAAGTGACCGGACCGCTTCTCTCGGAGGGTTTGCGCGAAACCCGAGTCGCTACGAGACACAGGCGTTGTAGGCATGGGCGGGAAGTTCATCGACACAGGCGATACCGACGAGGGTGGGCTACCTTTGCTCGACTTCGCGGTCTGCGGGCGATCCGTCTTACTGTGGTCGACCTTGGCCTTGGTGAAGGCATTGAAGAGGGGCGTCCGAATCGAGTTGGACGTGTCTGGCTCAGCAAACGTTGACGAGTTTTGTGTAACCCATTTGCCCAAGGTGCTCTTGACCGGAAGAGGGTTGTAAAGCGTTTCGTTTTCGCAGGAGTATGCATCGTAGGGGAACGACTCGACTGCATACGGGGGGGGGCCAGAAGCCACTCCGTACCGGATGCGGTGAGGAGCCGCAATCTGCAGAAGAGATAACAACTTGCGCCGGATTTGCCGTGGTAAGCTTGGAGGTTTCGGGTTGGCATCGATGGTATCCTTGTCAAGGTCGACCAGGACGTAGTCCTCTTGCGGGATATCGATCCTTTCGTATCGCCGCTCCACGCCAACAATGTATGGGCATGGGGCCTCAAGGGCCGAGATGAGTCGAGCGGGCAGAACGGGAATAAAGATGCTCGCCCACTTGAAAGGATAGAGGAGGTTGACCAATGCGTGAGCTGCAAGATGCAGCATGGCCGTATGTGAAGAAAGGAAGATGATGCGGCCCTCCGAAAGAGCGCACTCGAACAGAAGGACGATATTTTCAAGGGACAGACAACGGAAGAGGGCGTATATATCGATGCTCCGTGACCCGGGGAGCTCGTTAGCCGCCTCTTTCCGAGCATATAGCCTCAATTCCCGAACGCCAATCTCGACTTGGGTCAGGGAGCTGAGGGGGCTAAAAGCCTCGGTGCACAGGTTGACCACATAACGCTCGAGGGGCTGCCAACGGCCGACCTTGGGGGAACTTGGCGGCACACGCAAGATGGCACCATCCGTCATAGGAACGGTGACAGCCCTGAGCCACTCCTTCCAGAAAGCCATCTTGGACGGGTCGCGACCGAGGATACCGTATGCGCGAGGGACCCAAAGGCCTGTCTCGCCTGCGGTAAGGCCGTCGATCTTCGAAGCGGCGCCGTGCCGGAGTGGCCTCAACATCTCAGTCATGAGGGCGATCTTTTCTTCAACCGCGCTGATTTGCTCGTCCAATGCCTCTCTTTGCGGCGACCCAGAGGGAACAGTACCCAGTTTTGCTAGGAGCTGGGACAAGTTAGCTCTCTCAGCGGCCAGACGGCCGCCTAAACTTGCGGCGAGCTCCCTTTCCTCGTTAGACATGTGTCTCTGACGCCAGATTTCGCAGCGTTTCTCCACTTCCTCCGCAATGTCTGCACTAAGGGCGGTCCAGACAATGATGGCAATGCCGTAAATCTTAGTGTTGTCCTCTCCAGTCATGGTGAAGCCGTGCCAAGTCGAGCGCGGCCGGTCGTCAGAGGAAACGATCTGAATGTCGTTGGGGAAGGCGAACATGGGAACGTAGTCCGGGAACTTGCCCCTTCTGGCCAGCTCCTCGGGTGAGGCGTCCCGTGCAGGATACCTGTCAAGGAGTACGGGCTCGAACCGCCTCTTAAGCGGATGCATATCGGGGTCAGTGTTCAGGGGCTCGGGAGGAGGAATGACCGAGTTATAGTTGCTCAGACGCTTAGCGGTCCGGACGGATGCTGCAAAGAGAGAGTCAGTGGCCCATTTAACACCCACAAGACATCGAAATTACAAAAAGACATACCTGCTCTGGGAGGCATCGGCTGCTTCCGGACGCTGGTCATGTCCCTAAAACTCATCTTGCGACGGATGCTGCCACGGATGCTCCTGAGAGGACTCTTTCTCCCGCTATGGTCGCCCGTGTCCTCGGCCTTAAGCTTCTCTGTCCTCGGATTCACCATCGGGGGCCTCGATTGGATCTTTGCGCCAGCGCTAAAGGTCAGATCCTCGAGGAAGTTCTCTCGCTCGGCGGCAAACTTGAGGAGAGCCTTGTCGAAATCGAAGTCTGAGGGAAAGCCGTCGAAGCCAATTCCTTCGCCGCCACCTGACGAGAGGCCATTGTTTCCACTGTTAACTCCTGGAGAAGGGTTCGGGCGGATGGTAGCACTGCTGCGGTTGCTCCTCGTATTTCCATCGGTCTCTTCCAAGACACGTTGCACGCTGATGACAGAAGGCGTTATGGAATGATTCGAGATAGTGGATAAACGGTTGGCCGAGTTCTGACGGGAGTGTCGGACAGTCGCGCGCGAGGGCGTGGTAGCCGACTCCTCGCCCTCGCCGTCCTCGACAATGGTCTCTTCTAGCTGGGTCGGCTGGGCAGCCGGGGCATAATCGTCGAGGGAGTCATTGTAGCTAATGTGCTCGATACCGGCTATCCAAAAGTAGTCGGCAAGCGGCGCTGAGGCGCTGTCGTCCATGATACACTACTCTCTTGGTCCGTTCTCGTCGAAGTCGGCTTTCTGTTTAGGTCGCTGCCTTGACTTGAGAGCCAGCTTATGAACTTGTGATTGGGGGGGGGGAGGGGGATATCAGAGTCGTGGGAAAATCTCGGAACTCGGGCTGCGCGCAAATGCCCAGGTGCGCAACACTGAAAGCCCGTTTGTTTAGTTGTCCAGTCGGTCAAGAGACTCAGAAACAGAGCGGTGGGCAGAGAGACGGCCCCCGCCCCTGAAGGTACAGCACGATGCCGCGGTAAGGTGTTGCGATCGGTCGACGCGCTTTGGGCTTGTCCTTTCGACAGACGTGAAGGTCCAACGACCTATAGTCGGGGGATACCGAAGGTCGGCGAGCGAGTGAGCGAGCGTCAAGCTGCAGGATACAGGCGCCGAAGCGATCGGCGGTGGATTGGAGGGGGGGCCCGGGGGGGGGCGAGCAATCAGAAGTCCAGAGGATCTGCCAGCAGGAGGGAGCGAACGTTGAACGAATGGAGCTGGGACCGGGATTCGGCAACACGAGGCCCAAGATCAGAAAATGTCGGCATGGAATCCCCGTTAACCGCGCTGCGCTGCTTGGGAGCACACTACAGACAGTCCACGGTGCTTGGAGCAAGCAAAAGACAGGAAGGAAAAGGTGGAAGGTTGCCAGAGGTTCTGTGAGGTCCGGAGCAGAACGCTGCTTGGGTACCGGATGCCTTCTGGTTCTCCGGGGTGTTCACAAGGATCAAGCCCAGTGTCAGATGAATTGATATCCACTAGTCTGCCCGTCAGAGGATGGGGGCGTGGATGCACTGGACGATGTCCTGTTTTTGGCTGGGCAACTGGTATCAAACTGGGGCCACACACCACAGTGCAGGCGCACTTTAGCACTTTAGGGCTGTCCACGACTTCTTTTTTTGGTGCGTGGGTCGCAGGCTGTTACGGTTTCTTAATGTCTTAATGTTGGCAGAAAGTAGGAAACCGACCCAACGTGGAAGGACAAGAGTCGAATTGCTTCTGGTCTCGTGGCCCCGCCGTTGTCCAGAGCGCAACCAGGGCCCGTCCAGTCGAGTCGTCTCTCTGTCTATCTACGGTTGCGACAGATGTAGTTGTGAGCTGCGGCAGGGTCGCAATCGTTCGTGTATGTAATCCGTAATCCCCCGTGTATTCATGCGTGGAGGTGAAGCTTCTTTCAATCTTTCTCTTTGACCGTTGGAAACACTGCTGTCTGTTTTCCAGTTGGCCCCTGCGGTCCTGCTCTTCCATCCGCCATGTTCGAAACCCTGCTGCATCCAATCCAGCACTTGCTTCGCTGCATGTATTCCGGCCTAACGCTAACCCCTGCAACTCAGCTGCAGGAGGTGCGGCACGTTTTTACGCCCCTGCATTCCTAGCTCGCGCTCTGGCTCCTGTGGTCCAGGGCATTTTACTTTTAATGGCTGCATGCACACCAAACTGGTCAAGCCGAACGCCATTCAATCGCTAAGGTCTGGCCACGAACCCGAAATGCTGCAGCCGTCTTGAAGTTCCCAGTACACATGATACTGATGTTAAACCCGCGCCTCTAATTTCTTGTCAGCACCTGTTGAGATATCACGGTAACAAATGCGAGAATCGTTTTGGTGTGGTGCCCAGGTTGAGTGGGCGATGGGCCGATTTCTGAGCCTTCTTTCCACTTCGCCTGTCGCTCGCCCTGGAAGGCCCCATCGCGCATTCATCGTCAGTGTTTCAAACCCCGTGCAGCTTACGGAGACATTATCGAGGGGTCCCCATCCTCCGCTGTTTTCTTGCTCGCTACACCAGCTACATCAATGCCACTCACCAATTGAGCTGCAAAGAGGCTTGCTGTCGACAAAGCAAGTTCATCATCGCCCTTCTTCTCTTGAGGACTGATGGATGAAGCGCCCTGGGCAACAACAACAAAAGCGAAAATGTGGGGGGAAACGAAATACGGGAAGCGTAATCCATCTCTGTACACGGTTTAATCCATTCAGATACGGACTTGCTTCTTGGCTGTGGATCTCGTCATGTGGAACCATCTCGACAGCTGCCCCTGGGCTGGGGGCCCCAGGGGCGAGCGGGCTCTGGCTCTGGCTCTGGCTCTGGCTCTGGCTCTAGCTCTAGGGCGCTCGGCCGCAATACCCGGAGACGGACGTTTTCCGAGCTTTGCAACGGACCGGAAGGCTGGCCGTCTCACCATCACCGCCCATCTCATGCCGGGGACCCGGAGCATCAAACGTAGAATATGGCAGGCAACGCCGAACCCCAGATCTCGGTGTCAAACTGCCTGTCATGATTGTCATGGTGGTGCAGTAGTGCAGTAGTGCGGGCTCTCCCCTTGTGCTGGTGTCCACACCCGTGCTGGCTACAGAAGGTGAGGTGTTGCGGTTGTCTTGAAGTCTCGAAGAGTCGACAGTGTGAACACCGAACGGTAAACCAACATGCGACGAGCCAGAACTTCATCGTCACCTTTCTCGTCTGTCAAGCCACGGTTGCATCTTCACATGCGGGCTCACTCCAACCTCCTTCCAGATTTTTTTGCTCTTTTCATTTCAGCTATTTCAACCGCACTTCCGCTCTTGCATCTACTTACCAGGATTTGAGGGAACGCCCCTGCAGCGCTCTCCTATTCACTCACGGTTATCAAACTTTGAGGTTTCATGATACTTACTCTCTTCCGAGCTGGAGCCCCATGCCCTCATGTCCCTCGCCTCTGGCTCTCTTGTCCTTTTGCTTCCTGCATGCTAACCTCCATCCGTATTTGATCGACTGCTGGACAATAGCAAGCCCCTGCTGACGGCAACGTGCAGCACAAGGATGGCAATGAGAGGCAAATGTCTGGTCAAACTGCGGCCGACAACCGCATCTAATTTCTGGCTGTTCCTACAGATAGAGGCTCACTGCATGCCGCAGCGTCTTTTGAATGCGAGAGCCAAACGAACTCTCTTCATGAACACAGCGAACCTGAAATCCTAGATCTACGGCAAACCTTCACCAAACTGACCTTAGTGACGCCTGTTAGACATTATCCTCAGGTCTCACTATCCCTTTGCTGATTGTGAGACAGCTTACACTTCAGTGCTTCTAAAGAACTCCATTGGCGTATGTGTATCCTCAAAGAGCTCGCGTGGTCCTGCCATCTACTAGTTTCCATGAACCTTGATAGACTCCCCAACAACCTAGCCCCAAGAAATCGCGCGGGTGGTCGCATATCAGGTCTGGAAAGGCCCAATATCGCTATCGCTGCTACTGCAGTGGGACTTTACTATCCGGCCGATTCCTGGCGAACTGCATCGACTCGCTTGATCTTGGTCTGGTCCTTATCCAAGCACTCCGCCTGCTGAATTGGTAGCTTTTGTGATATGTTTGTTTTAAAACAGAGTTGCAGTATTAGGTCTTTACTGGGTCAAACTCTATCGTCCCCAGCTCTTAACCCTGCATCCATTCTTTTCTTGGTTGACAAGAAAAACCAATTGATGGGCTCAGAAAGTCATGACAGGAATTATCAGTTTTTGCCATGGACGCAATTGAATCATCTCAGTTACTAACATATCCAATCGTGATGTCAGACGCCGGAGCGGCTCAACCCCGCTGAACCAAGAAACAATTTCTTGCGGGCGCGGTACGGGATGACACGGTGACTCTCCCGCATTTATATGAGTAGCGGTCACATATCCGAGAACCTGGTTCACCATTAACTCAGGCATGCTGCCATATTCTTTGGTTAACACAGGGTGTGGCTGTAATTATCGTCTAGGTAACATGGAACTGCATCAGCCAAAGCCCCCGCAGGTGATGCTGTAGATCTTCATTGCAAAACTCATATGAATTTTCTCTTCGAAAGATATTGTTCCATGTTTTGCCCCCTTCACGCTTCCAGTTCTCCAGCTCAAGAAAAACCGGGCCGAAATATGCGGCAGATTGAAATGAGTATAGATGGTTCAATTAAGGGGCAACTAGTGTTTAGCCGGTCCTTTCAAATGATTGTGAATAGACTTGCGTTTGCTTGCCTACGTCTAGCTGAACCACTCAATACCAATCACATGGGGAGTAACAACATGTAACTACCACGGAATTCCGCAATCTCTAAACAGGGAAAACATGCGTTCCTCCTCCGATGTGAGGTTTTAATCCATGTTCTAGCCACGGTAATGGGTATGCTTTGTGCTTGAAGTGCTGGGTTGGCATTGATGAAACACGTGCGAGATACGAGCCTTCACACCAAAAAGCCCTCCGTGACGGACTTGATCCTGGTATTGTAGACACATCCTCATCGCTCACGCCTGAACAGCCCTTTCCCGTGGCCTTAAGGTTCGTGTCCCCAGCCTACCCGTTGACAGGAACCCTCTATTTCCCATCTCACTTCTCCAGCCAATCTGCATAATACCAAATACCACTCTCTCATCCACTTCTTCCACAACACCCGCTGTCTCTTCTTCAATTACAAAACATACCTGTTCCGTCTCTCCAGGTTGCAAAACTGGCCGGTTCTTCTTGCTCGATCTCAGCCCCAATTCCCTTTGTGTCCCTCTCTGGCCCTCATCTCCAGCCTCACCACCCACATATTCATCTCCCTGCTCCTCTTCTTCCCAGAAATTACACCCATCCCCCTTCAGCCCCTTCTCCAGCACCATCCCAACCCTCTCCAACAACAGCGTCTCTTCACTACAATTTTCCAACTGTGCCTCCAACACCCACCTCTTTCTATTACTCTTGCTCCTTGGGGCCAGAGCTCCAGGTTTCGTGCGCACAATCAGCGACGGCTTGCACATGAACTGGTACAGCTTGCGAAAAGTGCGCGTGCGGCCGCTCAGCGGACCCGCTTCATAGTAGGACACTGTTACGGCTAGCACGTGGCTGCCTTCTTCTTTGAGGTCGAATGACAGAATTCGTTGGTGTGAGGAGCCCGGTGGTAGAAGGTCTAGTTTGTCCTCTTGCTGATGCTGCTGCTGTCTTTGGATGAAGGGGGGCTCCCTATCTACCTCGGTACCTGTCCCTAATTCTGGTGATGGGTGGTGGGAGGGATTAGCAGCGACCGGAGGTAAGAGGCTGAGCTTAATTGAAGTAGGTGAGCTAGGCGTCTTCATCTCGGCATCAATGCGGACGTCACGGATGGTCTTGTCGGGAGCCGCAACAGTGCCTGAAGGAGAAGGGGGGACATCATGGTTGACGCAGAGTGTGCAGCTGAAGGTTTCGCCAACATACGCCGAGCCGAAGGAAGGGGGCAGATTGAGGATTGGGGTGATGATGAAGGGGGATGGATTGGTGTTGATGGCTTGGTCGCTGGGGGTGTGGTAGGCGAGCGAAGCAGAGAGTGGTGCGAGATGAGAAGCTGGAGGTGAGAAGGGTGGCTGGACTGGATATTGGGCGACCAAGGATGGTCGGGAGAGTCTGAAACAAGAGTCTATTAGTTTGGTGACTTGCGAAAGAGATAGCTAGGAGCGACAAGGTCTGGTAAGTGGATATTAGTCTTGGAACATACCGCAAAACTTTCAAGGATACCGAATGCGGCTCCCTGACATCGTGAGATGGGTACCGCTGGTGGCTCATTGAGTTGGAAGCGGAGGATGAACACGAAGCTGCTTAGTGAGGAACGTGGTTCACTGATAATGCGTCCGGCCTCGATTTAACGACTTCGTCCGTCAGTTGCTTACAGTCACGTGACAGCAATTTTGCAATCGCTGCAAGTTATACGCAGTGGATCAATCCGGGCTATGGTTCTTGGATTGCGGATGATGCTTGATCTTGATGTTTGGTCAAGGTCATGATGGGTAGAAAAGGTGAAAGCAACACATCCACACAAGTATATATTTGACCTACCCCAGCGCTGAGCTCACATCCCGCTGCCTCCACAGGGTCTTGGCATGGGTAACGTTGAAAGAATGAGAGAAATATGAACTGCAACATGAAGATCAAGAAACCCATCGCATGCTCGAAATGGAGGGCAACAGGCAATAGTTCGCTCTGGGTACTATGGATGAGATAGGGGAAAGATAAGACCCGCAAAATAAAATAGGGTTCGCCCTGTTCCCCGATACCAGTCAAACGGATCATCGGGGTCTGTGCAACGGCTTTCTTCTAAGCGTCTCCCCCCCCCCCCAACAAAAAGCACAGCAACCCGCAATGAAGACCAAACCCCTTAACTCCAGCCCCTGTCACATAGTCAGACGAGCCACCTAACATACCAACCATCAACCTCCATCCCTATCCGTTTTCAAAGCTAACTCCCTGCTCACCTTTTTTCGGTGATCTTGGCCAAGGCTACTTGCAAGTTCTGAGGGATTAAGGATGGGTGAAGTTAAAGACCAGGTGGAGGGGGGACCTGCAACAAGTCAGCTCCTGATAAACTCGACATGTGACATGCACTCAATAATACATACCGCATTGTAAGCGCCCGCGCCAGGGGCCCCAGGAGGGCCAGACGGGGGCGGCGGCGGCGGCGCCGTGGAAGGAGGAGGCGGAGGAGGGGCAGCTTCACTCGGAGGGGGCGGAGGAGCCACGGCTGTTGATGCACCAGGAGCACTCGGAGTAGCGGCCGGCTGGCTGGCCTGACCTGGCTGACCCGCTTGAGCAGCCTGCTGAGCAGCTATCCACTGCTGATACATCTGAACATAGGCTTGATAACCGCCATAAGCAGCATAAGGATCAGTCCCATAATACTGTGCGTACTGGGCGGCATAATCAGCAGCCGAGGCAGGAGTGTTAGTCGACGAAGACGGCGAAACAGAAGAGCCAGCAGCAGGAGCGGGAGCGGGAGAGTTGCTGTAGCTATGGTGGTTGCTGTTGTTGTTTTGGTGATGATTATCGCGGTTGTAGCCGGGGTGGTAAGAATCACCGCCGCCGCGGCCGCCATAGCCACCGTAATTCCGATGAGGACGGCTCTTGAACTCTTCATACTGCTCGCGCACATTGGCCAGTAGGTCCTCGCAGAGCTCCTTGGCCTTTTCAACCATCTTCGGGTCAGGACCGCTGAGAAGTATCATTAGCAACGACCCTGCTATTTTAACCAGAAGGACAGGCGAACTTACGCAACATGGAGGTACATGTCCTCATCACTCTCCCGCCCAGTTGACGCCTCGATGTACCCTGAACCGCGGCCCTTGATTTGCACGCGGCAGCCCGTCTCCTGCTGGATGTGCTTGACATAGGCGCCGCCGTGGCCTACGACCTGGGCGCGGAGATTGAAGCCCGGGATCGGCTCGAGGCCGATTGGAATCTTCTCTTCCGGCCATTTACGCTACGCATGGTTAGTCTGATCGAATAAAGAGCAAGTTTTGCTGCACCATTCTTACCCGGCCAAACTCATCGCGCTCAACCGGATGCTGCTCTTCCTGACGTCGACGGAAACGACGCTCATCCACCAGCTGGGGAAGCTCCTGCTTCATCAGCTCATGGATCTTTGCGACGGCCTTCTCCAAACCCTCCTTGGTCGTGCTAGTAACGTGGAGATACAGCGGTGGGTTCTACATCGCAGCGGCATTAGCATATCAGTCCTAGTGACTGAGCCTAAGTGGTTTGGGGTCAAACATACCGAAGGGGTCGCTAGGCTCTTGTCTGGAAAGTAGCTTCCACGTGTCGTGACATCTTCAGGAAAATCAACTAGTCAACCGATGTCCTCTAATAGCAACGTAAGTGTTCAAGGTGGGCGTACCAGCACCAGTCTCTTCTTTGATCTAGATCAAGCAGCCGAGGTCAGCAGATGCAAAAGAGGGTGGGCCTGTGCGAGCTATCATGCTTCGAGTAAGCAAGACCGTCCCGCACAAGAAAGCGGTCATGAGCAGCAACCGGAGCATTGTGCCATGACACGAGAATGCTGATAATAATGGAGATCAGTGTAGCAAAAAAAACCAAGGTGATATTTACCATCTTCTGAGTTGAGCCTTTGGTCAGCAGATAGCGGTTGCGCAAGTCGTTGATTTCGATGTCCTGAATGTAGTCGCCATCCGAGATATACATCTCACTATTGATGTAGCTGGGCGGGTTCGGCTTGCTGCTCTTGTTGTCGCTGGCATTATTGTTGCTAGAGCTGGAGGCGACGGAGCTCGACCGAACAGGAGGAACATCGACATGCTGAATTCCCTTGCGGGCCTGGATTTGTGCATTGATTCTCGCAGCCGCAGCGGCGGCGGCGGCGGCGGGATCAACGGGAGGAGATTTCGAGTCAGACGGCTTGGAGTCGGACGATGCGTTGTCACGGGATCGGCTGAGAGGACTGCGTTCTCGGTCGCGGTCGGTGTCGGATCTCCTGGCGGGAGGAGAACGAGAACGACGATCGAAGCGCGAGCGGCGCGGCTCCGTAGGTTCAGTCTTGTCGAAGCGGGAGCGCTTTGCGCTACGTTGCTCAGAGTCGTCGGCCATGGTAAACGTGAGGATGAGAGGTTTCTAGTTGGCACACGTGTGGTTCCTGGCGAGCAGTTGTTGAAGATGGAGGATTAGGGAAAGTGGCCGAGGAAAACAAGCAACGACAGGGTTAGGGTGAACGGAGAAGAGTCGGGCAGGCAGATGCCTATAGCCTTGAGCGCATTTGCTGAGCGTGCTCACCGAAGCTGTTGCCGTCAATGGATTGCCAACAAAGAACAAAAATAGATCGAAGAGACTGAAGGGCGGCGATGGAGGAGGAAGAATAGCCCGGTTGCCGTCGATGCCTCTAAACTTTGAAACGGAACGGCGGGCTACGCATTGAAAATTCCACCACATGCTGCGCGCGCGTTGCGGCACTGTGCAGATTTTACTGTATCGTAAATCCACACTGTGATTTCCGGGGTACGTAACTGCCATGCCAAGCCCTGTCCAACCGGAGGTCAGGTGACCTGAGGCAAGCCGGCCCACGTTTGCGTCCGTGTTCGGAGGCAAACAGCAACTCCACTCGCCAATCCAGGCAATTGGCCAATGCATTTGCCTCGCCCGCACCGGCTCGGTGGTTGCTGTAGCCGTGACTCGATCGGTCGCGGTCCAGTGTGGGTGGATGTGACAGATCTGGCTGGCTTCAGTCCGGGCCAAACTTTTTCCTTTTTCTTCCCTTCATCCAGGTGACTCACTTGTTGACGGCCGTCTTGTCAGCAGTCGACACTCGTTACGTTGGCCTAAAGAAGGCTTCGGGATTAGGCCTTCCTTCAACGCAACGGGCCCTACGGCCTCGCCATTGATCCGCTGAAGATGGCGTCTCGCAGCCTCTTCGCTTCCTCCCGCAGGATAGCGGCGCAGGCTCGCGATGTCCCTCTGTCGCGGGGTCTTGCGCCGCTGATCACCGTCCGGCACAGTTCTAAGAGCAGCTCGACCTCAGCCATCGCCTACAAAGCCCTTCGGCGCAGGCACGCCCCTCTCCCCGTCGACAACCCTCCTGCGTGGTCCGCTCAGGCTGCCGTTTCCAACATCCTCTACGAGACTCCGACGCCCTCCGCGGCTCCCCCCAAGCGCCATGTTTTGAACTGCCTCGTGCAGAACGAGCCTGGTGTGCTCTCCCGCGTGTCGGGTATCCTGGCCGCTCGCGGCTTCAACATCGATTCGCTCGTTGTCTGCAGCACTGAGGTCGAGGATCTCTCGCGCATGACTATCGTGCTCACGGGTCAAGACAGCGTCGTTGAACAGGCTCGCCGCCAGCTCGAAGACCTTGTCCCTGTCTGGGCTGTGCTGGACTACACCAACGCTCCGCTTGTCCAGCGTGAGTTGCTCCTGGCCAAGGTCAACATCCTCGGTCCCGAGTATTTCGAGGAGCTGCTTGCCCATCATCGCGAGATCACTGCTGCCGACGGCGTTCAGCAGGGCGAAAATGGCCAAGAGGCGGTTGAGCAGCCCAGCCTCGCAGAGACGGCCAAGGATTTCCATCCCAGCCGTCTGGTCGCCAGTGAGGCCCTACGCCATAAGCACGAGCATCTCCGGAACATCACCTACTTTACACACCAGTTCGGCGGCAAGGTTCTTGACATTAGCACTAATAGCTGCATTGTCGAGGTGTAAGTTTCTCCCTTAGTTGGGTAGACTTCTCAGGACATCTTTTAATTGTGTCATATAGGTCCGCCAAACCATCCAGGATAGACTCCTTCCTCAAGCTCATTGCCCCCTTCGGCATTCTCGAGTCTGCCAGGACTGGTCTGATGGCTCTGCCTCGTTCGCCCCTGTATGGGCCGGATGAGGACAGCCCGATGAAAGAGGCCGACGAGGTTGTCGACGCCAGTCAGCTCCCCCCTGGTTAAGAGCTAGAACAGTTTGGAGATGTTTAGATACTGGTCTCATTTATTTATGTATTCTGTGCGCAAAATTGAATAAATTAAATATGTTTGATCAATTGTCATTGTCCCATGGTATTATTTGCTTTTGAGCACACTACTACGCCTGATGCCATGCCTGCTTGCCCCTTTCTTCATGGAATCACAGAAACGCCAAGATTTTCCTTTTCAACATCCGACGCCAGTCCTTTACAGAATCTTGCCTTTGTTGACCACGAACGCCTCCAGTACCGCTAGAAGAGTTGTTAGCAATGGGACAAGCATCTGGGAACCACCAGAACGAAAGGATAGACATACCGACAGCAGCCCAGAGCCTGTTCTCAGCTTCTGGGAAGACGAGAGACCGTGGGCCATAAAACACTTCATCATCCACCTCCTCCGGATGCCTCGGCAGGCAGTGCATAAACTTCCAATCCGGCTTAGCCCCGCCCCTTGTGGCCAGTTCGTTGGTTACCTGGTAACCGGCGAAGGCCTTCAACCTCTTCTGCTTCTCGTCCTCCTGGCCCATTGACACCCAAGTGTCCGTCACAATGATATCGGCCTCCTTGACGGCTTCCTCAGGTACTGTCGTCTCGAACAGCTTGCCCGGGCGGGCCACACCCTCGCCAGCAGCCAAAATCACCTGGCGCATCTTCTCAGGGATGCCATAGCCGGCGGGCGACGCAACAGAGATGTCGACGCCCATCTTGACGCAGCCAATGGCCAAGTCGAACAACACATTGTTGGAATCGCCCACCCACGCAACCTTGAGCCCCTCCAAACCCAGGCTCGACTCGGTCGGCGTCCGACCGGCGCCGAATGTCTCGTGGATCGTTTGGAAATCGGCAATTGTCTGCAGAGGGTGAAAATCACTTGAGAGCGCATTGATAACAGGTACCGACGAGTGCTCCGCCAATTCTGTTACCTCCCTATGTGGCCCCACGCGGGCGACCATGCACGATGTCATGGAGGAAATGACAACAGATGTGTCAAGTAAGCATTCGTTAACCTAGAAGAGATAGATCACAGGTCAGAACTGATGATAGAACCACATCTGTCGCAGGAGACCTACCCCTAGCTGGATATCATCCTTGCCCAGGAACATGGGATGACCACCCATTAATTGGACAGCAGCTTCCGTCGAAACACGAGTCCTGGTACTGCGCTTGCTGAACATCATGGCCACAGTCTTTCCTGCCAGAGAGCCATGGAGAGGTTTTGGCGGCTCCTGGCCGGCGGCGAAAGCGGCCTTCACGGCCTTCTTGTGAGCGGAGGCATTGAGGACGAGCCGAGTGAACTCAGCAGGACTGAGGTCGCTGATAGAGAGAAGATGCCTCGGTTTTGTCGCCGAGGCACTAGCAAACGAGCGAGTCTGAATCTGGGACATGGCGAACTTCAAGGTCCGAAATGCGCGAGGATTCATGATGAAAAGAATTGGAAGGAAGTTATGGAAGTATCCTGGGAGCCTCTCCTTTCTTTTTGTCCTTCCCGAAAGAAAAGCCCACCAGGTTTTTTATCAAGTGTTTTCTTTGCTGTTCTAGATTAGCAGGGTCCGAGCTGTTTCATAGAATAAGGGTTTCTGCCGCTTCGCCGGAGGGGTTGTGAGTCAGTTAACACACCAACCAGAAAAAAGAGGTTGAGAGGCACCTTGACGGGTCCAGCCCTTTCCCTGCACCCATATCCAGAGGGCGTAGGTAGCACCAGAACCTTGGATGTCTTATTGGTGACATCTGGAAACTGGCACAGTATATTTCCACTGTCAGATTTGATTCAATTTCTATAGCTAGCTATGCAGCATACACAACAAATGCGGTTCCCAACCAATGTTCCGCGCTCAAAACACTTTGAGGATGGATTACTGCATGAAACGTTCTCATATTTTTATCCCATGCTGATATGGTATGGGCGATAGATGCGTCATACAAGACGAGTCAGTAGGACGCCGAGAAGGGAACTTTTCTGCACTGTGGTGATTGAAACTGGGACTGAAATCCCATCAACACCATTTTTTTTCGACATCGGAGCTGACGAATTGACAGCATGCCATTGGCCTTCGGGCCGGCATCCAAGCCCACTAGCCGCCGGGGTCGGACCCCAGGGGCAGCCGCTGAGCTTGGCCCCGCCTTGGGCACCTGCCAAGCCCTGACAATTCGAACACCGCACCACTGTCCAGATAGCCATCCTATCAGCATCGATCCCCTTGACAGGTCCGACGATCCAACCCGTGCCGTCTGTGTCATCAACTGTCCTCTGACCACCTCTTCAGTACCTAGCACACCCAATTTGTGGTCAAGGACAGTTTCGATCCTCCTCCTTCTGTCATTACCGGTGCTGGCAACCATCACAACTAAGATTCTCCGACCATGTCGGACGCTTCAGAGAGGTCGCCGTTGCTTTCTAATCACAGAGCTGAGAGAGATGAGACACAGCAAGTCATCGAGTCGACTCCTCTACTGTCAACAGCCGCGACAACGCTGCGTTACGATGGCCAGACCGATGGTGACGCCAGCCACGATGCGGATCCTACCTCTATGACCGGTCGGTCGTCAGGCCCGGTCTCCTCCAAAGCGTCCAAGTCAAAGAGGATACGATGGCCGTCCGTTATTGCGGTGATAGTCCTGTCTTTATTCGCAGTGGCGGTTGTGGTCCTTGGGTTTGTTGTTCCTTCTGCAGTTGAGGAGTATGCCAAGCAAGCAGCGGTACTGGAGCCGACCGACCTTTCTCTTGTCTCCATTACTGCTGAGGGCGTCCGGGTACGAATCCAAGCAAACTTTCGGCTCGATGCACAGCGTGTACCAGATGGGAGAGTCCGGAGCATCGGCAAGACAGTCGGCTGGCTGATCGGAGAGATCAAGACCGGCCCAACGAGGATCAACGTCTATCTGCCCCAGAAAAATGATATGCTTCTCGGCACGGCTGCTGTACCCCCATTGAGCGTCAGCATTACTGCTGGCCAGAATAATGCCATCGACATTGTAGCCGACTTGATTCCCGGCGAGGCTGAGAGCATCCGAACGATTGCAAATGAGTGGCTGCAAGGAAGACTGAAGACCGTGCAGCTTCGTGGGCAAGCAGATGTCCAGCTGACTGCGGGTATTATTCCGTTGGGCACACACTCCATTGTTGAGTCTATGATGTTTGAAGGTCAAGCTCTCTACCGCTCATTTGCATCCTTATACTTTGGAGAAAAGTTTCTTGCGTGAAGCGCTGCCATGTGTTTAACTGAGTGCTTGTCATCACTCTCCCTGGGCCGCTATGCATAATGCTGATAACAGTGAGAAAACAGGCAGCAAGTTGCCTCACATGCCCAAATACAACATTACGTCGCTGAACGTTCGAGATGATCCCCTGCCAGGACATGAAGGAAAGACGATAGCCGTTGAGGTGTCGATACTCACATTCAATGAGTACCCGATATCTCTCGATGTGCCCGAGCTAGCATTCGAAGTTCTTGTTCCTGGATGCACCGCTGCCGCGCCATCAATTCTCGTCGCTGCTGCTACTACAAACGCAATCGCTGTGCGGGCCCATTCTGATGTGATTGTGGATGTACGCGGTTCGCTGGTTCAACTTCCTGATTCCCTGACTCGGCCATGCCCAGACTCAGACTCATCACCGCTTGACATGCTTTTCGAAAAGTACCTCGGTGGGAAGCCAGCAACCGTGTTCGTTCGAGGCCAGAAGCAACCTGTTGCTGAAGTCCCCGGTTGGATCATTGAACTTCTCTCAAGCATCACTGTGCCTGTTGCCTTGCCCGGGCGCCCTCTTGACAACCTGCTCCGCGAGTTCAGCTTGAGCGATGTCTCTTTTGACATGCCCGACCCGGCAGCAGATCCTGAGGATCCAAGATCTAAGCCTCGGGTGTCTGGCACCATCGTTGCTACGGCGGAGCTTCCTGCTGAGCTCGACTTGACTCTTAATGTGACTGGCGTTCGCGCTAATTCCGATGTCTTTTACCGGGGAAGGAAACTCGGTGAACTCAAGTTGAAGAAATGGCAAAAGGCAACATCAACTCAGCTTCCAAAGAAAACTGGCCAACATGCTGCGCTTCTCAAAATTCAAGCCCGCATTAACAATGCACCGGTCGATGTGACAAACCCTAATGTTTTGACCGACATCATCCAATCCATCTTATTCGGCAAAGATGTCATATTAGGGATCAAGGCCTTAGTAGACGCCAAAGTCCAAACTGTCCTTGGCGATCTCATGATAAAGGCCATCCCAGCAGAGGGCAAATTCCCAATCAAACGTCCGTATTTCCATTGACAATACCGTTAGTTATCCGGCTGAAGTTTTCCCTGGCATCTCTGCCTCAGGAACTGCACACTGGGCTAACTAATGTAGCACATATCACAGCTCCCGAAGGCGGCTTTCTGCATTCTGCCGTACCAGAGGTCAGCATCATGAAGGTTACCAATACAACCTCGACTACTTTGTCTTTCGATGCGTTAGTAAACGTCACAAATCCCACGTTGTACTCGGCACATATTCCATTTATCAGCGTACATATCGAAAGCAATGGAACAACCATTGGAGAAGTGCATGCGAAAAAGTTAAACATACGTCAAGGACGCAACACAAATTTGGTCGTCTCGGCTACATGGAACCCGGAGATGGGCGGGAAAGAAGGTCTTCAACGCGGTCGTGATGTCATCTCCCAGTATCTCTCTGGGTTCAACACGAGCTTCATTGTGCGAACCCATAGAGGGACTATTCCTACTCTTCCTCTCCTTGGAGAGGCCCTCGCTCAATTGAATATCACGCTTCCAGCCCCGAGGTTCGCATGCAGTGATGGTGCTGGCAGCGACAAGAACAACCCCGAAGGGCCTTGCTTCATCCGCGATGCGACCTTCCATCTCCTCTCATCCACGGCAACGTTCACCCTCGTCTCGCCTCTTCGTGATACTACTATATTTATTGACAACGTTGATGCGACTGCGTTGTATAACCATTCAGAGCCCCTCGGCCGCATCCGTTACTACCTCCCGTTTGCTGCCCCACCCGGAGCGTCGACCACACCTAAGCTGCCAGTTGAGTGGTCATTCGATTCGATCGGGTATGGAAAGCTAAGGGATGCGCTGGGTGGACGGATGAAGGTTGATGCGAAGGCTGATGTTGGAGTGAGGATTGGCCAGTGGACGGAACGGGTTTGGTACATTGGCAAGGGAATTGGAGCTAGTGTTAGGCTGTAGGTGTTTTGGGGGCTTTAGATTGATAAACAGTTGCCTTTGCTTGGACTTTTGTTAGGTTTTCGGACATGCAGGCGTCAGGGCTGGATGGATACAGGCTCGGGCATTAGATGGGTATGCTGTATTGAAGTTAGAGGGGCGTTCAGTGCTTGGGTGTGAGGATATTACCTTTTCCTCCTTTCGTAGGCTTTACAGCGAATGCCAAACTATAATTTACACCTCAGAGCCTTATGAAGCAAACGTGCCGGTTGACTTTAGAGAAAGCTTCCTGCTAGTTGCTGTCCCTGACTCCGTTGGCCAACGACAGATCAGATCATATCTCAACCATGAAAGTATTCTGTATTCAAGTAAGTATCCAGAAGTTTGACTAAACCGTGAGATATAAGCAATTCTCCTGTCAAACTAGACACGGCCGAGCTAGCACTGAGCTTTGCTGAGCTGCGATTGGGCTGGCGATGTCCCCAAGCCTGGTTTTGGCCGAGTTACACCGAAGCTGTCCCCGCGAGATGGCTCAACAGTACCCTCACAGTAAATAGTTTTGATAACACTGTGTACGATTACTGACGCCCCACAACTGCTAAACAGTTTTTAAATGAGACGCCAGACAGCCTCGTTTGATCCTTTTCTTCTCTTTCTTTCTCACGAAAGTTGAAATAACCCGGGGTTGCAGAATCAGGCCCGCTGTTTGACGAGAGAGTAAGACTGGGAGGGAGCAATCTCTTCTTTTCCTGCTCTCTTCTTTCTGTGCGCATCGGGTTGTATTACCGGGGAGAGAAAACAGGCGTCTCAAGAATTGCTACTAGCTGGGTCCCTCGTGGCCTCGCGATGAGTGGGCGATCCCGTTTGGCCTCGACATTACTTTGAGGGAATTTTGGTGTCCTGGGCGCAGGGTGCTAGTATGGATACTCTAAACTTATGACTGAATAAGTATTTGTGTTTTTTAAGCCGCAAGTACAGAGTGGATCATAGTTAAGGGTCTAGAGGGGTTCAATCGTTGAATCCCTGGGAGAACTCCGAAACAGCGTTTCTGGACATCTATGCACTGGTTCCCTAAAAAGTTTGTTTTGCTGTTGTATTAAACGTGGGCGATGGAGGTTGTGTCTCGTAGAGACATCTAAGATCTTCCTCCGTTCTTCTCTGGCACAAAGCAAATCCTGCGCCGCAACAGCTGCTGCGACTCCAGCTTCGTTAGATGACCTTAGTGCATCTCATGCCGAGACATCAACCTTTGTTGATGGAGTCATCTTCACCGAATACACCCATCAAATCAAGGTCACTCTATCAAAGCAAGGGAGCAAAAATAAGACAGTTTTTTTTATGTAAGCTGATGGAGGAGACAAAAAAACGTCACCTGTAGGATTCGAACCTACGCTCCCGAAGGAACTGCCTAGGCAGCTAACAATGGATATTAGCAGGGCAGCGCGTTAACCACTCCGCCAAAGTGACTTGATATTTATATTTCCCGGATATCTTTTATCATTTAGCTGCGGATGCATCCACTATGTTAGCTGCGAGCGAGGGCTGTTCTTAGGTAGCTCACTCTATCCACTTACGCGAACAATTAAGTTATTTAGCTGATAATTGCATTGGATTTGGTGGCTCCATAATCTGTTAGTACTGCTCATGAGGTTGAAATTCACTAGTCGTTGTCTAGGTCGTTGGATTTCCTCAGTTCCTTCCTTGTCACTATTTTCTGATACCATTATCCTGGCGTCATGGAAGACCCGGAACATGGCATATCTTTCCGTCCTGATTCAAGGCAAGAGGAGATGAGACGTTACATGCCTGTGCACTTTGCATTGAAGGGCTAACAAGTCAATAGCTTTTTGCAGAAGAGTTCTGGAAGGTGTCAGAGACTTGATCCGCAACCTGATATCAGCTTTGATGAACTTGTGCACTTCTGTGCATTACCCTGTATTTGAGTTGACGTATCCAGTTTCCCAAGCTGCTGAGTTAAAAGGAGCGGATTGTTTTGGAAGATAGTGGCGAACCAACAGCGACTGGGTGTTAACATAGGTTGCATACTTGCATCCTGCCTGTCGGCGAAGTAAGTATGCATGATGCAAACAGGCCTTAATTGCTATTCTTGCCGTCTGTGGCGTGCCAGGTCCATGCGATTGGATGAGACTCTGCCAGCAGCGCTATCTGCCTCTCGCCTTTCAGTGTCATCCTGCGCCCGATGCAACACCAGATCCGCTGTGTTGTGCATGTTCCGCTCCCTTGGGTTGCTCATACTTAGATGCTTACAGCTCAGCTGGGCATGGCGGCTTTACTTTGTAGTGGTTGTTTGATCGAGCCGATATGTCTGGCTAATCTTCTCGTCCCATCTCTTACAAACATGGGCCTCTTAAAGCCCCTCCATGATCATTGCCATGCCGCCCTTCGTAACTTGCGCGGGCACCTTTGTTTTCAATTCCCCAAACCGACGTACCGGCTGATACCACCTGTTTGGACTGCTCGCTCAGCATCAATCGGCCATGTCTAAACGAACTGATCCAGAGCCCGGGAAAAAGGTAGCTATTGTCGGCAGTGGCTGCGCTGGACTCGCCGCTTTATGGGCATTGAGCCGCAGTCCCCATGATGTGTACCTCTACGAGGCCGACAGTCGGCTTGGTGGTCACTCCAACACGGTCGAGTTTGTCAAGGGGAAGTACAAGGTGATGGTTGATACTGGCTTTATTGTCCTGAATTCGGCAACATACCGTAAGTTCATAGTCTATTGTCCCACTGAAATTCCAAAGCTGCCTCGACTTACTGAAGCAGCAAACTTCATCGATTTCCTCAAACTGATGAAGGTCGAATTGGAGCCCACCGACATGACCTTTTCTGTCTCACGAGATCAAGGCTGGTTCGAATGGTCTGGGTCGAGTGTAGACGCATTGTTCTGCCAGCGAAGCAACCTCATGTCCCCTAAGATGTGGCGCATGATCTTCGACATAATTCGCTTCAATTACTTCGCTTTGGATGTTCTACGTCGGGACTCGCCAACCGATGAAACAATAGGCGAGTATCTCGAGCGGGAGGGCTACTCAAGTGCTTTCCGCGACGACTACCTGATCCCAATGACAGCAGCAATCTGGAGCACAAGTCCGGATAAGTGTCTTCTAGACTTCCCAGCAGTTACACTGATCCGTTTTATGTATATTGAACCCTATACATATCACGAAACGCGCTACTAACCTTATGCAGGTGGAATCACCATCTTTTATCGACGGTGTCATCTCGTCCACAATGGCTTACTATCAAGGATGGATCAAAAACCTACATCGATAAGATTATGATGGGCTTCCCCTCAAATCATGTTAGACTCAACACCAGAGTCACTCGCCTGATCAGCGAACGCGATGGCCGTGTGCGTCTGCATACTCACAGCGGCAAATCTGAGGTGTTTGACCATGTCATCCTGGCTACACATGGCGACCAGGCCTATCAAATCATCCGCGACTCTGCCACAGATGAGGAGCACGAGATTCTGCGGCATTTCCTCACCTCAAAAAACGTTGCTGTTCTGCACTCTGACATCTCTCTGATGCCTACCTCACGGAAGGCTTGGTCAGCTTGGAACTACCTTGCGAAGTCGTCCTCACCCAACCTTAAGAAACAAACCGGTAACATCACTCAGGTGTGCCTGACTTACGACATGAATGCACTCCAGCACATCCCACGCAACATCTTCGGCAAGGTGTTAGTGACAATCAACCCGCTTCATGAGCCTGATCCCACAACCGTTCAGGGACGCTATATTTACCGTCATCCGCTGTACACTCCGGCAGCTGTGAAGGCACAACGCCGGCTGAACGAGATCCAGAACAAGCGCGGCATCAGCTACGCAGGAGCATGGACAGGGTATGGCTTCCATGAGGATGCATTCTCTAGCGGACTGAAAGTAGCAGTTGAGCATCTCGGAGCGAGCATTCCGTTCGAGTGGAGGGACTCAATGTTCCTTAGGGGAAAGAAACCTCGGCTGACGATTGGCGAATGGTTGATGAAGATGTTGATTTTATTGATCCAACTATTTGTGATCAGCGTATTCGACAAGCTCGTTGGGCCTTTCACCGGGTCCTGGAACCAAGAAAGGGATACAAAAGTCTTGTACCGAAGAACGGCAAGAAAACGGGTAGATTTGTAGCTCGTGGAACGCATCGACAGGCACGCGAAAAGGCACGCGAAGGGGCTGCTGGTCTCTGATGGGAGTATCTCAACTCTTCTGTCATCTGCTGAGTTGACATTACTCTATGTGTGTCAGAGGGATTCTGGGCAGATTAAGCTTTAAACTTATATTAAAATTGAGACATACAATTTAGACGGAGAGTAATCTTAGGTTACCCGAACGAGTACTTCTTCGAGTGTCACAACTGTTCAGTTTCATCCCCTGAGCTCATGCTTGCTTGCAGATTGATGATCTTGTTTTCTTCATAGATCTTCCCCCCTTCCAGCCTCTAGCCTGATGATATAATCTTCCGGCAGATGCCAACTGATGACAGCTGCCAAGAAGTCTAGACAAAGTTACCCCTCATGAACCTGGAGGTACCTGTACGGGGTACCTCCGCTCCCGATACAGTTATCGGATGATCCACCTTACAACGTGAAGAACACCCGAGCTCTTCCACGTCAGGCCCATCGTCGTCTTCGTTGTCGAGGCCATCTTCACCCCCGGACAAACCGACTGAGCTGGCACGACACCATGTCCCAAATACCACATTTCGGCCGGCGCTTGGCTGCAGGGGCGGCCTCGGCCTGGTCCTGCCTCTTTTGCCGCCGTGTAGGGGCTCAATGGCAATCGGCAGCTTTTGACGTTAAGCAGACCAGTGCGGTTGCGGGCACGACGAGGATCACTGCAAGACAAAGCCATGGCAAAGTCAGATTTTTCTCCCAGAGCACACCAAAGAGAGCGCAGGCACCACAGAACAAACGGCAACCGAGGGGATATGCTGCGCCGAGCATGGAACAAATGTATGAAATCTATAGAAAGCGGAATCAAACAGTGGTGTAAGTTCTTCGTTCCCTTGCTTGACTGTATTTGTACCCGTTGGCATACTACATTAGGATAGGGCCGAAGTTACTGGTGGATATACATACTAAATAAGATTCTCAGGTACTACACCATCAGCATCATCCTCGGCACAGTCGCCTTCTCGTATGGCTCGGTGCCCATGTATAAGATGGTATGCTTTTCCTTCCCTGCCTTTAATTCGACCCCATATGACTCACTGACTTCCCAGATCTGCCAAACAACAGGCTGGGGCGGTCAGCCCGTCCGGGCGCACGGCACGGCCAGTTCATCGTCGTCTCCAGAAGACCTTGCCTCCCGTCTCGAACCCGTCCGGGACGCTAAGCGCATCCGCGTGACCTTTACTGCGTCCGTCTCCAACGTGTTGCCTTGGAAGTTTGTCCCCCAACAGCGCGAGGTGCGCGTGCTGCCGGGCGAGACGGCGCTGGCCTTCTACACAGCAACCAACAACTCCGACAAGGATATCATCGGCGTTGCGACATACAGCGTCACGCCTGCCCAGGTTGCGCCATACTTCAGCAAGATCCAGTGCTTCTGTTTTGAGGAGCAGCGCTTGGCTGCTGGTGAGACCGTGGATATGCCGGTATTTTTCTACCTCGATCCCGATCTGTTGAAGGATGTGAATATGAAGGGAGTTGAGACGGTGACCCTGAATTATACATTCTTCAAAGCTAGGTATGATGATAACGGGAGGATTAGGGGCATTCCAGGACCTCTGCCCGAAGTTAATTAAACGGCTACGAAACGGTCGGGAGCAAGGAACCTGCTGGCAGGACGAGAGTGTAAATGTGTACGATTATTGTGAATGATCTTGTTAGATCGACATAGGGGTCGTGCGTATCTGGGACTAGAGAGCGGAGTATTCGGCTCCTACGACATATATAAATGGGGGCTTGTTGGCTAGGCGTTCGGAAAGGAGGAATAAACAAAGTGGTGTGAACGCAGAGGAAAATCTATGTGTATTGTACACCATCCATACTCATACATACCTCAGGCACCTGTACACGTCTAAAATATAGTACAATTGTAATGCAATATCCAAGAAGATGTAGAGTCATCACCAGACTGGCCCGCACACCACTAAGCCGCTTGCTGGGCTGCCAGCATCCTCTTCATCTTTTTCTCCTCCTTCTTTCTGCCCTTCATGCTTGGCCGCGGCCTTGACTTCTCGGGCTTCTTGGGCTTGTTCATCAGCCATGCGTTCATGGGCTTGCGGTAACCGATGAACCTCCCCTCGGGGCTGTACACGTCAACCACTGGCCATTTTGGCTCCAGGCCGTCCCAGTCCTCCTCCTCCTCCTCCTCCTCCTCTTCCTCCTTCTTCTTCTTCTCTTCCTCATCCATCCCATCCTCTTCTTCCTCCTTCGCCGCAGCCTTCTTTCTCTTCTTCGTGCGATCTACTGCATTCACAGGTTCAGGGCGCAGGTCTAACTTTCCTGGAAGCAATTCCCCATCTAAAGTTTCTGGCAAAGCAGAGACCGCCGAAGCCGTGCCGTCGAACTCTTGCTTCGCCAGCTGTTCCTTTATCTCCCGAAGCTTCTTTCTCTCTTCCTCCCGGAATAGCGACTTCGTGCGCACCTGCACCGCCAATTCGACCCAACCACAGCCTTCGATCAGGATGTCGATGCCCAGCACCCTGTATGGTAGTCGGTCAACCTTGAGACCGACAGCCTCCTTGCGTGTTAGCGGACCAGTACGTGCCTTGGTCACGTCGTAACGAAGCTGGAAGGCGCCGGCGTGCTTGATTTTCTCACCGACCCCTGGGAGCATGATGGAGTCGACGTGAGGGGCATCGGGGGACTGAGCCTGCAGTGCAATGGCCTTGGATGTCGAGGTGAGGTGTGGGGCGAGGGCCAAAGGGGTGAAGGCGTAGCCCAAGAAGATCAGCTCCTCGTCACCGTCGGCAGCCACATTACGGGGGGTTATGCGGATCAAGCCGCCACCGAGCACGAGTGACTGGCCGGGTTTGATAACTTGTTGCTTGGGCACGACACGCGCCTTGAGGATGAGGTCCTGGCGCTTGTCTTCCTGGACGAAGTTCTCCAAGTCAGAACGTGCTAGACCAGGCAAGTCGATCAGCTCACCGCGGCCGGAGCCGAAGGGCACACGAATAGGCGAGGCCGTTGTTCCCGGGAGCGAGGAAACTACGGGCATTTCAGGATAGTTGGTCTCGGGCATTGGGGGCGGTAAAAGGCTGAGATTTTCCAAGTCGTCCTCAGGAACGCGGCCGGGCAGAAGGGGATCTGAAGGATCATAGCCGTGATCGTCATCTTCGTCTAATCCTGGTAGAGCCTCCAAAGGCTTTTCCGGTTTGTGCGGGGACTTCTTGGGATAAACGGTCACTTTAATGTCGTGCTTGCTCGGCTCCTCAACCATGCGACCCTTAGGGAAGACGGCTTCGAAGAGCTGGCTCTTGCCAACATTGACCTTGCCGACCATCCAGCCGGCACCGCCGCGCTCGTAAATTTTTTCCTTGAGCTCTTTTGTCCACCAGCTCCGCTTAGCACTGACGCAATGCACATTTCCAAGTCGAATGCGGTGGCCAACACGACCCAAAGCATCCCGGAGAACCTCTTTAAAGTAGGGCATCATCTTGTCAACTTGCTCCTTTCTAGGAGCTAAAAGATCAGAGCGCGTGATGATAAAGCTCATCTCCATCAACCTTCCGCGTTTGTACTTGGCGTGTTCGGAACGGCGGTTGCGGCTGCGCAGTGATATGTCTAGCAGGCTGTGTAGCCTAGGAAGCAACGACATGGGGAAATCGGCGGCATCGATGACGTGATAGACATGGTTGCGCTTGTAGGGAGACTCTTCGATCGTGTCTCGGAGGCTTTCAATGCTTGGATGGAAGATAGGTTTGGCAGAGGAATGGTGGACAAGGTTGTGGCAGCGTTCGCAGAGGGGGGGTTTCAATGGCTTCGGCGGCTCTGGCTCTGGCTCTTTTGGTAGTAGTGACTTGAGATAGATGCCTTGTTTCTCCAGGGCATCTACGTCAATGTTCTTAAGGGCGCTTTCGATAATAGGGGTTGGGTCGGGAGCGTGTGGCTTGGGCTTCTCCTCTTCGAGACCCAAGTATTTTCGGATAGCCTTGCGGTTGAGATTGTAATACCCAGCCTTGTCAGGCTCGACGGTTTGCGCAAGCGCACCGCAACCATGACACTGCAGTGGAAGTGCTCGCTCCGGAAACTCTCTCAGCTTGGGTATCTCGGGCTGCGGGGGATGTGAATATTCGACATGAAGCCTCCTGGTCTGTATCCTTCTGGGATCCGGAGATATGCGTGGGTTACGGGTGGTAATTTCGAAGGATAGAGAGCGAAATGCTGGGCATAGGTAGATCGGGAGCTCAGCAGCGGCAATACGATCGAGACCAAAAACTCTGGATATTCCTATGCCCAATCGTGAGCAGAATGGGCGCCCTGGGGCCATTGGGAGCAAGCGGGAATGTGTTCAGCCAGTACAGGGGGGCTTGTGAGCGCAATGTTACTGTGCCGTAGTTGTTGACGCCACTCCTCGCTGCTGATTCTGTCTGGAAAACTCTTTGATTCGTGTTGCCTGCCCTTGACAGGCAATGAATGATAGATATAATTGACCTGCGTGCTTGTCTTTTTTTTTGAAAGTTCTGGATCTTGGGAAACTTTCGAGCTTTCTTTTGACAGGAGTCTGTTAAGTGGACCCATACCCCACATCTAAACCCTGTCAAGTGGGCCTTCCCGGCAGGCAAAAGCGGTGAGCCTGTGGGCCGCAGCCTATCTCTTGTTGTTGCCAAGATATGGAGTCTTCGCAATCAACCCGAACCCGCAACATGCCCAAAAATTTACAGCTCCATATCGGTAAGACCTGGCTTGCACCTTCGCCGCGCGGAACGCATCCAACAACACATACACTCAACGTGTGAGTCCCCCGCGTGACGGATTCACCGGCAACATAAACCAAGATGGTTGGCGTCATTAGGAGGTTAAACAGACTCAAGGCCGTAAGTGTGCCATGGCCCTAGAGGACTCCAACACCAAACGAGACTGCTAGCTAACTCCAGCGTGACTTCGCAGAAGGTAAATCTTATTTGTCGCTGTCTACCTCATTTGTCATCATATCGCTCTCCTGTTGACCATTTGCTCCCGCATTACAGCTCGTTAAGTTGAGAGTTGGCCCTGGGGCAGCTCTTCTTCCAGAAGATGTTACCCGGATACACATGGAGTTCGCCATGAAGCACAACGATGGGCATATGGGGCCGAGGTACGCTTTGCGCGGGGTTTGAAGCGCAATTCGATTTGGGAGCTAATGTTGTATCTCCTTTCCGATAGGAAGTTCTGGCGTGAGGCACTCCCTCGGTTAAAGTACTGGAACCCACAAATTCCCATGATCGTCAACCGGCACCGAGATCAGTCGGCCCCCGCCACGTTGAGTATCTACTTCCGCAAGCCCGGCGCGACCATCACAAAGGAGACACCGACTCCTCCGTCAGCGACAGACGGCTCGTCTAAAGCTCCTCCACCGTCTGAAGGCGAGAGTGTCGTGACAATCGATATGAAGAACCGGCACTCGGACGTCATCCTTCAGGAGTTCCTCGAGAAGACGAAGGCCCAGCTGCTGAAGCCGACGCCACAGGACGAGCAAGAGCTGCTTGACGCCAAGCAGCGCGAGGAGCAGGGCGCTATCGACCGCGAGCGCAACCGGAAGCGTCTTGAGGAGGAGAAGAGGGAGAAGGCGCTTATGGCCGCAGCGCAAGCTGAAGCTGCCGCTATCCGGGCAGCAGCGCAGCTATAAGCTCCGGCAGGATGGCTGGTGTTGTGTAATGCGAGAGATATGCCTTGCGTGTGTATAGCATTTGTATATTATTTACGACTACCCTTGAATCCGGTGTGGGCTGACATGATGATTGAGCCATTTGCTGCATGTCTGCACGAACGACAGACTTCAAAGATGGATCTGCTGGTTCTTGTAACGCTATATATGCAGTTGTCCAATGGCTTGGTTTTACTGTACACAATCTTCTAGACAGTTTTCTTGCAAGCCTTCATAAAGTTATCAAATGGGAGTTGTGAGTTTCGGGAGGGTTGTATTGGAGGGGTTAAATGTTTGAACATTGAGAATCCTCGGCAGGAAGAAGCTTGCCGGCAAGACTCCGAGGCACTGAAGACAACGAGTGAAACGGCTTTGATCAGAGAATATGAATCGGGTACGGAATGAATGCAGTGTTTCCATCTCTCCTGACGGAGATTGTGGTGGCATGAGGTCGAGTCTGGGGGGGGGTAACCTATACGGATAACACGATAGACGTGAGAGGTTCCCAGCGGGCTGCCTGGTGCCACCCTGGACGCTGCCAGACAGGCTGACGCCGCTGACCTGACCCGCTGCCAGGCCGCTGTGCATCCAACGCTGCAACAGGGGGGCGCCGCCAAGCCCCGCGGGCCTTGCTCGAACGGGCGAAAAAGGCCACGAAGTGTTCAGCCCGGCCCGTGATCCGCCCTCCCTTTTTGACCAGCTCAGCTCTCTCGCTACCCGCATCGTGAGGAGAGTTGGCCATTTTCATTTATCATCCATCCCCGTCGTCTTCGACTTTGACTTTACTTTTGCTTTGACTTTGACTGGGGACGATTTTTGTCCGGTGTGCATCCGTCCCATTGGTAACGTCGCAGTCAATTAACGGCGTTTCCAAGTTTACTGACTTTTCGATTTTCTTCGACACGCTCGTTTATCACCGTTTCATTAATTGGCAGCCGTCCGCTCTCCCTTCTCATCCTACCGCATTCTCTGTGCGTTCCAGTTTTGCGGCTCGTCCGCTAACCCCGTGAAGAACATCGCGTGAAATCTGGTTTCCTACGACGAAGACGGCTTGACGCGTGTTTGGTTCCCATCACAACATTGCCATGGCTTCGAGCGACAGGCCCGCTGTCGCCTCGGGCGCTGACGTCGGCGATGCCTTGAGGCGTCGCAATGTGCCCGGCGCCCAGCCCGCTGCCGCACAACAGCAACAGCCCCAGCCCGAGGAACAGAAGAAGGAGAAGAAGGTGCGCGCGCAAGTTTTGTCGCATTCCTGGCCAATTTTCGAAGCTCATCTTGCAATACCTTGCCCAGCTGCTGACATGATTCTTGCTATGCGCTCAGGGCCCCTCTATCCTCCAGGTTTTCGATGAGTGGGAGTGGGTTATTGCTCCTGTGATCTTCACAGCTCTCGCCTTCTTCACTCGGCTCTACAAGATCGGTCTCTCCAATATCGTGACCTGGGACGAGGCTCAGTCAGTAGCTCCCATGTCTCACTGCGTGATGTGGCACTCACCCGCTGACCATTCCTCCTGAACAGTTTCGGCAAGTTCGGCAGCCACTATCTAAAGCGCGAGTTCTACTTTGACGTTCATGCAAGTTAAACACCCCCTCTGCAACGGACGAGACGGCACCCTAACCGACGTGAACCAATTCAGCCCCCTGCAGGAAAGCTTTTGGTTGGCCTTAGTGGCTGGCTTGCTGGTTACAATGGCTCCTTCGAGTTCAAGTCGGGCGAGACCTACCCCGCGGAGGTTAATTATACATTCATGCGCCAGTTCAACGCCTTCTGGGGCGCTGTTTGCGTGCCCATGGCCTACTGGACTGCTAAGGAGCTCCATTTCAAGCGCCCGACTGTTTGGCTCGTCACTCTGATGGTCCTTTGCGAGAACTCGTACACCACCATCAGCCGCTTTATCCTGCTCGATTCAATGCTCTTGTTTGGTACCGTCGCTACTACGCTCTGCTGGGCCAAGTTCCACAACCAGCGCAAGAATCCCTTCGAGCCCGAATGGTTCTTCTGGCTGTTCATGACTGGTCTGAGCATTGGCTTCGTGTGCAGTGTCAAGCTGGTCGGTCTTTTTGTCACCGCGCTTGTTGGCCTCTACACCATTGAAGACCTGTGGAACAAGTTCGGTGACACCAAGATGCCTTGGGTAAGTCTCACTTCTTGTCTAAGTAATCCCCTAAGCTTGGCATGCTGACAGCAGGCAGTCTGAGTTGGCTGCTCACTTCTTCGCCCGTGTCGTTGGCCTCATCATCCTGCCCTTCCTCATCTATCTTCTCAGTTTCGCCATTCACTTTGCTGTCTTGACCAACAGCGGCCCGGGTGACGCCCAGATGCCTTCGCTGTTCCAGGCTAATCTGCGGGGTACCTCTGTCGGCAGAGACAGCCCCCTGGAGGTTGCCTATGGTTCACTGGTGACCATTAAGAACATGGGCTATGGTGGTGGCCTTCTTCACAGCCATGTTCAGACCTACCCGGAAGGCTCGACGCAGCAGCAGGTGACCTGCTACCACCACAAGGATGCGAACAACAACTGGTTCTTCTACCCGAATCGCCACGACGTCCCCTATGACCCAAATGCTCCGCCCCGTTTCATTGGCAACGGCGATGTCGTCCGCCTGCTCCACGCCCAGACTGGTCGCAACCTTCACTCTCACACTATTCCGGCCCCGATCACCAAGTCCCAATGGGAGGTTTCTGGCTATGGCAATCTTACAGTTGGTGATGACAAAGACCACTGGCAGATTGAGGTTGTCAAGGACACTGCATCTCGTGACTACAGCAGGATCCGCACTCTTACCACAGCCTTCCGCCTCAGGCATAAGGTTCTGGGCTGCTATCTGCGTGCTGGCAATGTTAATCTTCCTCAGTGGGGCTTCAAGCAGATTGAGGTCACTTGCACTAAGGATAATAACCCTCGTGACAAGTACACACACTGGAACATTGAGCAGCACACCAACGAGAAGCGTGAGTTTCTTGAGCAGATGTCCGTTTGTCAAGGAGAAGGCTAACCAAAGCAGTGCCCCCTGGCAACCCTAGCCTGTACAAGTCGCCCTTCTTCCAGGATTTCATTCACCTTGTATGTTTATCTTAAGTCAGTTACGGCCTACATGATGACTAACAACACGTTTTAGAACGTTGCCATGATGACCTCTAACAACGCGCTTGTCCCTGACCCGGACAAGCAGGATGACCTTGCGTCCAAGTGGTGGCAGTGGCCCATCCTCCACGTCGGTCTTCGCATGTGCAGCTGGGACGACAAGGTTGTGAAGTACTTCCTGCTGGGCAACCCGGCAGTCTACTGGGGCTCGACGGCCAGCCTGGTGGTGTTCGGCGGTCTGGTGGCCTGGTACTTGATCCGGTGGCAGCGCGGCTACCGCGAGCTTTCGGCCTCTGATCTCGACCAGATTCACTACGCCGGCGTGTACCCGGCCGTGGGTTGGTTCCTTCATTACTTGCCCTTCATCATCATGGCGCGTGTCACGTATGTGCACCATTACTACCCGGCCTTGTACTTCGCCATCTTGACTTTCGGCTTCCTGGCGGACTGGTTCCTGCGGAACCGTGGTAAGGTGACGCAAACCGCTGTGTTCGGCGTGCTTTATGCCGTCGTCATTGGGCTTTATATTTACTTCATCCCCATCTGCTTCGGCATGACTGGACCAAACAAGAAGTACAGGTATATGAAGTGGTTTGACAACTGGAGGATGTCGGACTAGAGAAAACGAAGTAGGTTCGCGGAAGAGGGAATGAGATAAGAAGGGGAGAGGTGTACTATACAGTGCGTGGATGGACAGTTTGAAAAGGATCGGCGAGGAAGAAAACAAAAAGAGGGACACTACGACTTATCACTCCAGGCATGGTAAACCTGGAAAAGGCATATCAATCGCTGCCTATAATACCGGCAGTTGGCAAAAAGGAACAGACCCAGCCAGTTGGTATTGTAATATCTGGGATGAATCTCTCGCTCTTTTTGCTCTTTTGCCTTTTATCTTATGTGGGCATACGTAGGTAGCTGTCGGTTACAATCTAGACTTATTCGTCTTATTGACGTATGATGGTGGTCAAATCATAAATAATCAGCCTTTGGTGGTTGTATATACCTATTGATTACGGGCGCTGGCCAACAAGTGTGATGTGCTAGAACTTCCTGACTTGGTATCTCTCTACCAGCTCACTGATTACAAAAGCTCGTATGTATTACAAGGTGGTGTTGGGAAGCCAACCCATGCTCCATCTTCTCTAGCTGTTCAGGTAAAGAAATCCAGCAAGCAGCAGCACCAAAGTTAAGCTGACCACGGAAGGCTCTCTTTGTCCCTATTCCGGCAACTGTGCATGGGATAGACACACGCAAACATCCCTCCATCGAAAAAAAAAAGAAGAACATCTGCCAATTGCTCCAGCCACATATACATTTCTCAACAACACCCCCCCGCCACCCCCTTCGCATTCCCCCCGGTCAACTTCACCGACCCCCCTCCTCCCCCTCTCCCCGGTCCCGATCCTGATGTACCCCCAGCCTGCAGGGCATGCGCCCCTTTGACCCCCGAGCGCCGGTCATTCAAATCGTATTTCCCGGCCTGTATGTTCTGGAAGATTTTCTCGGCCACGCGCATGAAGGCCTTCTCGACGTTCTCGCCGCTCTTGGCGCTCGTTTCGACGTATTCCAGTACGCCGTTGCGGCGGGCCCAGTCCTCGGCTTCGGCGCGCGTGACTTCACGGCGCGGAGGGGGGCCGATGACCCCTTTCTTTTGGTGGGGAGAGTAAGGGTAGGAGGGGGGTTGTGAGGGCGATTGCGTAGAGTTGTTGTCGGCTGAGGGGGGTTCGGCGTTAGCGAGGTCGGCTTTGTTACCGACTAGGACGACGACGATGTCTGGTTCGGCGATCTGCCGTAGGTCGTTGAGCCAATCGGTGACGTGCTCGAAGGTCGAGCGGCGCGTTAGGTCAAAGACGAGCAGGGCGCCCGAGGCACCCCGGAAGTATGACCGCGTGACGGATTTGTAGGTCTCCTGCCCGGCTGTGTCCCACAGAGACAGCTTCATGTGTTTCTGCTGCGGGTGTGGCGGCGCCTCGCCGGGCTTTTCGGCTGGTACTATCCTGGGCTCGGGCAGCCCGCCGGCGGTTGTGCTACTGTTGTTACCGTCATCGGTGGTTGAGCTGCTGCTGTTGTTGAGGGGGGATTCGGAGGAGTTCGAGTAGGGCGGACCGACGGGAACGATACGTGACCCGAATTCAACGCCAATGGTGACGTCGTGATGGGTAACGAAGCGGCCCTCGCAGAGGCGGATGGTCAGGGAGGATTTGCCGCAACCCGAGTCGCCTATGCAGACGAGCTTCGCGATGTAGTCCCAGGGTGGAGAGGACATGGAATGATCGGCGTGAATGGTGGGATTGGAGAATGGAGAGAGCTCTGAGGATACCGCTGCAATGGGAATTGCGTTGGTGGGATGAGTTGAGTACAGCTACCTGCTCAGAGGAACGGACTTGGAGGTCACTGGCGTCAGTTCAGGAGGTTTGGTTAAAGAGCGTTGAAGCTGGGCCGAGGGGATCAATTGCTTAAGGCTGGGAAGCTTCGTCGGTGTCGCGGGGAGGTGTCAGCGGCCCATTGGATCTCGTGAGCAGCAGGCTGACGCTGGAGCTGGCTGGCGGCTTGGCGCAAGTGCTGGTGCGTGGGGGGCAATTGTTGGGCCTTTGGCGGGGGTTCAAGATGCTGAGAGGGAAGTAGAGTGCTTCTAGGGTACACCGTACATAGGCCTCACAGTGCTCTGGAAAGGCAACGAGACCGCAACACATGGAAAATTGATATCAAAGAAATTTGGTTGGTGATGATACTGCGGAAAAGCAGACAGCACAGCGATTGGTGTGTCAGTGTCGGTGTCAGTTATCTGCAAGTTGCTGGCATTAATCGTGCAGGTCGCGAGGACGGGTGGCGTGAGCTCGCGGCCAATCCAATGTGGACAGCAGAGAACGCAATGGCGGGGCTAAGGTGTAGGTCCTTGGAACCGCAAAGCCAGGAAGGGACGGCAGTAGTGTATGTACATATTTGCTTACACATTATCGGGACGGTGTGGAGTATTGCAGCTTGTCAAACCAAATCACCAATGGGGTATACTGCTGCTGCCTTGCTGCTGCAACCTTACGGAGACATTCGGTGATGTCGAGCAAAATGCTCGCATGTGTCGTCTGGCTTTTCTTTTTCATCGAAGCTGTTTCTAGATGCACATAGCGGTGCTTTGATATGCAAGTACGGGAAGCTTCCCCGGATGAGCTGCATGTGGTCAAGGGACCCATGTCCCATGTCCGATCGGAAAAAGTCAAGTGGGTCTGGGATCGGCCAAGGCGCAGTCATGGCGTTCTGCTGCTCTCGTGGATGACCGCCCGCGTTGTCACAGGTCGCTTTCACTGGCTGGCTGCCTTGGCCTCCTCGCCTTGGCACCTGTGGCCTTGTTTGACGCATCGCTTGACCCGTTGACCGCCCGGCCGCCGCCATTTCGTTGTCGGTTGTCCGCTCAACCTTGAAGCTGCAACTCTCCTGCCAACAGCATTTTTTCTTCATGGTATGCCCTGGGAACCCGAAGGCTGGATGAACGTGGAACTGCATGGATGACTGAATCCTGCTGCTTGCGTGCATCTCGAGTTCCTGACTGCCATCCGTCCATCTGGCTGGAGTATCTCGAGAACCTATCCAAACCCAGGCAGCTACCAAGTAAATTCTCTTGGAACATGAACATTCCGGCTCGCGAACAGACCACCCAGCCTGAACACGAGTAACGGCAGAGACCATCATCACGCATCACGAAAGCCGCCTAAGCCATAAACCCGTCAGACTCTCTTGGCCCTTCTCTACAGAGTGAATTTAAAACCCACCTGACTTGTATACGGCGATCTGGTTTTGAGGACCGTTGTGGCCGGTAGCCTTCAGATTTATATACATCGCCTTGGCCATAGACACCTAGATAGGTCACAGCGCGCCCCCTAGAAGCAAAGCCAAGCCCCTCGGTAGGGGGCGGCTACATCTCTCGACATGTTTTCCGAATGTAAGCTTGCTCGCTCCCCAGCTCCCCATTTTCCCGACTCTGCGATGCGCTTACATAGGCTCACTCTGTTTCCTGTCAGATGCCTCCCGATTCCTCGCACAGTCACAGTCCCGCCTGTCCAGCTTCGGCCAGACCGGCGATGGAGATAGGCCATCACGCCCGGGGGATTGGACAAGCAGGGGCTCGCGCTTCGCAAGTCGTGGATATTTCGGTCGCGATAGGAACCCCTACCAGCCGACAAGCTCTCGCTTTGGCAGTCTAGCTGCCTTCGGATCTCGCTATGCCCAGGATGCCCCTTTGTTCCAGGCCACACTCGAGCATGACGAGGACGACGAAGAGGAGCGCGATCGCGAGGCGGCTGACCTATACGCCTTGCAGCGATCGCGTCGTGTCTTTGCCGCCAGCCGCCTGGACGAGAGTACAGAGACGGAGAATGACGGGAGCCGCGCATCGTTGGACCGGAGCCGCGATTATCCGTCGGGAACGCTGGGGGAGCGTCTGCGCGGCATTCGGAGCAGTTGGAATGGCGCCGGGTCACATTCGCAGAGGAGGACAGACGACAAGGATAGGGAACGGGGGAGGTCAGCGTCAAGTAGAAGCGATGACGATCGGATGGATGACGTTGGCCTGGAGTCGACAATATCTGACGGAGAGCCGCCCGTCGATCTGACGGTTGAGACGCCGACGGACAACGACCCTCCAGCCTTCCAGAAGTTTACCTCGACCATTCCGTCACGACAGCCGCTCAGGAGAGCGTCCGTAAATGACTCGGAGTTGGGGCTGAACCGTCCTCCCAGTTCTTTGGATGAGAACTTGAATGATGCCGTTGCGCCGTCTACCCCGCATCCCATTATCGAGGGCGAGATCTTCCGGCATGATGCCTTCTTTGCATGGCTCTACCTCATCGCCCAGGCGTCACTGTTCTCGACCTTTGTGTTGGTCTACCTGCACACCGAAGGCGGTAGTGATGGGCCTTTGGGTGACACCATTTATACTACGCTGCGGGCATCCTTTCACCTGCTGGCCGTGGACACGCTTGTATCGATCGTCGTGTCGCTGGTGTGGCTTGCAGCACTGCGGTCGTTTGTCAAACCGTTGGTGTCGCTGGTGCTGGTAGCTGTGCCAGTCATACTAATTTCCTTCTCACTGTACCCCTTTATTACCAGCTTCAAGCCATCTGGCGGCAGCACGCGACTCCAGGATACAGTAATGCGATGGGCATCTCTTGTACCTGCCTCGTCGGCAGCCGTGTGGTGTTATCTCGTCTACAAGGGCCGACACGCGCTGCGATCAGCAGTTGGCATCCTCGAGTTCGCCAGCCGCATCCTGGCTGCTAACTCGGCGCTGGTGCTGGTCGGAATGGGCTGTCTGGCCCTGATCGTGGTCTGGACTTGGGTATGGATAATCATGTTCACACGTGTGTTCCTCGGCGGCAGCTTCTCCAGCCGGCTGGCGCGGTTCGTTATTAGCACCTCAAGCTGGTGGCTTGGCGTCTACTTTGTGCTCATGTACCTCTGGACGCTCTCTATCATCTCGGGCGTGCAGCGCAGCACCACCGCCGCGACAGTATCCCAGTGGTACTTCCACCGCAACGCCATTCCCGCTGTCACGTCGCGCGATGTAGTGTCTGCTGCCCTAGGCCACGCTCTGACCACAGTCTTCGGCACCATAAGCATGTCTACACTCCTGGCCCTCGGCATACGCCTGCCACTCCTCGTCCTCCCTCAACGCATCTCCAACCTCATCACCGTCTTCGCCTACCACTTCATTCCTACCCCGATCGCCGCCCTGACCAACCCACTGACCCTCACCTACGCAGCCATCCACTCCCAGCCTCTAACCGCTGCCTCGCGAGGCCTCAGCCAAATGGACTTCCTTGCTCCCCAGCGCCCAACAACCACGCTCACACCTGCCTCCCTTCCTCGTAAGGGCTCTGCGCAACAAGTTGATCAGTCCTGCGCTCCGCTACTCCCCTACCGACTATCGAAGCTCATCCTGCACGCTACGCGCTTCATCATGGCCGTTGCGCTCGGCTTCGCAGGCTGGGTGATCACGTCCCGGCAGCTGCGCATCGAGCGGCCAGATGGGGCGGGTGTGAGGGGAAGCGCGTATGCGTATGTGGTTGGGCTGGTGGCGAGCTTTATTGGGTGGGGCGTGTTGGGAGCTATGGAGGGCGTTTTGAGTGGGATCGTAGATGCCGTGGTTGTGTGTTATGGAAGCGAGAAGAGGATGGCGACCGGGGCCGGAGGTTATTGTATGGAGGCGCAATGGTTGTTTGGGGAGCATCGGGATGGGAGGTATGCTTACTGAGCGGCCTCTTGCGAATGGGAGGTATGGATGAACTAAGTGTTTTTTTTTTTTTCCTTTATTTCGAGAATTAAGCGTGGCGTCTTATATGGGATGAATGGGAATGGGTTCTTGGAGCCCCTTGTGAGGGTAGGATGAAAGGGGAATGAATGGATGGATGGATTGGTCAGCTCACATGTCTTCTTTGCTTTCTTATGGGTGAGGTTTATGATTCTACGACTTGCATGGGCTACGTTACAAGAACTTGGCTGGCTTTGGCTCTGGGTAGACAGGAGACATACAGGACAAGGTCGAGTGGGCCGAGTATTGCTACGGGGATATCTGGTGTACGTATGATTTATATTCTCAAGATGCATCTTTACCAATACAGTGAGGTACCTAGCTATATGGGAATGCTTCGTCATACGTATCCCACTCAGCTCGCTGTGGAGCAGAAAAGCGGGACTCACCCTCTTCCGAATTCGCGTCTGCAAGTCATCATCAAGCCACAAACTATGTGGGGTCGAGACTCTATTGCCTGCAGTGACCTGACTCCAGTGAGTGTGGCGACGTTGCGTCAGCGACTTACAGTAAATTAAGACGGAGAGTTTGGCTTCTTGTGTAAGTGGTGTTTGGACTTGCTGGACCCTGACGGGCTGAAACGACAACGGTTCGGTTACTTAGGACGGTCCGCTGCGGCGGTTAGGCAGGAGATAGGAAATCAAACCAGACGAAGGGCGAGCCTGCTTGTGGGAGGTAACGTGTAGGTAGTTGCTGAGTGAGTCCCCGCCAGGAGGCCGCGAGGCAGTGCTGGACCGCAGGCATGACGATTGTCCAAAGCCTCGCAATCCAAGTCGCTCCAACATCCATGATTCGCCGCCGGTGTTGCCATCGACTACATGCCTCCTTGCCCCTCTTCTGATGGAGGACTAGTATAATGGATCGCAAGGCTTGGATTTAAGGCTTTGCTCGTCGAAGCCTCGTGCATACGTAACCACTCCGCTTCCACGTTACCCCCAAATTTCAAGGCCCAGGGACCGAAACATCCAAGCACCCAAGAACCCATGGAGGCCTCTTGTGCCCAGCGTGCCAAGTGAAACACTGCACCTGTTCGTCTGCGAGCTGCCGTGTTAAAAATACAAGAGCAATCGTCTCCCACACCCCGCTCATCTGCCATACTCGAGCCATCTTCAATCTCGTGCAAATCAATTTACGTACCCTGCCCCCACTTGTGTCATTAACGATATCGCCGGTCGCTCTGGTCACTTTGACTTCGTCTCATCCTCTCTCACGTTCGTCCGAGTTTCTCTACGAAACTTTTCTTGACCCTCAATCCCCAAACCACCATGGTTGACTTCCAACCCCCGGCTGGGCCTCCTCCGCCTAAAGTCCCCGAAGGCTGGGTGGTGCGCTGGAACGAGCAGTACAAGGAATGGCAAGTCATCCCTCACTCATCTGATCCTCTCATTTTCAAGGCCTCACAGCTGCTAACGTTTCCTCACAGGTACTACGTCAACATTTATACCAAAGTCTCCCAATGGGAGAAACCCACCGAGCCAGCCCGCCCTCCCGAGCCCGCAAGCGAGGCCCCGCCCCCGGGCCCTCCCCCATCCTACACTGGCGGCAACACCTCGTCTCCAGCAACCGACTCCAAAACTAGCAACAACCCTTTCCTTTCTGCCACCAACACTGGCACTACCAGCACAAGCAATCCGACCCCCTCCGAAGAAGATGACGAGCGCCTAGCCAGACAGCTCCAAGCTGAAGAGGACGCGCGTGCGGCGGCCGCGCTGGCGGGATACCCTCCGGCCGGGATCTCAACCTCAACCTCAGCGGCCAATGCGACTCCTTCGTCATCAGCCTTCCCGACCGAACTCCCTCCCCGTCCCGGAAGCTCCTCTGCTAACCGCGGAAGTTCTGGGAAGAGTGGCAGTGGTACCAAGCTGCTCGATAAATTGCTAAGCAAAGTCGCCGGAAGCAAGCATTCTAAGTATCACCCGCCGCCTCCGCATCCTGGACCGCATCCTGGACCGGCTGGATTCTTCGCCGCGCATCCTCCTCCGCCTCCCCATCCCGGGCCCCATGGGCCTCCTCCTCCGCCGGGAGGTTTCTTCACACCTCCTCATGGTCACGGGCATCCCCCGGAGCCGCATGGCCCTGGCTTCCACGGCTTCCATCCCCCTCCCCCCGGTGGCGGCTTCTTTGGCGGGCATCACCCCCCTGGGCACGTCTTCGGCCACGGTCACGGCCATCATGGTGGTAAGAGTAGAGGAAGCGGGATGGGCATGGCAGCTGGCGCAGCGGCGCTGGGTGTTGGCGCCGGGTTGGTCGGTGGCGCGCTGGTGGCAGATGCGGTAATGGATGCGCAAATGGATGCTTATCAGGAAGGGTTCGGTAAGTTTTCCCCATGGCATTCATAAGGCTTTCCATGATCGTAAGTGAGGTTGCTGACTCGTGAACTTCACAGCGGATGGGGCTGATTTCGGAGGGGGCGATTTTGATTTCTGAGGTATGAATTTTGGCTGGTGATTGAGAGTAGCCCATATTAAAATGGGCTGTATACTGAAAGCATCTGAAGTTTACCTGCATGGGAATATTCCTTGCGATGGCGGATACCTTGGTGTCTTTTCAAAGGGGAAGTGGGAAGGAATAAGGGCCCTAATATCTATCGAGGATGAATGGCTTCATCGTAGCTTAGGAAAGGGTAATGGACTGTTTTTCTGTTGGTGACATAAGCTCCCGGTGCTTTTATGATATATGATTTAAGGTTGGCAGGCATCATTGTCATCAGCCGAAGCTAGGCCAACCTGCAAGCCAAGCTGCGGTTTCGTCTGTAATCAGCCCTGAAGTCTCAGCCAGCCTGTTCACTCATTATAGTACACATTAGCTTCTGGCCTCGAAACCAGTAGCATTCCCGCAGGTATTCATGAAAAGCATCACGCTTATTATCCCATTATTCCAACTATATGTCTAAATTAAAGTACGCAGTTCTTCTATTCCCCCGTCTATCCTCCCATCTTACCGCTTCTTTTTATTGTCTCCTTTCCCATTATCCTGCTTCTTCTTTGACGACCCAGCCAAGAAGGCCGCCATATCAAAGTTGGCCATCGGATTTTCTCCCTGTGCGGCCCCCATAAGCGCATTCATCGGGTTCTCCTTCTGACGCTGCTCCCACTCAGCGCGCATCTCAGGGTCCACTGCAACAAACACATTGTCAGCGCCGTGTCCTTCTTGTAGAAAGGGCGATTCGGAGACAACTTACTATTCTCAACTAGCTTCGGCATCCCCGAGAACATTAACATGCTGACCAGGCCCAGCAAGACGACAGGACTCTTGAATATGCTCAGCATCATAGGCAAGACTGTCCCAACGAAGTCAGCAACTTATCTACCTTCAAAACTGTTTGCCTCTTTTCTCCCCCCTCCCCCCTTCCCCTTCCCAAATCTGGGCCCCAGAAAGTATACTCACATTTAGGCCTCTCCATATAATACCCCTTCTGCCCCGTCACCTTCACATCTACCACAAACCCCCTTTCGTCCCCCTCAACATTAAACCTTTCCCCCGTATTTCCCCACTCGTTTCCTCGAAACGTCTCCCACACTTTCACCTCCCACCCATTACTATCCTTATCATCCCCATCAGCTGGAGCCAAGACATCGACACGCATAGGCACGAACCCATGCGTCCGACAATGAACCTCCGCCAAATAACTCCCTGCACTGAGGTTCTGAAACACGAAACCGTTGTCGGAGGACAAGGGCGCGGAGAGGATCGTGCCTAGCGTCGAGAGTGTTGCGCGCGTGGAGGAGGGGAGGGTGTGTGGGTTAGGAAGGGGTTGAGAGGGGGGAATACGGAGAGTTAGTTTTGTTGTGGTCGTGGTGCTGGTTGCTTTGGCGGTTGTTGGGGAGGGCGCTAGAAGCGCGAGGCTTAGGGTTAGGAGAGATGGGAGGTTGAGCTGCATTTTGGATGGGAGCTCGGCTTCGTGGCGGCGACAGTTATGCTGAGGATGGTGGAAAGTTGATGATGACGGCTTGGGATAGGGAAGGTTCAGCAAGCTGGTGTGGGGGGGGGGGGGGCGGCCCTCTGACGCGATGTTAATGGCGACGAGACAGACGAGGTACAATGGTTCATGGATCTAGCAGTGGCATGTGATTGGCTGATTGGCACAAGTAAGTTACAGATCCATACGTTCATTGCGTGCTGCGTTACGGTAACATTACAGAAGTGGGGTGTAATCATCCGGACAGTTTCTCTTCGATCACTTTAAAGCTCCTCAAAACATGTATGAACGAAGACGAAAAATACCAGATCATTCGTAAGTATCATATATATTATACCATGCCCATTCATCACTCATTACCCAGAGTACCTAAACCCAGACATACTATAAGCAAATCACAGGTGATCTATAATTGAAATATTTCCCCATTTTTCTAGTTGGCCGCCTCCAAATAGCCCGCCTCAGCCGCCGCCTTGAACGACTGCTCAAAGTCGGCAATGATATCATCGATGTGCTCGAGACCAACCGAGATACGGATGAGGTCCTACATAGAGAGTCAGTCATGAGCAATTAGCCATTTCGCATTTCGGGGGCAAACATACCTCGGTCACACCAGAGCTGATCTTCTCCTCGTCAGTTAGCTGCTCGTGAGTCGTGGTCCAAGGGTGAATGGCCAGCGTCTTAGCATCGCCGACGTTGGCCAGGTTGGACACGAGCTTCAGGCCGTCAACAACGCGCGAGCCAGCCGCGCCGCCGCCCTTGACACCGATGCTCAGCACACCGCCGAAGCCGCGCTTGAGGTACTTCTTGGCCGTCGCGTGCGACGGGTGAGACTCCAGGCCCGGGTACGAGACCCAAGCGACGTAGGGGCTTTGCTGGAGCCAGTGGGCCAGAGCTAGCGCGTTCTGGGCGTGCCTCTCAGCGCGCAGCGACAGCGTCTCCAGACCGAGCAGCAGCTGCTGCGCACCGAAGGGGTTGAGACAGGCGCCGAGGTCGCGCAGGAGCTCGACGCGCACGCGGATGGCGTAGGTGATCGGGCCGAAGGTCTCCCAGAACTTGAGGCCGTGGTAGCCCTCGGACGGCTCGACCATCTGCGGGAACTTGTCGCCGTGCTTGCCCCAGTCGAACTTGCCGCTGTCGACAATGACACCGGCGATGGTGGTGCCGTGGCCGCCGATCCACTTGGTCGCGGAGTGCACGACGATGTCGGCGCCGTGCTCGATTGGGCGCACAAAGTAGCCGCCCGCACCAAAGGTGTTATCGACCTAGTGGTGGTTAGTGATTTGGGTCTCCATTGACGGAGCGAATGCGGGCCTATTAGGAGTACATACCACCAGCGGGATGCCAGCGTCGTGGGCGACCTTGGCAATGGCCTCAAAATCGGGGACGTTATAGCGCGGGTTGCCAATGCTCTCAATGTAGACGGCCTTGGTCTTGTCGTCAATGGCAGCAGCAATGTCCTCTGGCTTATCGCCGTTCACGAACTTGGTCGTGATGCCCAGGCGCTTAAACAGGATCTTGAACTGGTTGTAGGTACCGCCGTACAGGTTGGACGTCGCAACAATGTTGTCACCGGCGTGCGCGAGCGCCGCGATGGCCATGAACTGCGCGGCCTGCCCGGACGAGGCCGCAACAGCGGCAACACCACCCTCGAGGGCCGCGACTCTCTTCTCGAAAACATCAACCGTGGGGCTGTAGGAGACGCCGAGTAAGCATACTGCTTGTATCGATGGGCGAGAGAAGGGAGCTGCCTACTTCATGATCCGCGAGTAGATGTTACCAAACTCCTTGAGGCCGAAGAGCCGGGCACCGTGGGCCGAGTCATTGAAGACGTAGCTCTGTTCCTCCGTCAGCACCATTTTTGCTCCCTCTCTGCAGAGACCTCGCCAGAATCACTCACAGTCGTGGCGTAGATGGGGACGGCACGGGCATTAGTCGTGGGATCCGGCTCCTGGCTGCTCATCTGTCAGTCTCTGCCCTCCCCACGTGGTCCTGGGAGTGCACGGCTGCCGTAACGTGCTTACCCCGCGTGGAGCTGGAGAGTCTCGAACTTGAAGTTTTGCTGAGACATGGCGACGGGCTGGCTAGTAGTAGAGGATGAGGGGTATCAAGGGGTATCACAGAAGCAAAGTTGAGAGCGTTGCCGTTGAAACAAGCAGTTGAGAACGAGAGCTTTTCTGTCTGTCTGTCTAATACCGGGCACTAGGAAGATGGAGAAGATCGGAAGCAGTGAGGAGCAATCGGCGACGGCCTGTATCTTTTTATAAGATTCTGCGACTGGCTACAGCTACTGCCTACACCCCAACCTGAACTTTCCCGCTCACCCGCGCTCTCCATGTCTTGTCTCCAAGGTGCCCACGTTCCGGGGTGGCATCTCTGAGTTTCTGTTACGGGACAACACTGCGTCCTGCGCGGCATCAAGGTGCATCCAGGTGCACCAGTCGTGTGCGATGGTACTGGATGGTACTGGGGAGGTGGGGTGAAGCGTCGAGCACGCAATCGCGCCATCGGTCCATGGCGCGGGGCACCCACGCCAGAAGCACGAAGCACAGCCAAAGAGAGAGCATCATTGCCCATTGCACACTCTCAATTGCCCACCTTTGACTCTTTGCTCGTCTCACGCCTGGCTTCTTTGGCGAGATTTTGCGTTGTTCGTCATACAATCGCCTTCATGTTCTCAAATTTTGCGATCATGGCGCTCCGTTCCGCAGGCCTTGGTGCTTACTGTCCTTGCGTCTCTGACGAGCGCCAAGCCTTACTTATCACTTATCGCCCTGGCCCTGGACGTGGGGCAGAGTCGCCGGTGTTCGGAGGGCCTTACGAGGTCGAATGTCTCACATCACTTTGGCCCTCAAAAAATTTCATCCCTGTAACAAACCGTTGGGGAGTCTAGCCAGACGCAAGCACAAGCATGCAGTTGGATTTGTTCACAGGAGGACTGACAGCATCATAGCCAAATCAGGCCTGGCTGGAGGATGCACTGTGACTTCGGGAAAGGCACTTGCGCGGTGTAGCTTCGGGCCCGGGCCGTTGGGACATCGTTGAGGACCCCGTTTCCAGATATCCCTCCTGTCTCATTTGTCGCTGCCCCTCCCTCCCCTCCACCCCTGTTGCCAGCTCTCCATCTTCAAAGAACATCCACCGATGGGTGCAACCTGCCATGTCGATCGATCACCTCTACCTTACAAATGTTTACTGCACCTCACGAGGCCGGGGCTATGTTGCTATTTAGTGTGATCTGGCGCCTAGATTACGCTCCTGGCGTTACTGTGCGATAATATCTTGACAGACTGCAGAGTTGCTCAAGATTCACACCTTTAAATGGTTTGAGTTGCGACTGGGTGTTCTTTAGTCCTCCCAACGAATTACAACAGTCTGGCAGCCAAGACTCCTGTAGCAGTCCTGAATGGATTCCGAATGGATTCCAAGCTGTTGTGCGTAATCATCATCCAATTGTCGTCATGTATGACATTCTGGGTCTACATAGCATACGCAACCTGACTGCCAGTGTCCAAAATGGCAAGCAGTGCAAAGCCAATGGTAGAATGTCAAAAAGCCACCACGAATGATAACCCATCTCAGGACGTCAAGTCCTTGCTTGTCCTGTTCGTCTGCAGCATGCGGCTCTCAAGCCGATGTGAGATCGTTATCTCCGAGGAAGACTGATCTTGTTCTCTCCCGGTACCATGTCACTACCCCGACGTCCGGTGGGAATTTTGAAGTACAAAGGTAGTATACATAACGCAAGCGTAAGTGTAGCCTACCAGCTACAATAGTTCAGCCCACATCTCTGTAACACCCGTAGTAGGGCTGAAAAGAGACTCATTGCTGGGATCTAGCATGTCAGGTTCCTCCCGTCCTTCCAGAGCACACCCCCTTCACATTCGCACAAATTTTATCAATGTAGGAAGAGTTGCGAGCCGACATAGAATCCAAAGTTACAGCACCTCAACCAAGAAAAATCGATGCCTTTTCTAAGCAGATTGAGCAGCCGCGTCAGTTTGCTCTGCTGACGCCGGCTTTATCCCGGCAGCTTCTTTGTTTGTTTCCTCCCCTTTCTCGGCCGCCGCCCCCTCCTGCTGCTGATTGCCCGATCCGCGCTTCGACTTGTACAGCGCGAGCGTCGACGACACCGCCGAGACCGTCCACAGCGCGAAACTGAAGGATGTGAACGCGACGTCAGCCCGGGCGGCCTGGCAGATTGACCCACGGCAGAAGTGCAGTCGGCCGAAGAAGGCGCACAGCGCGGCGAAGCCGGACAGCCAGAAGAGCGCGTTGGACATGTCGAGGGGGAAGGTGATGTAGTGATGTTGGACTGTCCAGGGTGTTGGTTAGGGAAGGTTAGCGAATGAGTAGTTGATGAGGGAAATACATACTCCGTGGGATGAGCCATGGCAGGCAGTATAAGCCGGCGAGCGAGAGTAGCGACCAGACGGAATTGAACACGAGGAAGTTGAACTCAACGGGTGAGAAGATGATTGTCTTGGTTTGGTACCAGTGGATGACTGTTAACTTAGTAAGTCAAGGTCTCAGGTACCGTCAAAGTGCTGTTTGCTGTTCCTCACCAGATGCCGAAAGGCCCAACACTAGCAAAGCAAAGATGCCTTGGACGACTCGAAGAGCAATGACTAGTTTGGCCATAAACATGGCCTTATCCTCGAAAAGCTTGGGCATCTTCATGGCAAGATCAAAAAGTGAGGCCTCGAAAGAAAGCAATTTCAAATGATTGGTGTTAAGAGACGATGCTGATATGGTTGCAACACTAAATCAAGTATGAAGAAGAACAGCTGCAAGAGACCTGGGCAGTAGAATGGTAAACATGGAAAAGTTCAATATTGTAGGTGAATCGTTGAGATGGAAAGATGGTGCCCTTGAGCTCTCAGCCTTGGGTGTTAATCCGGGGGAGCAGCCCCTGAAACAGAGATCATCAGGCACATTGCCACGCATAAAGCAGCACCAACACGGTACGCTCGGCTGGCCAATAATTTGACGACGGCCATCAAAATGCTACTGTGAACATCAATCTTGACGCCGGCAGGGCGTTCTCCGCTCCCTACCATCTGCTACATGAATGAATGGGACGGATATATTTGTCGCCAGTTACAGCACAGCGGGAAGGACAAGATTGGGAATATACCAAGCTATATCCGGATGCTACATGGATATATAACCCTTTAGATAAGCATTTCTAAAATTGATTGACGACCTGTGTTTCCTGGTACCTATGTCAAGCCTCCTGTTAAAACAGTATCGACCGAAAGAAAAGCTTCAGGTGCGTTTGTACCAGTGTCTTGACAACTCAAAACAGATCACTCCTTTTGTGAGGGAGCTCCATGCTTGAATGATATCTTGAAAGATGGAAGCAAGATCAAAAGCAGGCCTAGCTGCAGGCGCACAGAAGCGGAATTGTTCTTATTGTGGAAAACGGATCACGGATTGGCTGTAATAAACTTGGGGGGAATCGAGATGAAGGAGTTCAGAGAGTGCTTGGCGTTTTTGGGTTTGACATCCGTGGCTTGGAGCTGCGAAAGCTGTGCCTATGTGAGAGTTCGTGGCTTATAATAAGACTTCATCGGGCGACCAGAAGAGCTGCCAAGCTTGATATCGATAAGATAATGAAAGGAGGGTCAAAGCCCAGTACCGGCGCGCTGGGGGAAGGCCCCACCTGTGCGCCTGAAACTGCGGGGTGAAGTGTTGGGGGTGCTGGTCCCTTGCCCTGAAATCACTGATCCTGGTCATCTCGACAGGAAGCCGAGGTTCGACACCCGAGGCCGAAAAAAACGACGAAGGCGAGAGATTGCCACAACAATTTGCTTGGCACATTGACAATAACTTTCTGCTCCCAAATGACAACAGCAAGTTCCTTCCTTCAATATCTTAGCTACCTTCCGGTAGGTGTGAATGATGCTTGGCAGGTTAGTTCATCGTAGAGGAATCTGGCATGTTAAAGCGATGTCTATTCACATGCAGCTGACAGCCCCAGCCTGATGCCAACCATGAGAATCTTACCATGACATGCCCTCCCAAAACTGACTTACAGAAGTTGTAGGCGCACATCTTAAAACTCGGATCCACGTGTGTTCTTTGACAGCTCCCACCTGTCATCAGATTGTCTGCTGCCAATGCTCGGGCGGGGCGAAGCTTGGCAATTTGGAAAACACCATTCCGCGGCGAACAGACGGTCATTTTATGGAGGCGTGGATGTTTGTTGGAAAAACAAGGGGCTGTCGTCTGTGAGAAGGGTGTGTTTCCGCTAGCGCTTCCCCGCACCCCGCATCCCATATTGGGAAGCTGATCTCCGCGAGTTTCAAGCAGTTGTCTGGTCATGGTGCCAGCATGGTTTCCTCTGCGCCGTGTGTTGTTGGTCCATCGCGGCGATTTGTACGGTTACAGCACCTCGATGCGTCCAGCCGCGAACTTCGCGGCCAGCCCGCCATCTATCATCCATGTGATGGCCCAGAAACGGAAATGCCAGCCCGACAACGTTTTGCGGAGAACCCGCGAACATCTCTCGGCATGGAAGGTCTGGGGTTCCATTTCACCCCACTGCCCAGCTTTTTATTGCCCACTTGCTGTCCGGGGATTGAAAACCAATACCTGGAAAAGCTTGCGCCCTCCACTGTTCGGTGCCACGGCTCCACTCTCGTCTCAGGCCAGCCGAGGCTTGAACCTGGATTCTCGGCCTTCCCCTGGCGGTTCTGGTTGGATACCTAGGTTAACTTTCCAGGCTCTGCGGTGTCAAAGTGCGTGCCCTGCCTGGAAGACAGTCGGCCGTCGTGCTGCACAAACGGACATGAGAGTGTTCAGGATAGCATGTAAGCGGCAAAGGCAGCACAAAAATATACGGCCCTATGTGATACGATGCTGGGAGAGCGCCAACTGCCCTCCGAGAGCAACGCAGCTCCCCTTGGGCTCAATGTTGTTGCTGACGTTTCGGTGCCTCGTCGGCTGGAGACCCTTGGCTCTTGAATCGGGAAGTACCCGCCGTCACGGTTCGCACCGCTGATTGGTGGCTCGGGCGCGTCCTCGCCCTGATGGGTTTGGCTCGCTTGCAAGTCGGCCGTGCGTCGCACTCGGCTTGGATCTGAACGTCCCACCCCACGACCACATGCTGCCGAGTGCCGATCCTGCCAAAAGGCCGTCCATCGTCCTCGACTTCTCCAGCTTGTTTTGCTCCTCTTCTCGACCTTTTCGCTTCTGTCTCTCGCACACCGAAGGAAGCGCAAGAGTTGCAGGCTGCTGTTCAATTTCACGGCTGTGACGTAGGTTGAGCCTCTCCGCCATCAACACGTCCCGCGTCTGTCCTTAATCTGCCCTCAATAAGAAGCACGCTCTCTAACAAAAACAAATCAGCCCCGTCTCGTTTGCGACACAACCTCGGCTCTTTTCCAAACTCCCGAATCATCTTTATTTCTGCATCAACATAGCATCCACAAGTCAGTAATACTCGGCTCGTAGCATCAAACCAGCGCAACATTCTCCGATATCCATCACCATGGCTCCCAGCAGACAGGAAACGAGAAACTACATCAAGACCATCTCAACGCCCCCTCCTCCGGGCACCCCCTATGCTCTGCCCATCCCCGGCACTGAGCGCCCTAACCGTACGCCAATCTATCGCCACTGGCGCTTCCAGAACGGTCCGCTCCTGGAGACGTACGACCCCTCAATCAGGACGGTCCACGATCTGTTCGAGTACTCGGTCGGCCAGAACCCCAACAACCGCTGCCTGGGCTGGCGGCCGTGGAACCCGACCACGAAGACATGGGAGCCCAGGTATGTTTGGATCACGTACGCCGAGGTCGCTGAGCGCAGGAAGAACCTGGGTGCCGGTATTGTTGAGCTGCACCATCGCGTCGGCCACAAGGCGGACAAGTATGGCGTCGGTCTGTGGGCTCAAAACCGCCCTGAGTGGCAGATCACCGAGCTGGCCCTGCTCTCGCAGTCGCTGTGGCCCGTCTCTCTCTACGAGACCCTTGGGCCCGAGACCACTGAGTTCATCATCAACCACAGCGAGCTGGCCTGCGTCGCCTGCTCTCTGCCTCATATCCCGACCCTGCTGAAGCTGGCTCCTCGCGTGCCCACTCTGAAGCTCATCATCTCTCTTGATCCGCTCGATGCCGGCGAGCCCAACGGTCACTCCAAGCGCGAGCTTCTGAACGGCATGGCTGCAGCTCACGGCATTCAAATCTACGACATTGCTGAGGTCGAGGCCATTGGTGCTCGCTCTGGCCGTGCCATGCGCCCTCCTCAGCCCGAGGACGTGCTGACCATCAACTACACGTCTGGCACCACCGGCAACCCCAAGGGTGTCCTCATTACCCACCGCAATGGCGTTGCCGGCATCACTGCCGCTCGTGCCAACGACACTGTCCAGCCGGGTGATGTCCACATCTCCTATCTCCCTCTGGCTCACATTTATGGCCGTATGGCGGACCAGTCTGCGCTGGCTGAGGGTGCTGCGATTGGCTACTTCCACGGCGATATCGCCGGGCTTGTCGAGGATCTGAAGCTCCTTCGCCCCTCGGCCTTCATGTCAGTGCCTCGCCTGTACAACCGTATCAACTCGGCCATCCAGACCGCCACCGTGAATGCTGAAGGTTTCAAGGGTGCGCTCTCACGTCGCGTCATTGACACCAAGAAGGCCAGCATGAAACTGCCTGCCGGACAGGCAACCAACAAGCACTTCTTGTATGACCGCATCTGGACGCCCAAGGTGCTGAAGGCTGTCGGGCTGGACCGCACCCGTACCATGGTCAGCGGTAGCGCGCAGCTTGATCCCGACGTTCACGAGTTCCTCCGCGCTGCCTTTGGCAATAACTTTGTCCAGGGATTCGGTATGACTGAGTCGTATGCTGTCGGTACCGTCCAGCTGCCCGGCGATTTCACCACCGGCAACATCGGTCCCCCGTGCCCCTCGGTTGAGCTGTGCATCGAGTCGGTGCCCGAATTTGACTACACGGTCGACGACAAGCCGAACCCTCGTGGCGAGCTGCTGATGCGTGGCCCGGTCATCTTCAAGGAGTACTTCCGCAACCCGGAGGAGACAGCCAAGGCTATCGAGCCTGATGGCTGGTTCCACACGGGTGACATCGTCGAGGTTGACAAGATGGGTCGCTTCAAGATTATTGACCGCAAGAAGAATGTACTCAAGCTCTCTCAGGGCGAGTACATCTCTCCCGAGCGCATCGAAAACGTGTACATGGGCAGCACCAACCTCATTGCCATGGCCTTTGTCCACGGTGACCCGAAGGAGTCGTCCCTTGTTGCCGTCTTCGGCATTGACCCTGTCAACTTCGCCCCTTATGCCAGCAAGATCCTCAAGAAGGACATCCCGGCCGATAATAAGGAAGAGCTCAAGACGGCCGCCAACGACCCGCGCGTCAAGCGCGAATTCCTCAAGCTGCTGGATAAGATTGGCACCAGCCACAAGTTCAACAGCTTCGAGAAGGTCAAGAACTGCTACCTTGACATTGAGCCGTTTAGCATCGAGAACGAGCTTCTGACGCCAACGTGAGTGCCATTTTCACTGAACTCGAGTGATCAGAACAATGTCACGTGCTAAATCTTTTCCATAGGCTCAAGCTCAAGAGGCCCCAGACTGCCCGGGCCTTCAGGGAACAGATCGACAAGATGTATGAGGAAATCCACGCCCAGGCCGCTGAGAAGGCCAAGCTCTAAGTTCCCTCGGTTTCTTGGATACCGCTACATGTTTCAAAGGCGTTGCTATGCTTGCTCCTAATTGGAGATAGAGAGTACCCCATGGGTCGGTGATGGATGGACAGAGAGTCCGCCAGCGTTATTAGGTGTTCTACATACTTGGCTTCCCAATAGCTCTTATGAATGTTAGTGGGGTTGTTTTTTGCCCTCGTCCTGACTGGCTTTGTATATATCTATCTTGTGTAGCACTACCTGTAAAAGGCCTCGGTTCCTGCCGGGTTTTTAAACGAACACAGCGCGTTGGTGTGGTTTGTGTAAAAAGCGCGACCCCGTGGTCTTTGAGGAGGTGAAATGTTATCTTTTTTTATTTTTTGCTCAACCCTCTCTGTACACTCTAGATGCTAGCATCTCAAAAGGAAACTTTTGAGGAGACTAACCACAGAGCTAGCCGGCAACACACAGCATTTGATATAGAAGTTTACAAGACCCTGAGTCAAGAGCACAAGTAAGAGTTGGAAATATACATAGAGAAAAAAAAGTGCGAGAGTCCAGATCGACAAACCAGTTAAACCAAAGAAATGCGTTTGCATCTGCAATGTTGTCAAAGATGGGATCATTACATTTTCACTCTCATTGATCTTGATTAGAAGGTGTCACACTGATATTAATCCTTTTTTCTCACTTAATTGGTCCAAGACGCTTATTTGGAAAGCCTCTCGATGTGCTTCAGAAGACAGTTACACAGCATGCAGCTCACGGCACTTCTCGGTCATGATCGGAACGGTGAAAGTGGGCCGACGCATTGCAATCCCACGAATGGGAACATGGACAGATCGCCGAAAGAGGCAGCATCAATACAAACAGTGTTGCCCGAGAGTTTCTTAAGTCATTTCCAGGTATCAGCCTAAGAGAGATTGTCCCTGGGCTTTGTTGTTTTTCCCTGTCCTCATTCTACAATTCCTATAGTGAGCATGCCATGCGCTTATTTAGAGATAGTTTAATCTGATGAAGTCTTGTGTTTATTTTGCTACCTATCCTAGTTTCAGTGATTTGTGACGATCCACCTAGCCTTCCCGAGGGACGGAGTTCCTCACACGGTAGTGTCGGTGATTTCCTGTGGTCACCAGTTGTTGGTTGACAACTGTTTCTATTGCTGACTGAAGAAGTCCTCATCGTAGTTCTGGAGATGGGAGATTCTAGGTACATATTTATAGTCGGAGACCGTTGGTATGCGTGCCCTGCGATTCAGAGTATCATTGACCAAGTTCAGGATTATCGTCGAGGTTAGAGAGGTCGATTGGAGGTGGTTCTTGGCAACGATAATCTTTTCTTGCCCACGATTGGTCTGTCTGCTGGTTCCACTTGGAACTCCCTCATTGGTCCTCCCCCACTACTCGGGGCGGCTGCTGGTCCGCATCTGGGCCGTAACAATTACCAGCCATATCAACTATATAACTGTAATATACCTTTTTGTATAATTAAAGTCCTAAATTTAATTATTTTAAATTTAATAATTTTAAATCGTATTCTATTATTGTTATTATTATTATTTTATATTACTAAATAATTATCTCGTTACATTAGATCAAGTTATATCCATTGATCTTATTCATAACGCTTTTATACTGGTTTACTTGTAGCCTCGTAAGACATCTTACTAAAATAACCAGTTTTACTCTTTTCATTACTTTGAGTAGAATGCATCCTATGCAGTTTGGGTAAGTTTAACCTATGCTAGTCCTTTATAATTTCAAATTATCATTCCTCATTTCTATCTGCACTATATTATCGTTATTTTAAATTTCTCCACTGGGTAGTCCAGGCATTTTTACACCCCGCTTCGCGCGATTGTGGCGCTAAAGTCGGTTCCTGGTCTTTTGAAACGGGTTCTATAGCTACAACCACCACGTCGTCACGCGCCTTTGCTGGAAGGGCACCTATTGCACTTCATTGCGCGGATTATGGAAATCTGAAGGCTAACAAAACCAGCACCCGAGACGCTGGGCGCAAGCCGCCCTTGAAGCGCGCCCGCGTTGAGGGCGATATTACGCTAGCTGCCGCATGTGATTCTACAGCCAACCCATCCAGCAGCTTACCGATCGATCATTTTACCCAATGCCTCGAGAAGCATGTTTTTCCACACGTTGACGCGCCGATATCGAGGCTTTCGGCTGAGGAGGTGAACACTCTCGAGATCGGAAAGCGCGTAAGTAGCTGCATCCCAGACGCGGCTTGGCCCTAGCCTCGTTCCACTCCATGAAGCGTCCCTCCAACCCTCCGCTACAACATGTCTTCCACACTTCTAATAATTGTGTTCATTTCAGGTCATTGCAATCCTTACCGGGCCGGAATTTACCAAAGAATACATTAAAACAGGAGGAAACATCAGTCCGGAGTTCGAAGCCAAGTTAGCTCGGCGGGCTGAAGCTGAAGTTCAGGCGCTCTCGAAGCAACCGGTATGGATGGCTTGCAATACTGGTCAACCACAAATCTCCGCGAAGATACCGGCTAACCCTCGTTCCTCTGACTCAGGAATACAGACTTCCTCGGTCAGAATCTCGACCTTTCTCGCCGAAATTGCTAAGCGCAGCAGACCCTCTCACTTCGGCTCTTCCTTCGCAGCCTTCTCCGAGACAACACCAACACCGGCTCTCCCCTACGAAGCCTCAGTCCAATTGCGTTCCCACTCCAAGCCAGCCAGTGACAAACGGTCACACCAGGGTCATTATTATTAATGATAATGATGAGTCTCGACCAAAAGAAACTAGTAAAGTTCTTGACGGGAGCCCAGATGAGTTTCGGAGGATCGTTTCCAGGTTATGGCAGGATCAAGTCCGAGCCCTACCTGGAAAACTGCTATCCGGGGACGAAGGTTTCATCTCAAGGAAACCATACCTGACTTCAGAGATGAGGGCAGCACTTTTAGAGGGTGCTCGATTCCCTTTGCAGCTTGACGCCGACCTCCTTAAAAGGCCTGTGCCCGTTCATGTCGATTTCTCTCTTGATGAATTCAGGCGGCTGCGGATTCTGACCCGAAGGACTCTTAACCTAGACCTCCAGAAAGGAAGCAAAGATCCGAGGAAGGATCTGATGAAGGTTCTACGGGTCAATCAGCAATACGTACCCGTTGTCGTGAAAGCTATAGCCAAGACAAAGAGGTTGCCAGGAAGGACAGAATCCGATCTGGCCAATCTATTCCAAGACCTTGTCGCTTATGGGCCTAGGCCAAAGCCAGAAACCCTGAAGATTGAGAGGGATCACGATGACCAGCACGGTGACTTCGTACGCTCAAGTCGTCTCAATTCCCTTCTCTTCGCGAGAGAAATCTGGGGCCAGCGAGGGTTTGTGACTATGAGAACATTGGAAAACTTCAACAACGACTTTCGCAAGTGTCGAGAGGATGAGCTTGAGCGAAGAGCGTACTGGCTGGGGTGCGCGGGAGACGTGGTGACCATATCTTGGGTCTCCAACAACAGTTTCATATGTGGGACTACTGATCATTCAGACTCCCATAATCAGCAATATAACAAGCCCGGCAATCTTGTCTTTGGCTCCTGCGATTCCTGGACCCTCCAGGCTTACCCCGATCATCGCATTGTCCGCCCGATCGTCAATGATGGAGAGAACTCAACCGAGGACATGGTGCAAAGCCAGAGCCCATGGCTGTATACATCGGTGGTCTCTTCTGATTTTGACCATCTCCATGGGCTGGCTTTCACGTCTGGATTTGACCGAATGGTCAAGATCTGGCGCATCGATAAAGCCGGTACTTCTATGATGGTTGTGGGAGAATGGCGGCATGATGGCAACGTTAACTTTGTCGTCGCCTCCAAGCACCCCGCTGGCTTGGTTGCCACTGCTGCTGATGTTGTAGCAGACGCAGTTCGGATCTACACTATCGACCAAGACAATATTTCCATGAGCCCATTCCGTTCTTTCTCCTGCTCTCGTGTTACTGACCCTGACGGCAGCGTTGTGTCGACAGAGAAATGGGCATACTTTCCGGCAACGATGCAATGGGGACTTGAAGAATCCGTTAAACACCTCCTTTTGGTGGGCTACTCCCCCAGGAGCCTCACTGGGAATGACATGGATATTCCGGAGGATCGTCAGAAGTCTGGTGAACTATGCCTCTGGGATGGGTTGACAGGGAAGCGATGGCGAATCACCTCTGCTACAACTCAAAACGTGTTTGAAGTGCTTTGGCACCCAACTCAACCGTGGTTTGTCGCCGCCACAACCCCTCTGGGCCTTGATGTGGATCCTGGCGTGCGAACACAGATCAGGATTTTTCGCCCAATCGATCTGCAAGACGCTGGTGGTCCGGCTTTCAGCCCGATATGGACACTTGATTGTCGAGCTCTCGACATCAATGAGCTCACGATCATGCCTAATAGCACCATATTTTGCTACATCACTGCGGGATGCACTGACGGCTGCACCTACGTTTGGGATACAGGTCAGAAGAGTAACAGGCCGATTCGCATCCTTCGACATGGTGATCCTGTGGATGAAGTTCCAGGAGACAGAGAGAAAGAGGACATTGGTGTCAAGTTCACTGCTTGGGGCACCACACTCGATCGCTTCTACACCGCTTCCTCAGATGGCGTCCTTAAAGTCTGGAACATCCGGTCTGAAAACAACCCACATGTGCGAGACTTGCTCCGCGCTCCTGCTGCAATAACAGCGGGCATGTTCTCTCCCGACAAATCAAGGCTTATCATCGGCGACGCCAGTGGCCGCGTTCACTTGCTCTCCGTTAACGAACAGGACGAGAGACCAGCAACTGTACTCAAGCTTCCCGGTTCGGATATCGTCAGGATCCGGCAGCCTACAATCACTCTGCATCCAGAACCCCCGCCTCCGACTTATGACGCTCGTGGTCGACCGATCTTGAGCCATTCTGGTGTCGAGATCGGTCGAGCTTACCTCGAAAACGAATATCTCGAGCGGCATCCGGACCCCACCATCGGTGTCGTCCAGGGGCCGCGTTACGCTAAAACGGGTCTTTTCCGCCGAGAGGCGCATTTTCTTGAAGATCCGTCACAGCCGTTGCTTGCACATTTCGAAGTACACCAACAGGAAGCCAACAAGGGATTCTCAGGCAGAAGACGCGAGCAATTCTTGTCCCTGAGGCCCGTTAAGGAGGTAGAAGGGTTGAGGGAGAAGCATGCCAGGAATAAGGCGATGAATTTCGATATCAATGCGCTGGATGAGGAGACGATAACAGGGTTGCTTTGCGAGGGAGCGGACTTGGAGCTTGGGGAGGATTATGTGCTGGAGTATGAAAGTGAGTGAGACGATGGGAATGAGTTCATATAAAGCAGAGAGAAGCCAGGGCGCTTCAATCATAGCTCGATAACCGGGCGAGGATTTCCTCTACCAAAGCGCGACGGATACCTCTCTGCCATTAATACTTCGTTAGCACTTGATAGGAGCCAGTAATGCCATTAAAGAAATCTACCTGGGCAATATCGAGGGACTTTGTGTGTTTGTCTTTTTCTTTGCACTCAACTCGAGTCTTCACAATCATCAGAACATTAAGTAGTGGCAGCATAGTATGCATTTAATTGACGCTAAACGACTTAACGCCTGAAAAACTCTCTTTGATAGAGAAAACCGCGCCCTCCCTTTTGTTTACTCAGATCAAGGAACCCAATCATATCATTGAATCCATCCCCCCGTTCCTGTAACGCCGGTAGTATTATCCCATCAACCCCATCCGTGTCTTCAGCAACCTGCCTTATCCTTCTCGTTCTACCAGCCGGGAAGAGGCCAAAGATAATGAATACACAATGAATACAACCACGGGTTTTTAGGGAAAAAAAAAACAAACCAAGCCGCCCCTTTCCATATGACCTTGGCATTGGCACTCGCATTCCTCGCGAGTGCACTAATGATCATAGCTTCGTTCAGCAATCATGTCACGAAGACCTTGATGACCATGGTATCTATGTGGTTGTTGCCTTAGGACGAACCGCCCTTCATGTATCAACAATAGATGTGAAAAGAGAAATGTTGGGTGAACGCAGCATTGGAGGTGAAAAGAATTAGATTGCAACCAAAAGTGTTGCTTGTACTCTGCTGCGCTGCATGGTCGGTGATAGTTCTTCAGTTATTCGCTGGAGCATTGAACTGAAAATTGGGGGCAAAGTTGATACCGTTCGGCCCCAGGGTCACACCCGCAGGCAGGCTCTCGACAATGGGCTCGTCATTGTTGTTATTGTTATTATTGTTATTGTTCTTGTCATTGTTTCGGTCTCCCTTGTGGTGCTTGTCCCGGTGACGCCAGCGACCGCCGCCACCGCCATTGTTAGCTTCCTCCTCTCGGCGGGTGGACTTCGGCCCATGGTGCCCGCTCTTGTCAGTTTGCATGCGGCGGCTGATAGCCTTCGACGAGACACCGGCGCCGATCTCAATATCGGGCTCCTCGACGCACATGCCGCTGACAATGGGGCGGCCGCCAGAACCGCCAAAGGGCGCTGTCAGCATCCACTTGCGGTCGGCTTCGGTCAGTTTATGGATAGGGATCACGCTGATGCCAGTAGAGTAGTCGCTGCAGTCACGTGGGCCGAAACCAACACCCCACCGGGTCTAAATATCAGGGTTAGATATGTGCTTGTCCCTTGCGATGAGAGATTCGACAACGAAACTCACCCGAAGGTTGTAATCTTGACTACGGACTTCTTCCATTGCGGTCTTGGCTCGCTCGGCATCTTTGCGGTAATACATTTTGACAAAGGCGTGGCGTTTCTCTCTGTTGACAATGCAAGTTTGGACTTTGCCATAGCGGTTGAAGAGGTCCCGAAGTTCCTGTTCGGAGCAACTGTAGAGCCAATGGTTAGCGGCCTAGATCATTGGTGGCATGCACTTGGATTTTGGATGAATGGCATCGAGGCAACGAGGGACAAAGACGGGCATGCAACTTACGTTACACCGCCAACGAATAGGGTGCGGCTGTACACCTTGATATGGCCATTGGGCAGTGTGTTGTCATACTCGACCCATTTCTCCTGAGGAATTGGCTCTCGGCCAGGACTGTCACCACGGCGGCCACGGGGCGATCGCTGGCGATAGTCCGCGCGGCCCCGGTCCCGGTCATCCAGGCGGCCACGACTAGGTGAACCAGGGCGTCCATAGTCAAAACCTGAACGTGACCTCGGAGAGCCGCGAGGGTCCCAGCGAGAAGGAGAACGAGAGCGGGAACGACCACGGGGGCGATCGTGATAGCCGCTCCGGTCACGCATATCATCGGGCCGTGGGGCATCCCAAGGAGCAGAACCAGTAGGCGTAGTACCAGCGACCGGGACAGGAGGTGCAGCATATCCAGTCTGGGTGGGCTGAGGCATCTGAGGCTGAGACGCGGCAGGAAGTGCGCCAGCCTGGGTCATCATCTGGATTACACCAGCAATCTTGTCGGCCGGGATTCCCTGGGCCAAGAGAGCAGCAACGAGCTGGACAGTTGTAGCAGCAGCCGGGTTACTGGTGCCGTTGGAAAGAACAGAGGGACCCGGGGCAACCGGAGCAGCCGGAGCAGCCGGGGCAGCTGGGGCGGGACCAACCGCTTGAGGCTGAGAAGGGTACGCAAACGGCAGCGCCGCGGGCACGTTTACGGACTGGGCAGCCGGCTGAGACGAAGGCGGGAAAAACGGCATGGCTGGCTGCGCTTGTACGGGAACCGGGGCAGGCTGCACGGCGGCACTACTAGGCGGACCACCAGAGGTACCAAACACAGACGCAGGAACCGTATTAGAGCCCGCGGCCGGAGCCGGAGCCGAAGTTGGAGCCGAAGTAGGGGCTGCCAAGCTCGGGTTACTCTGGGTAGTACCAGCAGCAGATGAGGCGTTTTGGCGAGCAATGCTAGCAAGCTTGTCCAAGATGCTGGGGATAGCCGAGTTGGGGGGCAGTGCCGTTGTTGCGGTCGGCAACGGCACGGGAGCTGCCGTTGCTGCTGCCAGGGGCTTGCTACCTGCACCAAACGAGGCGAGCAGTTCGGCAGGCGGACTGCCGGGCGGCGTTGTTGATTCGTCTGCAGGCAGGGATGCGGTTAGAGCACATACGGGAGTCAAAAGACATTGACAGCAACAACGCCATGCACCAACACCATCCGGCGCGGGCTGAAGGGCGCCGAACGGAGATAAGGCTGTTGATGTTGGGGAACACCTACTGGTAGGTCGGGCATTCAGCTTCTCCTTGAAGGAGTTGACCATATCAGACGGGAACGTCTGGCCCTTCTCCCAAATATCGACAAGTTTCCTAATCTTCTCCTACGCGTGCCATTGGTGTGAGTGTCTGTCCACAGCAGTGTCTCAAGATATAGAGGTTGCGAGGCTGTACGAAAGGGAGAGATAGAACGAGGATGGTGAGAGAATACGCAAGTACATGGGCAGCCCTGCCAGGTTGGATGAGCTCAAGTCCAGAGGCGAGCTAAGCGCTTGGAGCCTAAGTAAGGCTTGCAGGCTGGAAGACCTGGAGCCCAAGCCGACGGCCACTGTCAATCACAGAAGTGATGTGAGGAGCTTCTGGTAGGCTGCCCGTTCTAGTTGGAGGGCCTTGTGGATGCGTGGATCGATGTCCACCATCGCTCTGGGACCCGCTTCTCACTTGCTTCTTCTTGCATGCAATGGAATCTAGTCATCAGATGGCATCCAAGCATCGTTCTTCTGCGTACCTTTTGGTCGTCGGGCGCCGACGAGATGATGTCGTTCATCATCATGGGGATCAGCACAGTTACTCTATGCACGCCTGCAGCAAAGGTCCCGTCTGGTGCCGACGCGCTGGGCGCTTGTCCCTGGGCCTTCGCCTGATCCAGCCATTTCCTTGTTACAGAGTCTACGACGTAGAGTACTCCCAGTTTATGTGTGCCGGGCGTCTTCTTGAAGTGGGTAAAGAGCTTCTGGATGAGGACCGACTCGTACTGTCATGAGGCATCCACGTTAGCAGACACATCGCGATACATACATCGTCTTCCTCCGAGCCGTATCGCTGTGCAGGCAGATCGCGTGACTGTAGCTTACCTGGACGTTTGCAACACACAACGCCGTAAGCGACTGGATTCGAGAGCCCGAAACACCAGGCGGCTTCAGCGCCAGCATGGCCTGTAAGCCAGCTTCCAGCTCGGTTACAGGGGGAGCAGCCATAGTGAGATGATGAAGGCGACACTCGCCGCGGCAACCGACTCAAAGTTGATGACACTCGCTCTCTTGTGATACGATAAGCGGCTTAGGATCCAGGTAAAACGATCTATGCCATGCCCCTGGACCAAGGCACGATGACAGGCAGAGAAAATGTTGGCTGGCAGATAGCTCCAAGCTTCGTCAAGTGCTCTCTTTAAAAGGTGGCAGTCAACGAATTACGAGGGGCCTGGAGCGCGCAAATGTGGAAATTGGCTTTTTTCTTCCTCGTGGCAGGAAGGCGAGCGGCAATGAATTCAAGAGGAGAGCTGGCCGAAATACTCCGTACGGGGTTTCTAACCCAGCTTGCGATCAAAAATTCAACCGACTCCCGCGAGATTTTCCCCCAAAACCTGCTGCACGCCGACGAGTTTTCTTCCTTTCGTCGAAAACGAGTAGCTGGCAAGATACTGGGGCTACTGGGAAACTTAAAATTGATGAAGCTTTCCTTGGGATGAGTCGCCTTGATGAAATCGATGACTTCCAGCTCCTGGTAACAGGGCTTTGGTTGTGTTCTTTGTGGGATGCAAGAATGGAAGGGAGGGGCGCGCTTGTGGAAAGAAGGGCAGCCGGTTTTATGGGCCCACTCAGCATTCCAATCTCTTCTGGCTCCTGAAAGAGCAACAGCGCGGCCAGACGCGCACACATCCACATCCGTGCGCCTCATACCCTATACCATGACTACATAATACTATGACTAAGCAATTTGTGGCTGAGGTATTCCACATTACACAAGCCACCACAGCCATGTGCGTTCATTCTAGGATGTGGGGCAGGGAGAAGCAAAAGCCGCGACAAAATGGAGCCCGCAGGCTTTTGGGGAAGCCCAACAAAACAAGGAGACCTGTCAAAGAAGAGCATTCATGGACTCATTATAGGAAGAGGGGACACACGCCCATTACTTATGTGGAAAAGCCACTAATAGTTCTTTTGGTTTTCACTTCCCTGTGACTGAGCTAGTTTACCATGATTGCCCTTCAGCAGACTGATGTGAGGTTGATTCCTTGTGGTTGGTGGCAGTACATGTGAGAAGACCTGGATGTGAAGAAAAAAAAATTCACCCATGCTTATGACAGCTTCGCGAACGCCGTGACGTCAACGGTCGGCACATCCATCACGTTTGCCATACTTGACCTCTAAAATCTAAACTTCTATAATAACTTTGGTAAGGGTCCATCACCATGAGAAATCAGCCCTAACGGGTTGGCAAACATGCGCTTGTACATTAGCAGGCTACTGGCCGAGTTCTTGACCAGTATCTGCTTCTAAAACACAACAGTGCCTACCCTTCATCAGGCTATGGCACATGCTAGGGGAATATGAGGCGATCTTATAATTGTTGCATGCAGGTGCAACAACTACTCCATCCGTATTGCCGAAAGGTCCTACATAATACATTCATGTGACGAACACATCTGCTCTTGCAACTCTGCGATCCCACCCACGCTGATGCCATTACTGCCACTGCTGCCACGGATAAGTTCGGGAAATGGCATTCGCGGCGGGAAACTGTAGGCGCCGTCCGGTGGTTGGCTGTGAGTGTGCCACTTCCATGCCCCAAAGCCGTCCGCGGGAGCGCTGGAGCGACGATTTGACAGCGGTATGGGTGCTTAGGAAACTGTAGTCCGAACCCCGGTCGGTCCGCCCTGCACGATGGTCCCCATCTGTCCGGGGGGCACCTGCCACTGCCCAACTCCCTGAACTGCGGTTTTTTTCTCGAGCTTGGGTCCTTTTCTGGCCTCCGAAACTTTTTCCTCTCTTTGTTCTTCTTCTCCTCCCATCCTTTAACCCCCCAATCCACATACCAGATACCACAAGATGGCACCTGCTATGCGTCTAGCCACCGCGGGCCTGAGAGCCTCGCTCCGGGCTCCCTCGCTCGTCTCTCGGAACGCAGCGTTCACTGCTGCCCGCTGCTACTCGTCCAAGAGCCAGGTACGCTACCCGCTCCCGGCCACCAGTTCATGCATCCTGACATCATCGGACGTCCCATTGACCTCGGAATTGGCCAGCAGACCTTGAAGGAGCGCTTTGCCGAGCTCCTGCCGGAGAAGATCGAGCAGATCAAGCAGCTCAGGAAGTACGGTTTACCCCACCTTATGTCGCCCGCTGAAACGGTAGAACAGCATTGCTGATGGGCCATGTTGCGCAATCCAGGGAGCACGGCAGCAAGGTTGTCGACCAGGTTACCCTCGACCAAGTCTATGGCGGCGCCCGTGGCGTCAAGTGCCTCGTGTGGGAGGGTTCGGTCCTCGACGCTGAGGAGGGTATCCGCTTCCGCGGCCTCACCATCCCGGAGTGCCAGAAGCTCCTCCCCAAGGCTCCTGGCGGCAATGAGCCTCTTCCTGAGGGTCTCTTCTGGCTTCTCCTGACCGGCGAGGTTCCCACGGAGCAGCAGGTCCGCGAGCTGTCTGCCGACTGGGCTGCCCGCGCTGAGATCCCCAAGTTCGTTGAGGAACTCATCGACCGCTGCCCTACCGACCTTCACCCCATGGCCCAGTTCTCGATGGCCGTGACTGCCCTCGAGCAGACCTCGGCCTTCGCTCGTGCCTATGCTAAGGGCGTGCACAAGAAGGACTACTGGCACTACACCTTCGAGGACTCCATGGACCTCATTGCCAAGCTCCCGACCATCGCTGCTCGCATCTACCAGAACGTTTTCAAGGGCGGCAAGGTCCCTCCTGTCCAGAAGGACAAGGACTATGCCTGGAACTTCGCCAACCAGCTCGGCTACGCTGAGAACCCTGACTTCGTCGAGCTCCTCCGTCTCTACCTCACCATCCACACTGACCACGAGGGTGGCAACGTCAGCGCCCACACCACTCACCTGGTTGGCAGCGCCCTCAGCTCGCCCTTCCTGTCCCTCGCCGCTGGTCTGAACGGTCTAGCCGGCCCTCTTCATGGCCTGGCTAACCAGGAGGTCCTGCTCTGGCTCACTGAGATGAAGAAGACCATTGGCGACGACCTCAGTGATGAGGCTATCACTAAGTACCTCTGGGATACCCTGAACGCTGGCCGTGTCGTTCCTGGCTATGGCCACGCCGTCCTGCGCAAGACCGACCCGCGCTACACTGCGCAGCGCGAGTTCGCTCTCAGTAAGCTTACCCGTACCCTGACAACAAGACTTACTGAAGTGTTTAACACATCCCACAGAGCACCTGCCCGAGGATCCCATGTTCAAGCTCGTCAGCCAGGTCTACAAGATCGCTCCCAAGGTTCTTACCGAGCACGGCAAGACCAAGAACCCGTGGCCCAACGTCGATGCTCATTCTGGTGTTCTCCTGCAGTACTATGGCCTGACTGAGGCCAAGTACTACACTGTCCTCTTCGGTGTCTCGCGTGCCATTGGTGTGCTGCCTCAGCTTATCATTGACCGCGCTGTCGGTGCCCCGATTGAACGGCCCAAGTCCTTCTCTACCGAGAAGTGGATTGAGATCTGCAGCAAGCTGTAAATCTAGGCGCAGTGCGCAACTATGAGTAACCTTCGGTAATCGGTGCACGGCGCCATGGGATACTTTTTACGGGTATTTGATGTAGTGTATAAATGGATGGGAACTTGCTAGTGGCGTGGCTTCCGTCTCTTTGGGATTGCTAGCCGTTATATGTTTGTACGATAGACTCGGTCCAAAGCCGGGCAACTTGCATCAGCCCCGAGGTACAAAAAGTCAATTGTCACAAACACTTACCGTGAATACTTTTTTTCTACACTACGGCACATTTCTGCTATTCTTTTTTTTCCCCATGAACAAAGGCATGCATCCTTCCGGAATCCTATTTTTGAAAATAAGTGCAGATATCCTGGTCTTTTGATTCTCATTCTCGCAATCCCACAAGATCGTGGCCTGGGCAATGGAACTAAACCTGACGCAGGGTCCTGGAACCTGTGCGGGTGCTCCAGCTTGTCATAGTGAAGAAGACTGCGGGGCCCCGCCACATGGTCAAAAGCGATCTCAGGCTTCTGGGTTATGTACGCATGTAACAGCGTGCTTGCCTAGTTTGGCCACTGGAAATTGGTGGGTTAATCTGGTTTATGGGGAGCGTGCTGCGGGATTGGAGAGATTGTTGAGCTGCAGGTGCCCAGTGTTCCTGACCGCCAGAGCCAGCACAGCAATGATTTGTGGCAGACGGTGAAAGCTGGAAGCCATCGATTTGTCTTTCGGAACCCGAGGGTTGCAGTTCGTTGATACACTTGATAGAATGGAAGGCCTGTACGGAGTAAGCCGCAGAGTGGCGGTTTCCCCCAACCCCGGTCCGCGAGGATGGATCCAGTCATCTCCGCCAAGCGGATTACGTTGGGCTGCCGTACCGAGGAAGGAAGGCGTTGGGCCAGGGGTCGTCCGCCAATTGGGCGTGTCTGTTGAGGTTGACTATCGCCCCAGCACACAGGTCCGAACCGAAATGGCAAGGGCGGGCAGCTCACCGTGCGGCGTCCCAAGTTTTCCAGTCCCTTGAGGCCGGTATTTTTCTTTTTTGGGCGGGCATCGAGCAAAATTTCAGGTTCACGACTCACGACCGCTCTTAATCACCAGAAGTCATTTTCCTGACACAGCCTTTCCAGATATCTCATTTATACCATCGCCAACGTTCCCGCTGCCCGAGCACACCACGATACCAAACACCATCGAACTGTGGCTGCCGCTTTCGGATTGTAAGTGTGGACCCTGACTTTGTGGCATCGCCCAGCATTGCCAGCATTGCCGCGGGTAGAGAGGTAGAGGACTCAAGCTTATCGGTAACACGTGCATGTCAGGATTGCCATCACAGCCGACTCGTCGAGAAGGTCTTGCAGTTCGCTGTTATATTTTTGCTCCCTCTCGGTGTGTCTCTTGTGTCTCCCACTCGGCACAATTGCAGACCGTCACGCCACACCTTTTTCGCTCCCTCCCCCCGCGCCGCACTCGTTGCGTCTACCTACTCTGAGAGCCATCTGCCCGTGATAGCTCCTCCAGCCGGTTACTAGTGCCAGTAACCCCGCGTTCCCCCGAGAGCCCCGCCTTCGGCTTCTTTCTTACTCTTTTCTTCCCGTGCAACCCGCGAAGAAGCACTCTCCTTCCCTTGGTCAGGGCCCCCTCAAGTCAACACCGACTACGTCATGTCCGCCGCTGTCGCGTCCCCGGCTTCCCAGCCTCCCAAGCTGGAGAAGAAGCCCGTCAAGTTCTCCAACTTGCTTCTGGGTGCAGGGCTCAACCTCTTCGAGGTGACCACCCTCGGTCAGCCTCTGGAAGTCACCAAGACTACCATGGCCGCTCACCGCGGGGACAGTTTCGCGGCTGCTCTCACCCGCATCTGGAACCGCGGTGGTATCCTCGGCTGTAAGTTGAGTTGCTTGTTGTCAGTTGTGTTTGCTCTCATCCTCGGTTCACGTTGCTAATTATTCTCCTCCCTTTCGGATGCAGTCTACCAAGGCCTGATCCCCTGGGCTTGGATTGAAGCTTCGACCAAGGGTGCTGTGCTTCTTTTCGTTGCCTCTGAGGCTGAGTACTGGGCCCGCAGTTTTGGCGCCAGCGAGTTCGGCGGCGGCATCATTGGCGGCGTGACTGGAGGTGTTGCGCAAGCGTATGCGACCATGGGCTTCTGCACCTGCATGAAGACAGTCGAGATCACCAAGCACAAGATGGCTGCCTCAGGCCAGAAGCCCCCCGGCACCTGGGCCACTTTCATGGACATCTGGCGCCGTGAGGGTATTCGTGGCATCAACAAGGGCGTCAACGCCGTCGCCATCCGTCAGATGACAAACTGGGGCTCGCGCTTCGGCTTGAGCCGGCTTGCCGAGCAGGGTATCCGTAAGGTGACGGGCAAGGAGAATGGTGAGAAGTTGAATGCCTTTGAGAAGATCCTCGCTTCTACCCTTGGCGGCGGTCTCTCTGCTTGGAACCAGCCTATCGAGGTTATCCGTGTTGAGATGCAAAGCAAGAAGGAGGACCCCAACCGGCCAAAGAAGATGACAGTTGGCACCACATTTAAGTACATCTATGAGACAAACGGTATCAAGGGTCTGTACCGTGGTGTCACGCCCCGCATTGGTCTGGGGGTCTGGCAGACTGTGTGCATGGTTGCTCTGGGTGATATGTATGTCTTTGCCCTCCCTCGTTTTGCCTTCTTTGAGTGAAGGGTCGTACTGACAATCACCAATTTAGGGCAAAGACATATGTTGAGAAGCTTACAGGCGAGAAGGTTACGGCTAAGCATTAAACGACGGCGTTTATGGTGTGTGGGTCTAGAAAGGATCCGGGTGGGCTCTTGTTCGGGGTTATGTTACTACGACAAGATATCATGGACTCTCTTTGGGCGGACAGGCTTGCGAGATCCTTTTTCTATTACACATACAGTCATTGTAGTCCTATACATAACGGGCGCTTCTAGGATGCTCGTTGGTAATGATGGGTACCTGATACATATAGACGGATTTCTTTTCGTTGATTTAGACCTAACTGCCAAGTTCGAGTATCGGAGTGATGCCAGTATTGGATTTGTTGTCCAGATGTTAGAAATGGCTCAGCTTCGGCAGTCGCTCTTCTCCTTTTACCTCCGTTGGAGTGGACTTCCTTGGGATTTTCGACACGTTGTCTTCTAGGCACTCAAACAAGATTGGTCAAGGACTGAGGGCACTTCATCCAATCTCTATATCCTATCAGTGAAATATTTAGGGTTGAAATCCTCTTTCATGGCTCCCATGTGGCAAGCGTTGGGGAACTGTTTGCTTAATCTTAAATTTACCACATAAGAAAGCAAGGGACGGGAAAAAACAATGAGTGAATGAGAATGTCAGAAGAGAGGAGAGGGAAGGGAACGATAAATGTAGAAACGGATACGGTTTCAATATTTTGCAAACTGCTCTTGCCTCTGAGGGAGTAGGCATGTTGAGGACTGGATGATATCTGAATAAGAGCAATATCATTTTCACAATACACCTAAACCCCTACTTGGTTGTTTTAAGTTTTGGCATGTCCATATCACGTAACCAGAAAGGGGTTCTTGAACACCCTTGTGTTGCTGCTTCTGCTTCATGCACAAAGGAATGCGCCTCCTGTGGTGGGATGACATGTTGATCGCGATGCTTGGAACAATAAGGAAATGTGAACTAGTTCGAAGAATTGGAATGACTGAGAGATTAACTGGCAGTGGCGATCAATATCCTCTTTTGGGTCCAGGTTTGCGGAGAGCTTGCATTCAGTACGCCTACTCAACTGCCATGTTGAATTAGCTAGTCCATCACCGTCCTTGGAGTTTTTGTTACCTAACATTTAGTACCGTTCATGATAGCTACCAGCTCACTCCTGGCTCAAACACTATGGTTATGAGCCGAGGGTTCCTTACTTAGTCAGGTTAGGTTGGATAACACCAGAATGCAGGCCTACTTACCTTTCAAAATCCATATCCCAGATATCTATACACCCAACAACCCCTTAAGCTCGAAAAAGCAGATTATTGAGGAAAGTTCTTTGATGTTCCTAGGCACCTAAGCTCTGGTGGACATGTATACTTTGCTGTTTTACTTCTGAATTGCTCAGGAAAAAGGTCCCGTAAGTAAGCCGGAGAGGATATCAGGGAAAAAAAAAATCATGGTGCTAGTCTGCTTCCCATGTTTCGTTTAGAGTAACATGTCCTAGCAGTCGAATTTCCTTAGCGAGGACCCGATTGTTGTAGATAGATACGGAAGTGGTCATCTTTCGATAGATCTCTTTGGGAAGAAGGTGGTATTTATGGGTAGAAACTTGCTGGGTATATACATTTAGTAGGCCATATGATATCAGAAAAGAGCATTACAAAAAACTCTAAATCTTCACACGGATTCACTCCTTCTTGTTACTCTTTTCTGTTTGTTCCATTATTATTGTCTTGAACACTGGTTTCCTTTATTGGCTCATCGAGTACCAAAACTAGATTCATCTTGTCTCAATGTTTAATTGAGATATGAGAAGGCTGAGTGAGAGAAAACACTTGATGGTCAGGTAAGAGAGACATCAAACTGGCACCAATCATATAGGGAGTCTTGATCTGGAAGTTACGGAATATTTCGAACCATAGACAACCAGGGAGTGGGATGAACATATCTTTTTGCCCCATTATCATACTACATATTCCCTGCGGAAGACGTCTTCTCGGGCATAATGAGGATGTAAGACTTAGAGAAGGACCAGGACATCGAGATGGGCCGTAAGCCATTCGATTCCGGCCTAAAGCAGTAGATGATACTCAAATAGAGCACAAAATAATTTTTTCTTCAATATACCACTTTTTGGGTTGTCACTGAGGAAGGAAAAACTTTGACATTCTCACTTCGCAGTTTAACAATGAAGGCTCCAGTCTATCTAGCAACTATCCTAGTGTGTGGGTGAAGACTGCCCTGACATAACAAAAAGCTTCTTTGCAGGCGCTTTTGCTGGAAGTCAGAGTCCGAACTTTAAGTCACTTGCACTTCCGCCAGAGTATCATATTTCACTGGAAGTCAATGAAGTGGACGAGATTGAAGTTTTCTCATACACTTTGCCGATGATGCCATTGAAGAAATCTCATAGAGAACGCATTGACTATCATCAGGATCCTACTCTCTGTAGAACTGCTTGAGCATGTCACGAATGCTGGGCATTACGGTGAGTTGGGCTGGGCACCAAGTTCGGGACAGGTTCGCCGCACAACATGAGCATGTGACGATCAGTATGGATGACAGCCAGCCCAGACGGCAATATTATCACATTCAGGGGATGACCGTGAACTTCCTATAGTGACATATTGAAATGCCAAGCCCATCATTTCGAGGAGCAACTGGCAATCTGAGCGGAGCCTCAATAATAAGGCAAACTCCGGGCTACTCGGGATGACTGCAACAGGCTGTTACCTTGAGACAGGGTATGACGTTTCCAAGCCTACCCAAACCCACATGCAAATTTCATGCATGGGACTCATTGGGCAACGTTAACATACCTAGGAAATGGATCACTTTTACTGAGAGGAACACATTGCTCCATCGTGATCAGAAAAGGAACAGGGGCAGACTAATGAGAGAATAAAAAACGCAGGATGCAGGAACCGATGGAGTGACTGGAGACAGGTTCGATGCTCTGGGGTTCCTCTCGCTTTATTGATCGGGTTGGTTCCCAGGAACGACCCCGCTTTAAAGGAGACGCGGCAGTCCTCGAAGACAAGTCTGACGGCAATGACATCGTGACGGCATTTCCCAAGTGCAAATGGCAATGGAGAGATGCACTACATGCTCCGTACGAGAAGTGGAAGAAAGTGAAGCTGGATTGTCAATGACATGAGTCAACAAGCACTTACATCAAGAACCACTCTGGGTCTAAAGTCATCCAGGTGCACTTATGCCTTGGTAGATTGATTTGCGTTCGCCTGCTTCGCTTTCATCATGGATGGTTGACCGCCGGTTCTAGATTGGCGGCGAAAGGGCCGAGCAAATGTTGCCGGGGAGAATCCTCCGAGGAAACTCTACGCTCATGGCTACCTTAGCTGCATCCGTCAATTCCGAAATCCGATGCGTGTACCTACATACCTAAGTGCAACGCTCTTGACAGAAGTAAGATGAGGTCCATCCGCCGATGCGCTCTCCCAAAAACAGCCGGCGATAAAAATGGAAACCTGGATTCCACTATTGTAAAAATGCGATGCAGGTGTGGTGTCTCAGTCGCAGAGAGAACCCCTAACGTACGAGAATCTCCCAGCCGGCACTGAGCGTGGGCCGTCGCTTGCTGGGTGGCAAACCTCCGTTATCCGCCGCCATCCGGACAGGCCGGAGACAACCGGGACTTTGGAAGGCCAGCTTTAGGTGATATGGACACGCTCTCCTTGCACGGCACGCGTGACGCGCGCTGCGATGTTCCCGATGATGTCACGCGACTTTGTCCAGGTAACCCTCAGCTTCGGCCCAACTTTGCTTTAGCTTCCCTTACCCATCAATCAATTGCACCTAGCTGCTTCCCGGATCTTTACGAGAGCTGACTTTCAGCTGTTCTACACATGCGTACGAGTCTCCTTGCTTGACTTGGTTGGCGTGCGGGATGATGTGTCGTCGACTAGTCAAGAATGGGGGTGATTGTCCGTGTAACCCCCATCCCTCCATTTCGATCGCGTTTCGATTCAATTTCGATTAGGTTGCGGGGGAGGGGCCACGCGATGTCCTGCGTACAAGGTAGCAAGGGGGAGGACTGTGCCGCGAAAGCAAACATGGTACAGATTAACGATTGTGCAACTTGTAGGTCCCGATGTCTCATTTGAAGATAATCAATATGCGGGTGAAGTTGGCCTTTTGGGTGACAGAGCAAACTTCAGTCTTTATGATACCCATGATGATGACGATGAAAATGGCGCTCTGTAAGACGTTATCCAGAGGCCGAATATTCCCGCTAATCGATGGCTGTGACACCTTCCAGATTGTGTCTGCGCCCTCATCACCTATAGCTCGTTTTTGGGACATGTGTCACGCAAGCCAGATGGAATCGCTGGTGGAGGATGTTTGATGACGATAAAACCAGACATTGCGACCGACATTCAGAGGAGTACTGCAGAAGACATGCTATCCTGAAGCACGATAGCCCCCGACTAGGTAAAAATTCGACCAACGGTACAGCCTTGTCCAACCGCTGATCTTTTCAGCTGGTGTCACTCTGGGATATTGCTGTGTAAGACAATCCAGACAAGTCCTGGGGATGATACCGGTCCACCGAGCTAGCGGAGAGATTGACTTGCTGCTGAAGGCCACAGTGTAGTAGAAGAACCCGACATACTATACTTGGACCTGTTGTGTACAATAATCTCGACGACGATGGCGTATCTAAACAGGTCCGAATCAGAGGTTATGAGATGCCATCATCATGTCGCGATAAGCTGGTCTCTGAAAGACGTAGGAGCGCCAGCTTATGTCTTGCAAGAGAACACGAACACGCATCCAACGATGTGGGCAAACTTGTATGCCGCTTGCCCTTCCGACATGTCTCGACGGGAGACGTTACAAAGTCAGGCATCCCAATCGTAAGCAGCTCCGTATCCTACCACCAGCCAGGGCGGGATGACGCAGAGATGATGGCTGAATCCCGCTCTCTCGCAGGAATGGACCTGTCATGGTGCCGTACGAATGGCTATGTGGGTATATCTATCAACACCATGCCATCGATCAATCAGTAGCGTGTCCGGCGGAGCAGTGTCCATAATGCTAGTGCAGTGGACTCCGTTATATAGCG